TATCTCCTAGCGAGTACAAGCGATAACGGTGGTCGATAATGTGGATGATCGCTAGTGTCCAGTAACTTGTTTAGCAACTCCTACTATACTAGCTTTTATACTACAAGTCCAGAATAAAATTAGAATACTTGAAACGAGTCCTTAGTAAGTCCTTAGTACATCGATTGGTAACAAATGATACAAAACGCGTGCTCCCAGAGTTCTAAAGTAACAGCACCCACATGGTTTTACCACGTATAGACTTAGTGATCAGAAAGAATTCCCCCGACATACGGATTCTTGGGCTGCTGTGTTGCTGCGGCAAAGTACACTGAAGGTAGTACACTGAAGTAGATGCGTGCGGCATTGTCTTGGCATTGTAACAGCCTTAGTAAAGCTGGTGAAAAGGTCACGGTATTAAGTCTTTTGCCATGGAATCGGTAGTTTGGCTGCGGCATTCTATTAAGTGACGCTTGATGCTGATGTCAGCGATGGCTGTGCTGAGCGATCAATGATGGTCCTAATTCCATGAGATCTGCAATCAGGTGCCTGGTGGCATTAATGAAGTGGCGCATATTGATATGGAATACGAGCTGGGAAGGATAGTTGGCGGTAAAAGTGGGTATTGCCATGATTGCGATCGTTGACTTAGTGAAAGTCCGCTAAGTGGACAAGGCATTTATTATAATGCTTAAAATCCACGAATTCTGAGCGTACAGAGCCTTGAGGCTCATCAACGGCATGTATGTATTAATTAGAGCCCAATCCTTGAACAATACTGACATAGTAAGTTACCTCTACTTTTCGATATCAGCGACATCCCAAAGCCTACCACTTCCTCTTCTTCTTACCCTCCCCAGGAGCAGACCTAATAGCCTCCATAACCCGATCATCCAACACACCAGCATGCTTCTCCTGCTTCTCCTTCAAGTCTCCCTCCAAAGTGCCCTTCTTCCTCACCTTCTTGAACACCATCTCAATCTCATCCTTCTCCTTCTCCTTCTCTTGTTTCCATTTCTGCTTCAGTTTCTCTGCTTCCTGCTCTACCTCTACAGCAGGTTCCACATCCTCCTTCTTCTCCTTGGCCTTCCCAACCAAATCCCTCCACTCCCCCAGCCTCTTCTTCAACACATACAAATTCAACGCCCTAATAAAAAACCTCCCATAAAATGATGCAGCCACACTCTGCTCGTAATCCATCATGCTCCATGCAATCTTCTCCTACCAGCCAACATCAAACAACATTCCATGCACAAAACGTAAACATACCTTCATATACATATCACTCCAACCCCAACACCTCTCCCCCACCTGACTCCCGATCCTGTCATCGACCAACTCATGAAAATGCCCTAGGAACCCCAGGACGAGCTGACGCTTGGCTTTGTGTGGGACTGTGGGAGAGTCGAGGAATACGTTGAGGACACATGAGGAGATGGGGTGTTGGGTGAGGGGGATGAGTGAGGTTATAGGGAGAGATAGGATACTGAAAAAGAAAAAGTTTGAGTTTAAAAAGCGGGGAGAGTACTGTTGACTAACCTCTCTATGGTCCCAGTGTTGTATGGATCCTTCAGACGCAGCATGGACTGCAATAACAATGCTCCCTGTACATTTGGCTCTGGAAGTATACTCGTGGACTTGTAATCCTATTCCACGACACACATGAGCACTGTACAGCCAATAGGGACAAACACAAACCTCAACCATCTTCAGACTCATCACAGCCCTAATCAACACCTCTGCTTCATCCACCTCCTCACACCCAAACGCACCCTTCAACGCACCCCAAACATCCTCCCCACCTCCCCCAACTTCGACCATAGCTTTAACCACACCTAACCTACCCATCTTCACTGCCCTCCCCCACTACCCCATCCCCAAACCACCGAGTTGCGTGGGATTCACCCTACCCATGGCTTGAGCCAGCACATAATTGGAGACTGCATGTGTTGCGAGCCATTCGACACTGCCATTCTCTGGGCAGAGGTATGTACACCAGAGAACATCAAATACTGGTTGAGGAGATTGGATGATGATGGTTTCGAGTAGGTGGGACAAGGTTGCGTCTTGGAGGAGAGTGTGGATGTAGTCTGACTCGGTGGTGGGCATCAAAGAGTTCACTGATAATCACGACAATGAGTTATATCCTCAGAAATAGTAGCTAACTCATGCGTTTGACTGACCATCCCAACCAATACGCGGTCCATCAGGCTCCTGCTTTCATTTGACATACCATGCTTGGCTTCAACTTCGATGAGAACCTACCAGGAGATCAACATACATTGAGGAATAGAAGGCAATAACCCACATCAAGACCAGGACACACAACTTTACTCCCTGCACATGCCCATACCTCATTATCGCTCATCCCCTCCCTGAATGCCCCCACAACCTTCCTGGCTGCTTCTCTGAAGCTCCTTGGCCTCTCCCCCTTCCTCTCCTCCCCCTTTTCTGACTTGAAGAGACTCCACATCTCGCCTTGCTTGCCTTTCCAACTTTTACTGCGCTTGGAGGTCTGGGACTGTGTATGTGTATTTGATATGGGAGAGAGCAGGAGAGCGAGCATGCAGATGATATGTGAACCGAATGTGTCATGGAGGAGCAGAGGCAAGACAGGGAGGAGTTCCTGTTCATGTGGCTGTAAGCAAGATTGGCCTGGTTTGGACATGATGAGAACAGAACGTATGTCGCATAAATCCAGTACGAGTTCGGTTATCATTGGGAGATGTCTCTTTTTTGCATCACCTTGTGGTATTTCAGGTAGTATACCTTTCATCTACATAGAATCATTCAGTTAAGCAGATTCTCACGAGATGAGAATCCAACCCATCTCTCTCGAAACAGTCTCCCCAGAAACCTTGAGAAGGGTCTGACAGACATGCGATGCAAACTGATGTCGAGCTAGTGTTTCATACCTGAACCCAACCTCGTCAAGGAGAAACAAAAACAAAAATACTAGTCACTCACAACCCTGTCAAACTATCCAAAAACACCCTCCTCACAAAATCATCCATTGAATGCACTATCCTTTCCAACACCACCAAACACTCCGGATCAGTTGCGAGTTGTTTTTCCTTGCCCGTCATCTCTGTGAGGGCAGCGAGGAAGAATGAGTGTTTTTCTAGACAAATACAAAAAATTAGCTTTCTCCTTCCTTTCCTTACTGCACACTTACCCTCATCATCCACCTCCACCTCCCTATCCTGCCACTGCTGCATCTGCATGTCCACCGTCTGGAAATACGCCTTGACGTCCACATCGAGGTACCCAAACAGGGCCTCCAGGTCTTGCTCCTGCTCTTGTTGTGGATTTGGGATGATCCATGATGGTCCAGCTTCGACTTTAGGCTCTGGTTCTGTGCTATGTTGTTGTTGCTCTGTGTCTGCATCTGGGGCAGGCTTTTTGTGTTTCTTGCCTCTTTTTCTGTTTTCATGGGGCATGGCAGCTGGGAGTGAAATAAAGAAGTGCATGTTTGGCTGTGCAACTCATGTCTACGCCTTGATTTCCACCAGAATATGCCAACCCTCCATGCATTTGAGGATTACATATCTACGTACTCAGACCTCAGACACTCAGACCATGGATGCAAGGGCAAAGGGTGGATTCCGTGCAGAGGTGTAGTTACATCTGTATTGAAACCATGATTTCTGACCTGAAATATGAAGTGCAATGCTCGCAGCCTGAACGAGTGCATCCCATTCTGACTCTCCTATCTGGGGTTCTGAGCTTGAGGTGAATCATAGCCTCCTATCTACGACTCTGCTTTTAACTCTCAATCTATCAGTTACTTATTCTCCAAAATACATATATTACTGTCCCATGCCTCTGTTTCCACCAGCATACATCCCTGCTTCTCCCATCCCTTCCAAGCAATGTAAGCCTATCACCTTCCATCATTGTCTCAATGTGACTGAACTCCTTGTACAATAATCCATACATTCAGCACACCTTCAAATATCAATCCAAGCTGGATCTTCTTCTTTATTAGGAAGCTTTGAAGCTTTCCACGAGCCATGGCAAAGTCCCACTGGGGATCTTTTAATGCAGTACATCCATGACTGTCATCAACATCGATATATGTCCAGCAATCTTGCCTCTATCTATTCATCATCTGGAACAGGCAAGTCACGCATCACAGATGTGACCCTCTTCTGTTTTCCTATGAACATATGGGAAAGACTCGATGGATTTCATGGTGAGTTTATCATCTATCTTCCAGTTCTCTCGCTTCATTGTAGATCCAGGGCCGCAGCTTATCCTCCCAGCGATAACATCCTAAACGACTATCTTGTTCCCTCCCACCAGGGTGAGATCGGCAAACCAAACTTGATGTACAAGTATGCCGCTTTCTTGGCTACTTTGTTTTTGTATACCACGGAGACTCTGAAAAGCGACCATGAGGAAACATATTCGGCACCAGAAGCTCTTGTGTTGGCATGGAAACAGCATCTTGCAGCAGGTGAGACAGTCACCACAGTAGGCCCTTTTCATTCTGGCTTCTACGCTGAAGTGGTTAGAAGATTGGATCAGTATCTGAATATAATTGTTAGGTGCCCACATACCACCGCTTCATGACCTCCCCTAAAACACACGCGTGTTCCAGGAAAACAGATCAAGTACATACTATTTTTTTGTGAACAATCTCTACTGTCTTCACATGCCCATCCCCCAGTGAAAATCAAGCGGAAGCTCGAGATAGCTACACAAGACCTCGTTAGTGTTCTCAATCAAAAAGTCGTACCTCCACGCTATGACAGACCATTGGAATTCTTCATCTATCTCGATGAAGCACACACTCTGACACAGGAAGGTGAACTCAGTAGCCCTCCTTCCAGTGCTCTGGACATTTTTAATACAGTCTTAGGATGGCTAGTGGAGTTTCTGTTCTTCACAATATACATATCCACAACCAATCTTAAGCCAACAGCTACTATGCCTTCTATTTCTGTTTCTTACCCTCAGGCTGTGTCTTGTCAGGAACCCAATACTCCATTCACTGAGCTCCCGTTTGACGTTTTTGCACATGATGTCATGGGGTATCTGCATGCTCTAGGAGGAGGACATATTTTCCTTGAAGACATGCATAGTGAACAATACCTGAGAAAATTCAGGTGACCTTTGTGAGTTGCCTCCATTGCAATACTGAAAAAAAAAAAAACATCCAACTTGACTACATAGATGGAACAGCTACTGTCTCGAAAACTACCCCAATAAATACTGGATCCAAGATGAACTAAGCGCAGGGCTGACCATCAGAGACTGAAAGGATCTCCTTTATGCATGTGTTGGCCTCACTGTCCAGTTTGACTTTGACCATTCATCCCCTGCCACCCAAACCATGCAAGCCAAACTCATCCAATCTCACTTGAAGATTCCCTTTGTCATCCCTCAAGACAGACAATCCACGATTGCTGGATACCCATCAGAACCCCTCCTCATCGAAGCAGCATCCCAACTATTCCCAGGAGGTCAACTGGAAACATACATCCCCTACACACTCGACAAGGCAGATTCAGAGGGTATCCTCACCAAGGATAACTGACCCCAGCTAGTCAGCAGGTGCATCATCATCCTCGCCCAATGAAGCCCCATTTCCTACTTCCTTCCTTCCTTCCTCCCTCCCGATTGCCATTTGGATATATGATAGCCTACGGTCATCCAGTTCCCGTTCTGGTCTTTCTCAACCACATGTTCAACCAGAAATGGCAAGACTCCATCTTGAACATCTGGCCTGTCGGTGATGAACACGGACCCCCTCTCCGCGAAGCGTCCAAGGATGTCTATGTCAATTTCACTCATTTCGCTGAAGCTGGTGACAGCAAGGTCATCCAGTACCTGCCTCATATAATGCTTCAGTTCTTGATGTACGGCTGCTGCTCTATGAACTCTGTTGACTTGATCACTGTGATGCACCATGGTTCTCTCCAGAATCCTCTCAGCGATAGCTTGACGTCTCAGCTGGCTTTCCAGATCCAAGACTGTGCTGAAGAGGTTCCAGTTTTTGGTGGAACCACAGACTGTTACACCAGCTCGAGAGGACCTTCCTGTGCTGTCATAGTTGGGGATCAAGGATAGGTCAAGGCATCAGGTCAAGTCATTCAAACCGGGAGCATGCACTGAGAGCATCCACCGGAAGCATTATCAGATTAATGCTGTCAGATGTTCTTCCAAGGTTTTCACTGTGATCCCAGTGAAGGAAGAGTGTACCTATCAGAGACTGTTGCGTCCGATGTCCAGGGATGACTTTGTTAGGAAGCATAAGGATGCAAATCTTTTGGCCTTTCATACACAGAAACCGGCATTTTTTGCTGATAAAGTCGAGTCGTGGAACTGGCTGCAGGATGGGATAAAGGGCGAGGAGGATATCAAGAAGGCCTTGGTAATGTGAACCTGGACATGTAATGTATCAAGTCATGTTGCCGTGGCCACAAAGGCTCGTACCATTTTGATCACACGGTTGCATATGTCTCATGGAGTAGAGACACTTAGTGGGGTACTCAGGAACAGCATAGATATTGCTGTTCGTATTAGTACAGAGGTGTGCGTAATAGGATAGAATGAATAATCATGAATTCGGGTGATACACAGGAAGCAGCTGGAAGACTCGAACAATATCAAAAACATACTTTGCAAAGGAGCATAACATATCAGTATTATCAGTTTGAACAAGAAGCTGTATAATATCTAAACCTGAAGGAGCATTTCACAGAGAGGCAGAGAAGAGAGGAGATGCGAGCCAGTAAACTTTCATGAAGAAGTGGGATTGCAACCTGTCCACATCATCAGATCCATCGCAATACAGCAGCACATGCACTTCATCTTCGACTTCAGAGTGGCAATAACAGCATAGATGTTCACAGCGAGGGATGGGGGGGTGCCAACGTTCTGCCCACCTGAGGACCTCAACTGCTAATGTATGAGAGGACATCAACATGCGGACCAACACTTTCTGATGTGCAGGAACCGGTATAGAAAGGTAAGAATGGAATGCCAATACCTCTGACTTCCTTTGTCTATGGTTGTCATTAGGCAGTTTTGTACGAGGAGAACAATAATGCAACATGAATGCTTTGGGGGAGGAACGTATGAAAGCGTCAATGTCATCCAAACAGGATTGCTCCACTTTCTCAATAAGTCCGTCTATATCTCCAGGTGACCAGTTTTGAGCAGGGTCAACTAGTACAGGGTTCAGGAGGAGAAGCAAAGCATTGATGAGATCAGAAATCCATGACGACTTTGCCTCCAAAGCTAAAGTTGTAGCATCAGCGATCGCGTAAGACAGAAAATGGTCGTTGGGCAGAGAGAGGGCATACTGCCAGTAGCGAAGGGCAAGCATCAGCCTTCGGTACTTGACTGGCCACATTCCCGTCTCAGAAAAAAGTATCGCAATGGGAGAATGCTTAGAGATACCGAGTAAGCGACGGATGAAGCTGATCTGAACATGCTCCAGCTCAGCCAAGGAAGAATTATCAACATCAATGGAGACATCGCATGCAGACATTAGGTGAGGGTCTATGGTGGCCATATAGAGCAATTCCCTCTTTGGGTGGGATAGTGCCTACAAAAATTTCAGCACCAAACAGAGCGTTCATAGACTTTCATCCTTTTGACGCCTTGATATAATAATGCTCTTTAAAAATAGACCTAACGCAACTGATCAGGAATTGATGGACATGAGAAAGAGACAAAAAGGAATGACCTTTCCATGGAAGATAAGGTGATACTAACATATTTGTGCTTGGATATGCACTGGAGCTGATGAGAACCAGCATTAAATGCTGGTAGAAGGGGAGGCAGAGGGCCCACAATCCATATCTTTGTCTTCTCATGAGAGATCATCATTGAGTTACTCCTGCACCAATTATACAATCTGTCCAACTTAGCCTGCAAGCCCTCTCGAGATGTTGAAAACAAAATGATATCATCTGCCTGTTCAACATGGGAAATGAGGTGGCCTCCGAGGGATATATCATCTGTCTGGGGAGGGAGCGAGAAGTCTGAGAGGTAGATATTTCATAGACCTGGTGAGGAGGTGTCACCAGCTAAGATGCCTACTATGGATTGAAAGGTTCCTGAGTGGTGAGGACCCAGTTTGACGATGTAAGACATCTTGCAATACATCATCCGTAACCAATCGACAGGTGATCCACCTGCACCTAATGGAGGGACTTTGGACCATAGCGTGGGCTGGTCTGTAGAGGGGAAGGCATTAACGAGGTCAACGAAGGCAACACGACGGTAAACAAGCAGGCAGAGTTCCGGTATGGGATCCAAGTCAGTGTCACTGGATCAACCTTGGCTTTGGCCCAGGGCGAAACCTTACATAGTGTCAACAATCACACAACATGATGAAACTGGCATTATAGAAGCTACAAACTGAAGGAGGTATAAATAATAGGTAAGCCTTGTAAAGTACCATTGCCTTAGACCATAATTGCCATAATGTGTTATCTTGTGTTATTAGTATTGCCTAGAAGCGACAAGGGTTCTGAACATTCATGCATCAGGAGTTGCAGTGTCACCTCCTAGATGTTGGTGGTAGCACATGCCTTCCATGACTTACGGGCACCAAGATAATGGGCCCATCTGTGAAGCCCTGTCTTCATCACTCAACAAACAGGCATTTCCCCTCATTCACCATCTTTTCCAATCTTTCCTAGGTGCCTGGTTACTCTTCTGTGTAACATGATATAACTGCCCTCCAATACCATTGCACCATGCCAACATTAGCCTTGATATCAATGTTTCTATGTCCCAGCAGTCTGTTCTCTCAGCTCAATTCAGTATTGGCCTGTATCACAGTCTTTGCCATCCAAGTGATTGTTAATGAAGAAATGACAATGCAGAGATAGGTTGACTCAGACTCAGAATCTGGATACACTGTGCAATGCCTACCTTCAGAGATGCACCAAGTACTGGAAAGGAAACAGCCTCCAGAAGAGATTGGGGTTCTTCAAGCTCATCATGACGTATGTGTTGTATTAGTGCCAGGAGTCAGAGTGACCAATTATCAATAATTATGAGGTTGATTATGGCAATGATTATGAGTCCAATTATAAGGTGTAATTGTCATCATAATCACTCTGGCTCTGACTGTATACCAATTACAGGTAATCAATGTAAAGGGGAGGATCCATAATTGCTGTTCATAATTGGTGCCATAATTGTTTCTATAATTGTCCCATAGTCATTTACTCTGACTCCCACTATTTCTCCTCTCCTACTTTTCTGATAGATGAATCATTTCCACTGTCCAGGGTAAAATTTCATCCATTTTGTATGGCCATGTTGGGGTATAGCTTGCAGACATTGATACTCTTGCTAATTCCCTTCCCAGGACTCAGGAGCCATCAGCATTACTATTGTATATGGCATCAAAACTTGCCCACCTTTCTTCTATCAAATTTTCAGCCAAATTTCACACTGTGATGGAGCAAACTCGATCTGACAGCTGTGCTGAAACCTTACTGGGATGGCTTTCTTGATTCTGTAGGTAAGGATACCGCTCTGACTTGACACTGATGATCATCTTTGAAGCAGCCAATGAGCATGTCCAGTGACTCCACTGTTATAATGAGAGGGTGGTGTGTGATATTCTCATAACCCACTCCCCTGTTTCTTTTACTTGACCTCATGGCAACTCAGACAGATATTCCACCCAATCTTACTGATGAAGACAAAGCTTCTATATTTCAAGTTCTTGACGCTGAGTTGAACTCCCTAATTCTCACCACATTATTGCATGGTGGGCAACAACATTCAGTGTTTGACATGCAGGTGTTGAATAATGACAGGCATATACACTGGCATTCTTGCTGTTACACTGTGGAATATATGTGAGCCTGGAGCATCTCTACTATGACATCCAAACTAACGTGAGCGGTACAGTCATCAATAAATGTTCACCAACCCGCCGAGCCCTAGCTGTCATTATTATTCTCCTCCATGCTTTGACTACTATCTCTTTCGCTGCCCAATGGTCATTTATATGCTCCACATTCATCCAAAACAGACAAAGTTTTTGGACTGTATACTTGAAGTTTGATGCCATGAACCATGCAATCTATTTGGCAGCAGGTATTCCATCCTGCATGAGTACCATTCTTGCAGACTCATATATCGTGTGTGCTACTTCACTGGTGATCTGCATCAGCTTACCATTGTTTTGACTTTAGATTTGGTGCTGTTGGATGGTTTGGGGACAGCGCTGGCTTATTGTCCTGCTTCCAATCCTTTCCCTAATTTCTGCAACTGGTAAAGTGTCCAATCTCATCTACTCTTTTCACATATCCAACTTTACATATGTTTAGTGTCAAAAATCATTAGTGTATATCGTCAGTACTTCAATGCAACAAACTCAGTATTTCTGATGCCCTTCTCATCTCTGGTCCTGGCAACAACATTATGGTGCACACTGCTCATCATTTTCCGCATTTTGACTGTTACCAGTGTTAGACATGGAGGTGGCAGCCAACTGAGAGTTTATCATCAATTTATTGAAGTGCTAGTGGAATCCTCTGCTCTCTATTCAATATCTCTGATCCTATATCTGGCTTTTGTCAGTCGCAATTATTTTACTGGATTGCCTTATTTTGATGCCATAGCTGCCATTGCAAGGGTGCATTCACTATTCTAGACTCCCTCGTCATTTATCAAACAACTTGTGTAGGGAGTTGCACCCACATTTCTTGTTGGCAGAGCAGCTGCAGGACACACACACCCAACTGAAGAACAAGATGAAAGTGCAACAGTATCAACCCTTCTTTTCCAAATGTCTTCACAATCTTCTCAACCTTCACAACCTTCCACCTCAAGCTTTCTGGAATCCACAAGGCAGAGTGCAGTCCTTGAAATGGACATTGAAGCCCAGACAGAGCAGTTGGATGAGTTTGTGGTAGTTGTTGAAAGGACACAATAGAGCTCATGGCAAATGTCTGAAAGTCTGGGTGAGACTTTGGGCTTGATTTAGACTGTAATTTTTTGTTGTGCTATCTTTTTTTACTATCGCATTCTCTACTTACTTGATTTTTCGATCAACTATAGACTCGTAGCCTATCTAAACCTCTATAATCCCTCCTTGCCTTTAGACCTTTATGTATGAGCTTGCAGGACAGTCCTAAGGAGCATTGTTATTCCTACGTGTTCATGAGTACGGTAACTGCAGAGAATGTAACTGATAACCCAGGCCATACTCTGTTTGCCTGATTCAATGTAAGTATTTGCTATGTGTCTACCCTACATCTTGCTTCGAGGGTGCACCAGATTCAGCACACTGCATCATAGAGGAAGCATAGGAGGACCATCCTAGGTCGAAACTGAAGGGCCATCCAAACCATGACCGTCCAGAAAGACCACAAGAACAGCATGTATGCATTAATTAGAGCCTAATCTTTGAATGACACCGACATAGTAAGGTACCTCTAGTACTACTTTTCAAATGCAACATCCCAAAGACTACCGCTTCCTCTTCTTCTTACCCTCCCCAGGAGCAGACCTAATAGCCTCCATAACCCGATCATCCAACACACCCACATACTTTTCCCGCTTCTCGTTATCTCCCTACAAAGCACCCTTCTTCCTCACCTTCTTGAACACCATCTCAATCTCATCTATCTCCTCCTCCTTCACTCGTTTTCATTTCTGCTTCATCTGCTCTTCTACCTTGACCTCTTCCACAGCAGGTTCTTTCTCTTCCTCCTTCTCTACCCCAACCTCCTCCTCCATCTCCTTCTTTTCCTTCCTCGTATTCCCAACCAAATCCCTCCACTCTCCCGGCCTCTTCTTCAACACATATAAATTCAATGCTCTAACAAAAAACCTCCCATAAAATGATGCAGCCAGACTCTGCTCATAATCCATCATGCTCCATGCTATCTTTTCCTACCAGTCACAACATCAGACCCACATCTCATCCCACATCATCGAAAACATACCTTCATATACGTATCACTCCACCCCCAACACCTCTCCCCCACCCGACTCCCGATCCTGTCATCCACCAGTTCATGGAAATGGCCCAAGAAAGCTAGGACAAGCCAGCGCTTGACTTTGTGTGGGACTGTGGGAGAGTCGAGGAATACGTCGAGGACACGGGATGAGATGGGGTGCTGGGCGAGGGGGGTGAGTGATGTTATGGGGAGAGATAGGATACTGAAAAAGAAAAAGTTTGAGTTTAAAAAGCAGGGAGAGTACTGTTGACTAACCTCTCTATGGTCCCAGCATTGTATGGATCCTTGAGATGCAGCATGGACTGCAATAACAATGCTCCCTGTACATTTGGCTCCGGAAGTATACTCGTGGACTTGTAATCCTATTCCATGACACACATGAGTGCTGTACAGCCAATAGGGACAAACACAAACCTCAACCGTCTTCAGACTCATCACAGCCCTAATCAACACCTCTGCTTCATCCACCTCCTCACACCCAAATGCACCCTTCAACGCACCCCAAATGTCCTCCCCACCTCCCCCAACTTCGACCATAGCTTTAACCACACCTAACCTACCCATCTTCACTGCCCTCCCCCACCACCCCATCCCCAAACCACCGAGCTGCATGGGATTCGCCCTACCCATGGCTCGAGCCAGCACATAATTGGAGACCACATGCGTCACAAGCTGCTCGATGCCACTGTTCTCTGAGCAGAGGTATGTACCCCAGAGAATGTCAAATACTGGTTGAGGAGCTTGGGTGACGATGGTTTCGAGTAGGTGGGACGAGGTTGCATCTCAGAGGAGGGTATGGATGTAGTCTGACTTGGGAGTGGGCGTCGAAGAGTTTACTGATAATCACAATGATTATATGAGTATGTCCCCAGAGATAGTAAGTACTCATGCGTTTGACTGACCATACCAACCAATATGCAGTCCATCAAGCTACTGCTTTCATTTGACATACTATGCTTGGCTTCAACTTCAATGAGAACCTATCATGAACATCAATATATGCCAGGAAACATGATCATGAAGACCCACATCAAGACCAGGACATGCAATCTTACTCCCCGCACATGCCCTTACCTCATTATCACTCATCCCCTCCCTGAACGCACCCACAATCTTCCTCGCCGCCTCGTCGAAGCTCCTTGGCCTCTCCCCCTCCCTTTTTTCTGACTTGAAGAGACTTCGCATCTCGCCTTGCTTGCCTTTCCAGCTTTTACTGCATTTCAATGTCTGGGATTGTGTATGTGTATTTGGTGTAGGAGAGAGCAGGAGAGCGAGCGTGCGGACGATGTGTGAGCCAAACGGGTCATGGAGGAGCGGCAGGAGAACAGGGAGGAGTTCCTGTTCGCATGGCTATAAGTAAGATTGGTCTGGGTCTGGACGTGATGAGAAACATACATCACATAAGTCCAGTATGAGTTCAGTCATCGTTGGGAGATGTCCCTTTTTTGTGTCACCTTGTGGTATTTCAGATAGTATACCTTTCGTCTACATAGAATAAATCAGCCATTATTCTTGGTAAAAGACTCAATGAACCCCACCTCCCTCGAAACAGTCTCCCCAGAAACCTCGAGAAGGGTCTGACAGACATGCGACGTGAACCAATGGCAAGCTAGTGTTTCATACCTAACCTTATCAGCGAAACCATGAAATAAAAACAAAACCAAGTCACTCACAACCCCATCAAACTATCCAAAAACACCCTCCTAGCAAAATCATCCATCAAATGCACCATCCTCTCCAACACCACAGAACATTCTGGGTCAGTCACGAGTTGTTTTTCTTTTCCCGTCATCTCTGTGAGGGCAGCGAGGAAGAACATGTGTTTTTCTAAACAAATACAAAAAATTAGCTTTCTCCTTCCTTTCCTTACTGCACACTTACCCTCGTCATCCACCTCCACCTCCCTATCCTGCCACTGCCACATCTGCACATCCACAGTCCGGAAATACACCTTAACGTCCACATCGAGGTACCCAAAAGGTGCTTCCGAGTCTTGCTCCTGCTCTTGTTGGGGATTTGGGATGATCCATGATGGTCCAGCTTCGACTTCGACTTCTGGCTCTAGTTCTGCAGTATGTCATTGCTCTGTGTCTGCGTCTGGGGCAGGCTTTGTGTTTCTTGCCTCTTTTTCTGTTTTTGCGGGGCATGGTGGCCAGGAGTGAAAAATAGAAGTGCATGCATGGCTGTGCAACTCACATCTACACCTTGATTTCCACCAGAATACGCCAACCCTCCATGCATTTGAGGATTATATATCTACGTACTCAGACATCAGACACTCAGGCCAAAGGATGCAAGGGTGAAGGGTGGATTCCGTGCAGAGGCGTAGTTACATCTGTATTGAAACCATGATTTCTGACCCAAAATATGAAGTGCAATGCTCACAGCCCAAACGAGTGCATCCCATTCTGACTCTCCTATCTGGGGTCCTGAGATGAATCATAGCCTCCTATCTACATCTGCTTTTAACTCTCAATCTATCATTTATTCTCCAATATATATATATCACTGTCCCATGCCTCTGTTTTCACCAGCCTACATCCCTGCTACTTCTATCCCTTCCAAGCAATGTAAGCCTAGGCCTATCACCTTCATGTCTTGATGTGACTGAAACTATTACAGTAATCCGTACGTTTCGCCCCACACCTTCAAATATCAACCCAAGCTGGATCTTCTTTACTAGGAAGCTTTGAAGCTTTCCACGAGCTATGGCAAGGTCCCAAGGACCTCTTAATTCAGTACATCCATGACTGTCATCGCCATCGATACACATCTGGCAATTCCGCCTCCATCTATTCGTTGTCCAGAATAAGCAAGTCGCGCATTGCAGACGTAACCACCGAGCAACTCTTCTGTTTTCTCATGAACATAAGAGAGAGACTTGATGGATTTCATGGTGAGTTTATCGTCATCTTCCCAGTTCTCGCTTCATTTACTGGGCCGTAGCTTATCCTCCCAGCGATAACATCCTAAATGACTATCTTGTTCCCTCCCACCGGGGTGAGATCGACTTGAAACCAAACTTGATGTACAAGTATGCTGCTTTCTTGGCTACTTTGTTTTCATATACCATGGAGACTCTGAAGAGCGATGAGGAAACGTATCTGACACCAGAAGCTCTTGTGTTGGCATGGAAACAGCACCTTGCAGCGGGTGAGACAGCCCACCACAGTAGGTCCTTTTCATTCTGGCTTCTATGCTAAGGTGGTTAGAAGGTCGGATCAGTATCTGGATATAATTGTAGGTGCCCACATACCACCGCTTCATGACCTCCCCACAAACACACACACACATTCCAGGAAAACAGATCAAGTACGTACTATTTGTGAACAATCTCTATTGTATTCACGTACCTATCTCCAGTGAAAATCAAGCAGAAGCTCGAGATAGCCACACAAGACCTCATCACCATTCTCAATAAGAAAGTCGTACCTCCATGCTATGACAGGCCATTGGAATTCTTCATCTACCTTGACGAAGCACACACTCTGACAGAAGGTGAACTTACCCAAGCCATTGGTAGCCCTCCTTCCCGTGCTCTGGACATCTTCAATACTGTCTTGGGATGGCTAGTGGGGTTTCCGTTCTTCACAATATACATATCCACAACCAATCTTGAGCCAGCCGCTATGCCTTCCATTTCTTATGGGCCTGTGTCTCATCAGGAACCCCTCAACACTCCATTCACTGAGCTCCCCTTTGACGTTTTCGCATGCGACGTCATGGAGTATCTTCGTGCTCTAGGAGGAGGACGCATTTTCCTTGAAGACACGCATAGTGAACAATACCTGAGAAAGTTCAGGTGACCTTTGTGAGCTTGCCTCCATTGCAATACTGACAACAACAACAAAAAACTCCAACTCCTTGACTAGATGGAACAGCCACTCCACTGTCTCGAAAACTACCCCAATAAATACTGGATCCAAGATGAACTAAGCGCTGGGCAGACCATCAGAGGTCGGGAGGACCTCCTTTATGCATGTGTGGGCCTTACTGTCCAGTTTGACTTTGACCGCTCATCCCCCGCCACCTGAACCATGCAAGCCAAACTCATGTGATCTCACTTGAAGATTCCCTTTGTTGTCCTTCCGAATCAAGATGGGCAATCCAGGTACCCATCAGAGCCCCTCCTCGTCGAAGCAGCATCCCAACTATTCCCAGGAGGCCAACTGGAAACATACATCCCACACACACTCAACAAGGCAGATTCAGAGGGTCTCCTCACCAAGGATAACCGATCCCAGCTAGTCGGCAGGTGCATCATCATCCTCGCCCAACAAAGTGTCATTTCCTGCTTCCTCCCTTCCTCCCAATTGCCATTCGGATCTATGATAGCCCACGGTCACCCAGTTCCTGTCCTGGTCCTTCTCAACCACATGTTCAACCAGAAATGGCAAGACTTCATCTTGAGCATCCGGCCTGTCAGTGACGAACATGGACCCCCTCTCCGCAAAGCGTTCAAGGATGTCTATGTCAATTTTACTCATTTCGCTGAAGCTGGTGACAACAAGGTCATCCAGTACCTGCCCCATATGATGCTTCGGTTCTTGATGTATGGCTGCTGCTCTATGAACTCTGTTGACTTGATCACTGCAATGCACCATGGTTCTCTCCAGAATCTTCTCTGCGATAGCTCGACGTCTCAGCTGGCTTTCCAGATCCAAGACTGTGCTGAAGAGGTTCCAGTTTTGGTGGAACCACAGACTGTCATGCTGGCTCAGAAGGACCTGCCTGTGCTGTCGTTGCTTATGCAGTTGGGGATCGAGGATAGGTCAAGGCATTGGGTTGAATCATTCAAACCAGGAGCGTGCACTGAGAGCATCCACCGGAAGCATTATCAGATTAATGCCGTTGGATGTTCTTCTGAGGTCTTCACTGTGATTCCAGTGAAGGAAGAGTGTACCTATCAGAGACTGTTGCATCCGACATGCAGAGATGACTGCTAGGAAGCATAAGGATGCGAATCTTTCAGCCTTTCATACACAGAAACCGGCATTTTTTGCTGATAAAGTCAAGTCGTGGAACTGGCTGCAGGATGGGATAAAGAGCAAGGAAGATATCAAGAAGGCCTTGGTAATGTGAACCTGTACATGTAATGTATGCAATTCCACGATTCTTATATGTAGCAACATATTGTAGTAATAGCATGCGTGTTTTCGGATGTAGCAGGTCAGCAAACACATTACAAAGTCAAAAAAACAAGCAAGATAATCCCCCAGACGGTTGATAATATTCTAACAGTCTATGCATTGTATACATTTTTGACGAATTATACCATACTGTACATCAGCTATCAACCTCGAGCAGTGTGCCACTCGCAAAGGATGATCTTCTCAGTGTGTGATTGGGTAGGGTAGTACAGGGGATGAGTGAGACAATAGGTATTGCTTATGGGAAGGGATGGAGTGGTGATTCATAACATTACTTGGTTCGCTGAATACATTATGTACTGGGAGAAGGCATCGAGGAGAATTAGAGAGAGTAAAGACACCAATGCCAGTAATTGGGTTTGCAAAAGCCAAAGCCAGAGCCTAAAATGACTGGAGCCAGATACATTCTTAAAGCAAAATGGTCGAATCCCGATCACAAGTAATGCCCGTTGAATCAATCAACTACAGAAATTCTGGAGGAGGTTCGAGCAGACTATTGATAACATTATTAGCGTCTCAATACCATTAGAGTATTTTACACAATAGACTGTTGCGTTATTCTTCTAACTTTTGCAATAAATACCTGAGAATAACAATATCCCAGTGCTCCGTGAGTCCGAAGAAAACCAGTTCCATCAGAATGCAAAATTGTGCTCAGTCGCACATCTCAGGTGCATCATTCTAAGGGGTGAAAGATCAATTAATACATTGCAAAATTTAACTTCACAAGAAAGGCTCACCTCTCGAATGAACATCAGCATATGGCATGTAATGTAGCCCTTAGTGAAGCCTGCTCCAGCATAGGCAAACAGGTACATCCACTTCCGCTTGAATGATTCATATGACTGCTTATTGTTCAATCCAGGATAATCCTTCACAACCATCTTGTTACAGTTTATTCGTTTTCTCTTTTCTTTTCTCTTCTTTTTCCTGCTCTGCTCATAATCATGCTTACTCACATGCTTCTTGCCATTTAACCAGAACTCTCACAGTACTATTTTTAGTGTGTATCAACTTGTATTTAAGTAATAGCCTACGCTGGCCTAAACCCCAGCTTCGGCTAAGGTCTAATCTACCCAACTCAAAGCTCCCTGTTTCATGACTATCTAAGTCATCACCCAACTCTCTCAATCTCCTTTGACCTCTAAGAGTATCGTCCACCAAAGTGCGAGTGGCGATCCTTAGTTGATCTAAGTCGATTTAGTTGGTTGTTGACATTTAGCCAAAGCTCGTCCAACGTTGCCCAGCGCCATGTCAAAGAACGAGCGCTGCCCAACTATCCAACATGTTATTATACCTTTACGTGGTGCAGCTGTTTGCAGCCATAGCAGTCTTTCTGCTAGTTGTGACAAGCTCAGCACCACCTGAGTTCTCCACTTCAATTTCCTTACACCCACGGATGACCGATACCTATGAGGCTGATCTCAGTCTTATTATCGCCATCCTCATCACACTCACCATTCTCGTCGTCCGATCGCTCGTATGCCACTTGCTGAACTGCTACCAACAATTGCAGTAGCTTTTGGACTACTAGCGGGAGCACTCCTTGCCATTGCCCTAAGGCAGTTATATAGGTGTTGCATCCGACAGAGGTGAGCTTGACTCCCATTTCATTACATCCCACATCTTCCGATTCCCTACCCTGTAGTCCCGTATCCCCACATTTCAGTACAACCAGTACTTCACGATGGACGACCCATCACACCAAGACCCGAAACAACAGAATCTGGAGGAGGATCCCCAAGTTCCGGGGAGTCTTCCCCAACCCCAAGAGCCTCATCCGTCGACATCACAGACATACGAGGCGTCACTCTCAGAGACAGCGACGTCCCAGCACCAGGCCTCTTCAATCTCCCTCCCGATGGAGGAGAAGAAGGAGGGGATCTGGGCAAGGGTGAAGAAGGAGATGGCCTCAGCGATCTCAAAAGGATCAGGATCCAAGACATCCTCGACGACCTCTACCTGTCGGAGGAGAGGGATGACTTCAATCCAGGAAGCGAGTGGCTCGGCACCGGCCCCAGGAGAAACCGTCGTGGAGATGACATTGAGGAAGACAGTGGAGAGCTTGGCCTTGGGGCCTCCGCTGCAACTACCACCCGTGCAGTTCCAGCAGTCCTCCTTGACAGGAGAACTGCGCCAAGCAGCAGAACAGAGGCACGAGGGATCCCTGTGGCGTGGTACCCCCACACCAGTTGGGTCTTCACCGGGGAAGAAGCTTCTGTGGCCGGAAACTCAAGCAAAGTCACCAGGCCTGAGGACACCCCAGTCCAGAGGACCGTTGCCCTCCCTGCCAAAACAGAGCAGCGTATCTGGGACACCATTGAGGCGTACAACCCGGACACTGACTCCGATTCTAACTCAACAAGTGCTTCCACCAGTAGAACAACGATTAGCACCGCAGCTGAGGAAGAGATACAGTGGACAGAGTATCCAGGGGACACCGAGGAAGGAAGAAGGATCCTCGCTTGGTTTGCAGGAGATTCCTCTGCCGACGAACTCTCCGGAATCCCCGCTTTCACCCTGTCAGTTGCCCCAAGGGCATTCACCACCCCCGTCCTCTTCAATCAGAGACCTTGGACCGATGAGTACAACACGCTCGTCGAGTTCAACTTCGACATACAAACTGCCAGGCTCACCCCAGAAGGAGCGGCCCTCATGGACAGAGGAAGAGCGGTGAGTGCATGCACCCGAAACGCCGAGAGACATGCAGTCCGAGACGTCAGTTTCACCCTCCCGATCGAGTCAGATGCCACAGACGCAGAGGCCTGTCGAAGGATTGGAATGGCAGAGCTCCGATCGCGGGAAGAATCCAGAAGAGCACAGGACGACCTCGAGCGTCACGAGGAAATTAGAGAGGACTTCCTCTTCGAGGTCCTCGATGAGGACTGTTCCGCCCTATCCGACTGGAGGCGAGCATGCTGGCAAGCGGAGGCACACAGGTGGGAGCATCCCGAGCCCTGGTCAACCCGGGGAAGTCAACAGTGGACTGCCGAGGAAGTCACCTGCTGGCATGCTGAGGAGGCCGCCAACAAGCGCGATACTCAGAGAGGTCATGAGGGACATCAAGAGGGTCCTCACTGAACAGATCATGGAAGTTCTGCCCACCCTGAACCTCTTAACATGGGAAAACCTATATGAATTAATGCAAGAAGATATGATAGTGGATCCCCAGTGGTTGCTCATGGAAGCAGGGGAGGATTACCTTGGCGCCCAACTCGACGGAGATGAATCTCTAAAGAAAAACATATTGGAAGTCGAGTCCTGGCATCAGGCGGCGATTGTATGGAATATATGCCACCCAGAATACTCAAAACCGCAATGCGCCAGCTATCGACAGCCAGCGCCAATGCCCCCCCCACCGGAAATCGAAAAATACTTTGCGGGAGGTGGTGGGACCGATGCGGGATACGTGGAAGATGAAGAGGAGGGGCCGTTGAACCAGGATAAAGGAAAGGGGTCCACGGTTTCACCTGTGAGGCCGCCACTGGGACCACCCCCACCGATGGGACCCAGACCAGCAGGATACCCGGGCGGGTATCCACCACCTAGGGACAATCCCGCCCTGCGGTCCTTACTGTGACCTCCTAATCCACCAGTACCCCCAGTTCCACCATCGCCTCTGGACCCTATTCCACCCTATCAGCTGGCCCCGGGTGCAGTCAATAACCCCTGGAACGATGTCAAACCCAAACTAATTACGCAACCGGAATACTTCACCGGGGTATCTTCAGATATCACCCGGTTCCTTCATCACTGTGAGCTTTATTTTCAGGTGTTCCCTATGTATTACACCATGAACGACGCCAGGCAGAACCCCTATCGAATCACGTTCGCCCAGTCCTACTTACAAGGAAAGGCCCAAGAGTGGTGGGTCGACCAATTCTATCGCTACTGGGACGCCTACGGACATTGGAGACTACTGTCATGGCAGGAGTTTACAGACGACCTTATGCAGCAATTCCGAGAAGTGGCAGAACTCGCCATCTGGAAGCAGAAGTGGAAGAAGGTTCGCCAAGCCAACTATAAATCGGCTATCGAATTCTTCTCGGAGTTCGAGAGATTGGCCCACAAATGCGAGGAGTTCGGAGATGAGAAGCAGATGTTCAAAGCGATCGAAGCCGCAGTATGACCATCGGTCCGGACCACTATCATGCACGGGGACAACGCGCGTCCCACTACCTATGTGGAATGGAAGTGGCAGGTCAAGAGAATTGACGCCAACTATCACTACAATTTCACGCAACAAGGAGGTAAGACCTCCCCGAACCAAAGTGGAGGTTCGGGTCGAGGCAATCAAAATCAGTCATCACAGAAGTCGGGAGGTTCTAGCGATAAGAAGGATGCCACGGGAACCACTTACGGTGGAGCAGGGCAACCAATGGAGATCGACAAGCTGCAGAGCGAGAAGCGATGCTTCAAGTGCAGAAATACCGGGTGGAGCCAGGACCATAAGTGTCCAACGGACAAATCAAAATGGATCCCTGTCAAACTCCCCCCTTGCAAAAAGATCCCCACTCAATGCTTGCGACAGCTGCTTGCCGAGGCCAAAAAAGAGGAGAATGGAAAGGACATGAAAATCGAGGAGGTAAAGGAGGAGAAGGACGATAAGTCGTCAAAAGACGAGCCGGCGTCGAAATAAGCGATTCGATGGCGTCAGCAAAGGACTTAGTTTCTAAGGGTGCGCACTCATGTACTTCTAGTCGGACTTATACTACATATGTAGGTACTCCATACAAACAATATCACAACTTTTTCGCTGCATTAACCGTAGAAGAAACTAAGGATGAAGAATCACAACATCAAGACAGCGTAGGAGGGGATTACCGCCGCTCTACGCAGTCTGCGTCCAGCACTGAACCCCAAGGGGCTGTCCGAGCTCAGGAACCCCCGCCTGACCATATGGGGAAAGTTCCCGATGCAAGGGAGAGGCCCTCAGGTCAAGGTCCGACTGAAACCAGACGTGGGGACGGTCACCCTGGAGTGGGAGAAAGGTTGACAACCCAGCCTGTTGGGCCTGTGGCTACACCATCTGTTCTGACAGGAGGCGCTGGAAAAGCAGCTGAGGCAATGAGCCTGGGAGACCACCCCCACTCAGTAGCCCTCTCAACAGCAAACGGTGGGGACCTCTCAGGGGAACCAATATGTGTGCGTCCATGAAGGGTTACCCGAAGTACCGCCGGGTGTAGGAAGAGCAATAAGGATGGACCACCAGTGGAGGTTACAACGCTGAGCACAAGTGCCCCGGGCCAGGGCCGAACACAGGGCAGCAAGCCCTCCTCCACCCCCTCGTTGAACAGCGACCAAATGCTGCCTAAGGGCCCTTCTCAGCCCGGTGACCAAATGCCACCATGAGGACAAGACCATCAATCTAGAGTCACGGTCAAGGAGGTACCAGACAAAGAAGCCCACTTGCGGTCCGATATTCCGATAACACCCCTGAAGAAGGCGCCTTCCATAACCCCTTCCCTCACTGCCACCCCCAACAATAAGAAAATCATCGCGGAGATGTACTATGAGCCCTTTGGGGTGCTATGGATGCGCCGAGCATTATGGATCGCGAAGGGTGATTCTGCAGCCCGAGCCATTCTCAACGGTTGGGTACACCCTCGTCGACTCACAGAAGTTACGGATCGGCTGTGCTACGATCTTGAGGAGCAGATGGAGATGGCCGCTCAAGCCAGGGAGTGGTGGGAATGGATGGAGGATCTGAAGAAACCACCAATGTACATACGTGGGAGAAAGGGATGGAATGTCTCAATAAAGCTACAGTTGGAGACCCTGGACATGCGGGATACCCATGCCCTAAGCACCTTAGTGGACAGCGGAGCAACGGGTAGTTCTATAGACCGCATCTGGGCCCGAGAGCATGGCCTCAACCTTAAAAAGGCAGCCCAACCTGTCCCGGTCTATAATGCCGACAGCACCAGGAATAAAGGAGGAGATATCACGGAGTATGCCGAGGTCAGGTTACGAATAGGAGATCACGTGGAACAAATTGACCTAGCCATGGTCGACTTGGGCACGACCCCTTTATTCCTCGGACACGATTGGTTGCAGCGTCACAACCCGCTGATCAATTGGGATACAGGGGCTGTCATGCTAGCACGATGCACCTGTCATAAAATTCCGTTCTCCTTTCCGGATACCGACCCCTCAGCCCAATGGGACCAGTATGAGGAAGGAGACACCATCCTCGTAATAGACTTTGAAGAAGCCTTCCACGTGCGGGCTATGGGGACCAAAGCGAATGAACTAGCCGCGCGGGGCTCACGCCAAAAAGACTACGAAGTCTTTCGACGAGATAGTACCCAAAGAGTATCGGGAGTTCAAGGATGTCTTCGATAAAGAAAACTTTGATGAACTACCCCCAAGGAAACCCTGGGATCATGCTATCGAACTGATCCCCAATGCTAACGCCAATCTAGACTGCAAAGTCTATCCCCTCAACCCGATAGAACAGGAGGAGCTGGATAAGTTTCTCGATGAGAACCTATCCACCGGCCGTATCCAAGCCTCAAAATCTCCGATGGCTTCTCCCTTTTTCTTTGTTAAGAAGAAGGATGGAAAACTTCGGCCGGTACAGGATTATCGCAAGCTGAACGAGATGACGATCAAGAACCGTTATCTGCTGCTGCTCATCAGGGAGCTGATGGACCGGTTGAAGAAGGCCAAATATTTCACCAAGCTGGACGTATGGTGGGGTTATAATAACGTCAGGATTAAACAAGGAGACGAGTGGAAGGCGGCATTCCGAACCAACCGCGGGCTCTATGAGTCCCTGGTGATGTTCTTCGGGCTCACCAACTCTCCCGCCACGTTCCAGTGGATGATGAACAACATATTCAAGGACCTCATAGCCACAGGAGAAGTGTCGGTGTACTTGGACGACATACTTATCGCCTCCAAGACCAAAGTGGAGCATAAATGGATCATGCGCAAAGTGCTCCAGATACTCCATGAAAACAAGTTGTTCCTCAAGGCGGAAAAATGCGAATTTGAGGTGGAGGAAACCAAGTACCTAGGGGTGATAATAAGCGAAGGAAAGATCTGTATGGATCCCATTAAGATTGCGGGCCTACTAGACTGGCCGGTCCCCCAGAAGAAACAAGAACTGCAATCCTTCCTGGGGTTTTGTAACTTTTACCGACAGTTCATTCGAGACTACAGCAAACACGTCAAACCGTTAACCTCACTCACTGGGAAACAGGAGTGGAAGTGGGGAGAGGTCCAGCAGAAGGCATTTGAAAAGCTTAAAGAATTATTCCGTGAAGACGTAGTGCTCACTATACCCTTGGACAAGGGACGATTTTGGGTGGAGGCGGATTCCAGTGAAGGAGCAGTAGGAGCGGTACTATCCCAATGGCAGGAGGAAAAATGGTGACCGGTAGTGTTTCTGTCCAAAGCCCTATCTGTTATGGAGCGAAATTATGAAATCTACAACAAGAAACTTCTGGCCATCATGATTGCCCTCGAAGAGTGGCATCAATACCTTATGGGAGCGAGGGAGGACTTCGAGATCTGGACAGATCATTCCAACCTCCAATACTTCCGCAAACCCCAGAAGCTCAACCGACAACAAGCTCGGTGGGTGACAGAGTTGGCAGAGTATCGATTTACCCTACATCATAAACCTGGGGCGCAGAACCGCAAGGCAGACCTCTTATCGCGGAGAGCAGACCATGACCAAGGAAAGGAGGATAACCATGACGTAGTCGTCCTCAAGGCAGAACACTTCTGGGCCTTAGTGATGCCCACCGCCGAAGAGTTGCACGAAAAGATCAAGGCTGCTACGCACGACCCTTGCTGGTGGGACAGAGGAATTTCCGACTCCCTCAATCATGAGAAGGGGGTCTCTCACGAACAAAATATGTTGTGGTACAATGGGCACATCTATGTACCGATTGATCGTGAACTCTGAGGAGAAATCATAGCCCTCAAGCATGACCATGTCACCATGTCACCGCCAGTCACCCAGGAATCAAAAAGACTAAGGAGCTGATACTCTGCGATTACTGGTGGCCACAAATACGACGAGATGTAGAAGCCTATGTAAAAGGGTGCGACGTCTGCCAGTGAACTAAAGCGGATCGCCGTCCCAAAAAGGCTCCCCTTCACCCCCACGAAGTCCCAACTCGTCCTTGGACCCATATTTCAGTAGACATGATCACCAAACTTCCCAATTCGAAGGGGTTCGACTCCATCCTGGTCATTGTGGATCAATTTTCAAAGACCATCATCCTCATTGCCTGCACCGAAGAATTGACATCCCTAGGCTTCGCCAAGATTTTGAGAGACTACATGTACGTACCCTACAGGGTGATGCCTGAAAAGGTCATCTCAGATCGGGGCTCAGTATTCATCTCAAAATTTATGAAAGAGTTCTATGCACTCATTCAGGTGAAGGGAAACCCCTCTACTGCATATCATCCTCAGACAGACGGTCAGACAGAAAGAGTCAATCAGGAGATAGAGAAATACCTGAAAATGTTCGTTAATCACTGACAAGAAGACTGGAGCGAATGGCTACCATTAGCGGCCTTTATGCACAACAATTGCCAACACTCGGCGATGGGGTACTCTCCATACAAAATCATATTTGGGAGGGACGGGCAAATGATGACGGGGACGAGAAGGACGACCGAAGTTCCAGCGGCAGCAAAATTGGTTGAGGAGATGGAAAAAGCACAGACGGAGGCGAAAACATCCCTAGAAAATGCGGCGGAATTAATGAAAAAGGCTTACGATAAACACAAAGATGCAGCTGTGGAATACCAAATTGGAGACAAGGTATGGCTCAACACAACCAACCTTCATCTCCCGCGACCTACCAAAAAGCTTGGAGATCGATGAGTCGGTCCCTTCACCATTACTGCCAAAAAGGGGGCGTCGGCGTACGAGCTGAAACTACCAGTAGGATGGAGGATTCATAACCGTTTTAATGAATCCCTTCTCACTCCATACGTCGCTCCCACATTCCCAAATCAACCACGTCCCGAAAGACCACCCCCAGAATTAATCGAAGACGAAGAAGAGTACGAGATTGAAGAAATAGTAGAGCAAAGGGACAAAGTAGTTGGACACAGACGAAATCGTCACACTATAACCGAGTACCTCGTCAAGTGGAAAGGTTATCCGATGGAGGAAAACTCTTGGGTCAAAAGGTCGAACATGGCCAATGCAGAGGAGCTCGTTAATGAGTATGAGGCAAAAGTTCAGCGAATAAAAGGGAAAATCGCCCGAGCCGAAGATGGGTTGTCGTATAACAGCGACACCCAACAAGACTCTTATCCCTCCTCCCTTTCTTCACAACCCACAGTCACCAGTGATGAAGCAAATGGCTTACCTATATTCGACGAGGGCAACGAAGATGAGTCAGAAGTTAATCTGGAAAACCTACAACGAATCCACGAAAATTGGGAGTGGGATAGTGACGAGGACGCCGATGAAAACTCCATTACTTACTACACAGATTCAGCCACCCTGGGGGAGAGTATGGACTCATTCGGGACGAATGAGTCTTAAGAAGGGGGTAATGTTACGGTTTATTCGTTTTCTCTTTTCTTTTCTCTTCTTTTTCCTGCTCTGCTCATAATCATGCTTACTCACATGCTTCTTGCCATTTAACCAGAACTCTCACAGTACTATTTTTAGTGTGTATCAACTTGTATTTAAGTAATAGCCTACGCTGGCCTAAACCCCAGCTTCGGCTAAGGTCTAATCTACCCAACTCAAAGCTCCCTGTTTCATGACTATCTAAGTCATCGCCCAACTCTCTCAATCTCCTTTGACCTCTAAGAGTATCGTCCACCAAAGTGCGAGTGGCGATCCTTAGTTGATCTAAGTCGATTTAGTTGGTTGTTGACACATCTCCTGAGTCAAATTCTTCTCCAGCCGCCTTCCCCACTCTTGGAGTGTATGCAGGTAGTGAGCAGCATGGTTCTCAACTCGCTCAAGGTTGAAGTGGGGAGAAGCCACCTGAATCAAGGCAGATGCCGAAGGAAGACATGAATTCGGCCACATGTACTTGCGCATGAAATCTTCAGCTTCATATGAAGAGTACTGTGATTCAGGGAAAGTCGAAGCGGATATGACAGCGGTAGCATTGTGGGGCTTCAATGCGAAAGAGACAAGTCAGAAATAATTGGAGTAGTGTTTTGACCCGACATGCTCAAGCATCTCGATGGAAACAAATGCATTGAAGGCATTTTCCCATTCGGATGGGATGTCCCGGTAATCAAGGAGGTGGACACGGATTTTGTTGGAAAGACCGGCAGCAGTGATTCTTTCCTCAGCGAGCATCTTCTGCTCAATGGAAAGCATGAGGGTATCAACAGTGCATCCGAATGTGCTAGCAGCCTGTAAATGAGAAGGTGAGAAAATTGATATCACTGAAAGGAATGAAAGAAAAGTCACTTACCTCGATCATGAGTCCTCCCCATCCTGAACTGAATTCAAGAACACGATATCCTGGCTTGAGATGAGCCTGATGAAGGACATGGTGAATTTTTCTCTGCTGGGCGGCTTCGAGGTTGCCAGGAGTTGGACCGATTTTGAGATCACCTCGGACTCCACCCTTGGATTCATCCCAGAGTGCACATGAATACATCATTTCAGATGAAAGGAAAGCTTTGAAGAGCTTGTTCGATTGATCGTAGGATGCAATCATGTTTAGACATGTGTTACTTTTTGTCTGGCCAAGGAAGGAGTTGTAGAAACTTGACAGGATCGAGGTGATGCGACTAAAAGTAGATGACAAGGTGTCTTCCATTGTAGACTGGTTATCGAGCCATAGCTAAGAAGACGCATGTCAATCCCCATGTATGTCTGGACTTAACAGAGTATGCATGTTCATTGCCGCTCTCAGGTCGGGTAGCTCGATCTCGCCTATCATGTATGCTTCACTGACTAAATTGAGTTAGCTCACAACTGATTGCTGATTGGCAGTTACATGGGGTACATACAACCAAGATCACCGGAGCTGCCGAAGGGAAGTGGTTAATCCATCAGCAAGTCAAAAAAATCCAGATAACTACATACAGCATGAGGCGAAGCCAAAAGCTGTCATTTCTGACTTTGATGTGAACAAGATCGCAGCCTTTCTCATTGGAGCCATATGTATGGGAGCCTTCGGCATCATCAACGATGAGATATCCAGATGAGATGGTGCTTGTAAGCGCCAACAGAATCGATTGGCGAGCAAATGAAGTAATCCATAGTCGGGGGGAGGCAGCCATCATGAGAACACTGGGAGATGAGATAGTGCCTTCAGTGGAAAATTGCATGCTGGATTTTGAGGCCATTGCTAAGAAGAGAGGTTGAGGTTGATGGTTTCAATAGTGGAAACTGAGGGATCTTTATACATCTCGGGATGTTTGAGATGGAATCAAAGTGAAGGTGCATCCTCAAAAGCCAACCGAACAATGTCAAGGAGGGATCCATGCCAAATGTCAGGAATATCGAGGGTAGGTGCCTCCTCCTCAGATGCGTGACATACTCCAGTCTGCGGAAGATAGAGTGTAACGTGATCCCTAATCCACCCATCAGCTGCGAACACTGGTGGTGAATCAGAATCCAGATGCTTCGCTTCATGGTTTGCATCAAAGTCCTTGAAATCCACAGCTGCAAAGTCGGGTGCAAGAATAACCTCATTAACGAGGCAGTTGAGATCACTGAGGGTCTTTGTAGTTGTCGAATAGAACCAGTGCATCAGCTGGCAGATACTGGGATTGATGAATGGTGCAAACCATGAAGTCGCTGAGTCTGAGGAGCCAATTGCAGGGTCATCAGCGATATGAGCACCATAAATGCAGAGTGGCGAACAATGTTGGAGATCATTGGGAGGAAGGGAAAAGGTGGGGACATCACAAAGATTGGCTATAGTTGTTGCATCATCGAGATCAACTGATGGTAACATTTTATACTCATGATACAGGCCAAAGTCATTTGGTTCTGTTCAGATGGGTGGATCTGGTGTCGATGCACGTGAGGATTCTGGTGAGGAGGGTACTGTTTCCATTGATGGGGAGCAGGCTGGCAATGGTGGTGGTCGGAGTGCTGCATACTGTTGGAGGGGAGCGAGGTAGCCGCTTGCAGGCAGGAAATCTTGAAAGCGTCAGGGGGATCCTACAGTTTCATTGGGACCATTCAAGAATCTCAGGCTCGGATGGAGGTCCAGGATCAGGTAGAGAGGGGGGTTCCATTAGTGTGTCGGTATCTAATATGCTTGTTTCTGGAGGCTAGAATATCATAGAATTAAAGACGAAAAACAAAGATATACAAGTGGAACTTACAGTTGAATGTTTGGTCTCTACAGGACCAGGAGAACCTTTCTTATCTCCTCTCCTTGCCCTTAGTGCCAATGCCTGAAGATGTTTTTCCCCACCAATAGACGATCGGACTTTTTTACCCAGCCCACCGACTGTCTGTGACTGGTTCACATGTATCGAGCAGCGAGACTTGTGGGCACTAATAGAGCATGCACTGTTCATAATCTTCTTGCAGTAATCACACTCATAGGCTACCATGGCAAAAGTCGCAGCAAAGAAAAAGATAATAAGTAGATTGGGGAGTTGCATTTCCTGCCAGAGACTTGGGTAAGTCTATATTCAAAAAGGGACAATTTTATAGTAAATAGTTATCTTTTGGCAGGTTAATGCACTGGATTTCAGACCAGGAAGTGTAGCAATGCACGTTCCCTGTGACGATGGTGGTAGAGCAACCGGCAGGTCTGTCACAGTGATGTCATGCAAATGTGACTGACACGTCGACAGATGGGATGTGACAGATCCCTGTCCCTAGTTCCTTCCTACTATCATCCTCCTACCATGGTCAAGCCTGCTTCCTCCCATTCTGCCAAGCCTTCATCTTGTTCCTCATGCATTAAACCTCTGAGCAAGCCAGCATCAGGTAAGCCAGCATCAAGCAAGCCTTTGAGCAAGCCTGCAAGCCAGCCAGCAGCGAGCATGCCCTTGAAGACAAACACCAACCACCAGTTCGACCTTGAGAGATTTTAGGCCCAAAAGACACCAATAAACAACCAGCCAAAAGACAGTTTCTGACTCCAGTAACCTCAGACCTGATAGAAGAGGAGGACGAGAATGATGATGTCAAGGTGGAGCAAGATAATCATGAAGAGGAGAGTACTGGAGACGGTGAATTGGATGGTAGTCTGGAAGAGGATGGGGATGGCAACAATGACAGTGATGATGATGGGAAGAGTAGCGATGATGACGACAAGGAGGATAGCAAAGATGGAGGTAGGAAGAGGAAGAAGCAAAAGGCCTGCCATGGATATTCACAGAAGTAAGTGCAATCAACAGCATATATGTGCATATACTTGGTTCTGATTTTCATCTCATCAAAGAGAATTTCATGCTCAGCGTCTCTCATACAGTTGGCAAGTTGGTCCCTCATGTCATTGCACTCTTCACCCCCATCGATGATATCATGTGGGCTGGTGTTAGTCATTCCAATAAAGCTAAAGAGTGCATTGTCCCTCTTGTAGATGAATTTACTCTAACAGTCATAGACATGGAATCAAGGTCGATGCTCACCCTTACACGACACCCAATGAGAAGTCGTTCGATATTCTGGTCACCTTCCTTGAACGTGATGTGACTATCTTCGAGGCGCTGACAGGATATGCATTATGGCTCATCCCATCCCCTGAGGAATACAAAGCCTGGGAAAAGCTCATGGAGTTCCGACCACCTCATTCCTCAGTGAAGCCTGATTCTAAATCATATCCCTGTTTTGCTCCCCACATTACACTCACCACATTCGCCAATTTACCACCCGCTTTTGATATAGACAAACTCCCTATCTATGATCTCAGGCCTCCTGTGATGAAGTTTGAATCATGGAAGCGGGGCGACACGTACCTCGGCATTCTCATCATCAAGCTATCAAAGCCTCGCAAGCTTAAGCACCTTCATGGAGCGATTACCAACTATTTGGATGACCTCAGCACTGAGTGGAAGAGTCGCAACTTCTCACACATGTTGATTTTCTATGTCAATGAGCCACAAGAGAGGCTTAAATTGGAGGAGGGTTTGAAAGACTACAAGCAGATGGGGACTTTTGGCGACAGTGGGGATCTGGACCTGTACAGCCGATTCATGGGAACAGAAGTCTGGCTGGTCGATTGCACAATGCACGCATTCAGTGAGGCAGTGGAAGGTGATGGGGAAGAGGTCACTCTCCACATACAGGCTCAGAGAGCTTCGTTCCTGCCACACAGGATCCATCACCTTGCTGGTACCTACCCAGGCTGTGACGACCACTGTATCACGACCCACAGAACCACAAAAGCATCACTCTAGCAAAATCAAAAAGCAGGAGGACCCCTCCCCAGGAACCCGTCACAAATGTCAAACATTCGACACCATGCCAGTACCTACCCAGGCTGGTCCTCCTGTACCTGCGTCTGCTTTACATCAGCCACAGTATGCTATGTCGCCACCCATGGAGAAGAGTGTCCTTCCAACCAGGAGCCCTTCTCATTCTACACTGAACTCATTGAAGACAACTACTCTTCATTCATGCTCACCTGGGTCGTCAATTCGAACAGCAAACAACGTATCATGTCCCAAAGAGCCATGAAGGCGTCACCCTAGCAAATCATTTTCATCACCATCTCCACCCACCCCTGCAACCACCTCGATCTCGGATGCCTCTAAGACACCTATCTCGCTCACATACACAGTGCAGTGCACACAGCCAACATGCCACAGCCAAGCAAAACCATCAATAACTGCTATGGATGTTGATCCACCACCTGTAGGAGCTGCACCACATCTTTAATGCATCTATCTGACATGATGGGTCAGTGGCCCAGCTACCTAGCGACGAGCTATAGTCATTCGCATACCCCAGTACCAATTTTTTTCCCTTATATTTATAGCCCTCCCCCAGCATGTTCCCTTTTACTATACATCTAGATTCCATAGATGAAGCATAAAAACTACATACCAGTATCATCATGGATAATATCGACTTGTAGCAGTGTTAACATACAAAATCAGAAGCCCAACTTTGACTCTCGTTACTAGCAGGTGATAAGAAAGCGTCTTCGGCATAAGATAGGTTTGTAGCAGATAATCAGTGAGAACATGACATTGGAATTGTACATGTATGACAATGAAATAATATAGGTGTCTTCATTACTTCACTATGATGAGGTACACTGGACATGCTATGTTGTGGTGGAATACAACAACTTCAGTCAGCCCAACAAGGGATTGCACCTCCACCTGTAACAACGACTGTTATTCAATCAATGCACCTCAAAAACCAAAATTCATGCTCACAGAATCATATCCCTTATCCGGCTGGAGCCTATACCAATTGTCAAAGACCACTTTCTGTGGGTTTCTCAGGACTACCCTCATTGTGAAGACTGCTTTGTATTTAGATCCTGAACTGCTGTTATCCACATATTGGAATGCCCTAGGGACATGTGCATAAGATGAGGTCTGTGAAAAACTTGGTGGTCACATACATCCAGGATGATGGAGCCATGTATATACCACACCCAAACTGAGCTCCCCATGATTCATGGCAGGGACAATCCATGATGGTCCTGCTTCAGGCTCTGGTTCGACTTGGTCTGTCCAACATGGAGCCTCCCTAGTGATTCGAGGTCAATGGCTGGGTCTGTTGGACTCTGTGCTGCATAAGGTAAGGTAAGGTAAGGTAAGATCCAATTTCCCAAAACCAAACACAGACCTTCCGAATTCTGCATCGTAATGAGGACTTCACAACCCACAATCTAACTTGGCCTACAGTTAGGGTTCGTTTCCCTCTTCACCGGCCAATTGGCATACCTTTATGATCTTGAGCATCTTGTTGATGGTAGATATGACTTAGTCATATCAATGTATTGCTGGTCCTAGCAAACAACTTCATTGGGCCTCACGAACCTTGGCTAAAGTATTTCAACTTACGAAACTTATTCTGCATATTGCAGATGAATATAATAGTCGACTCTGGGCAGATGGACATTGTTAATGGGTGGGTTGGAAAGGACCATGGTGGCAGAGTTCCGGTATGGGATCTGAGTCAGTGTCACTGGATTAACCTTGGCTTCAATGATCAAAACTGATACTGCACGATCACAGCGCAATGAAACTAGAAGCTACAAACTAAAGGAGATACAAACAATAGGTGAGTCTTGTAAAGTACCATCAGCTTGGACCATAATCACTATTCTGATGTGTTATCTTGTATTATTAGTATCGCCTGGAAACAACAAAGGTTCTGAACATTCATGCATCAGGAGTTGCAGCATCACCTCCTGGATGTTGGTGGTAGTACATGCCTTCCATGTCTTATGGGTACCAAGATAATGAGCCCATCTGTGAAGCCTTGTCTTCATCACTCAACAAACAGGCATTTCCCCTCATTCCCCATCTTTTCCAATCTTTTCTAGGTGTCCGGTTACTCTTCTGTGTAACATGATATAACTGCCCTCCAATACCATTGCACCATGCCAACATTAGCCTTGATATCAATGTTTCTATATCCCAGCAGTCTGTTCTCTCAGCTCAATTCAGTATTGGCCTGTGTCACAGTCTTTGCCATCCAAGTGATTGTTAATGAAAAAATGATGATGCAGAGATAGGTTGACTCAGACTTGGAATCCAGATACACTGCATAATGCCTACCTTTGAAGATGCACCAAGTACTGGAAAGGAAACAGCCTCCAGAAGAGATCAGGATTCTTCAAGCTCATCATGAGGTGTATGTTGCATTAGTGGGAGTCAGAGTGACCAATTATTGATGATTATGAGGTCAATTATGGCAATGATTATAAGTCCAATTATAAGTTGTAATCATCATCATAATCACTCTGGCTCTGACTGTATACCAATTACAGGTAACAAATGTAAAAGGGAGGATCCATAATTGCTGTTCATAATCGGTGCCATAGTTGTTTCCATAATTGTTTCTATGATTGTCCCATATACTCTGACTCCCACTATTTCTCCTCCCCTACTTTTCTGATAGATGAATCATTTCCACTGTCCAGGGTAAACTTTTGTCCATTGTATATGGCCATGTTAGGGTATAGCTTGCAGACATTGACACCCTTGCCAGTCCCTTTCCAAGACTCAGGAGCCATCAACATCACTACCATACACTTACCCACCTTTCTTCTGTCAATCTTGCAGCCAAATTTCATGTTGTGATGGACCAAACTTGATCTGACAGCTGTGCTGAAACCTCACTGGGATGGTTTCCTTGATTCTGTAGGTAAGGATACCGTTCCAACTTGACACTGATGATCATCTTTGAAGCAACCAATGAGCATGTCCAGTGACTGCACTGTTATAACAAGAGGGTGGTATATGATATTCTCATAACCCACTCCCCCATTTCTCTTACTGGACCTCATGGCGACTCAGACAGATATTCCACCTGATCTTAGTGACTCAGACAAAGCTTTCATGTTTCAATTTCTTGATGATCAGCTGAACTCCTCAATTCTCTTTGCATTATTGCATGGTGGGCAATGACATTCAGTGTTTGACATGCAGGTGTTGAATAATGACAGGCATATACACTGGCATTCTTTCTGTTACGCTGTGGAATATATGTGAGCCAGGAGCATCTATACCATGTCATCCAAACTAATGTGAGCGGTACAGTCATCAATAAATGTTCACCTCGCCACCAAGCCCCAGTCATCATTATTATTCTCCTCCATGCTTTGACTACTATCTCTTTTGCTGTCACATGGTCATTTATATGCTCCACATTCATCCAAAATGGACAAAGTTTTTGGACTGTATTCTCGAAGCTTGATGGTGTGAACCGTGCACTCTATTTGGAGCAGGGTATTGCAGCCTGCATGAGTACCATTCTTGCAGACTCATATATTGTGTGTGCTATGTCACTGGTGATCCACATCAGCTTACCATTGTTTTGACTTTAGATTTGGTGCTGTTGGATGGTTTGGGGACAGCGCTGGCTTATCATCCTGCTTCCAATCCTTTCCCTAATTTCTGCAACTGGTAAAGTGTCTGATCTCATCTACTCTTTTCACATATCCAACTTTACATATGTCTAGTGTTGAAAATCATTGAGGTATATTATGGGTACTTGAATGCAGCAAACCCAGTATATCTGATGCCCTACTCATCCCTCATCCTGGCAACAACATTATGGTGCACACTGCTCATCATTTTCCGCATTTTCACTGTTACCAGGGTTAGACATGGAGGTGGCAGCCGGCTGAGAGTTTATCACCATTTTATTCAAGTGCTAGTGGAATCCTCCACTCTCTATTCAATATCTCTCATCCTATATCTGGCTCTCTTCTATAACAATACTTTCAGATGGTATTGTCTTGATACCATAACTGCCATTGCAAGGGTGCGTTCACTATCCTGGACTCCCTCATTGTTTATCAAACACCTTGTGTAGGGAGTTGCACCCACACTTCTTGTTGGCAGAGCAGCTGCAGGACACACATGCCCAACTGAAAAACAAGATGAAAGTGCGACAGTATCAACCCTTCGTTTCCAAATGTCTTCACAATCATCTCAACCTTCGCAACCTTCCACTTCAAGCTTTCAGGAATCCACAAGGCAGAGTGCAGTCCTTGAAATGGACATTGAAGCCCAGATGGAGCAGTCGGATGAGTTCATGGTAGTTGTTGAAAAGACACAATAGAGCTCATGGAGAATGTCTGAAAGTCAGGGAAGTGAGACTTTGGGCTTGATTTAGACTGTAATTTTTTGTCATGCTATCTTTTTTTACTATTGCATTCTCTACTTACTTGATTTTTCGATCAATATAGACTTGTAGCCTATCTAAACATCTGTAATCCCTCCTTGCCTTTGTTCCTTTATGTATGAGCTTGTATGACAGTCCTAAGGAGCATTATTATTCCTACATGTTCATGAGTACGGTAACTGCAGAGAATGTAACTGATAACTCAGGCCATACTCTCTTCTCCAATGTCACCTGATTCAATGTAAGTATTTGCTGTGTGTCTACCCTACAGCTTGCTTCAAGGATGCGTCAGATTTGGTGCACTGCATTGTAGAGGAAGCATGGGGGGATCATCTTAGATCGAAACTGAAGCGCCATCTGCACCATGACCATCCGGAAAGACCACAAGAATGGTATGTATACATTAATTAGAGCCTAATCTTTGAACAACACCGACATAGTAGGGTATCTCTAATTACTACTTTTCGATAGCAACATCCCAAAGCCTACTGCTTCCTCTTCTTCTTCTTACCCTCCCCAGGAGCAGACCTAATAGCCTCCATAACCTGATCATCCAACACACCCACATGCTTTTCTCACTTCTCCTTGTCTCCTCCTTCACCAGGTCCCTCCAAAGCACCCTTCTTCCTCACTTTCTTGAACACCATCTCAATCTCATCTACCTCTCGTTTCCGTTTTTGCTTCAGTTTCTCTACCTTGACCTCTTCCACAGCAAGTTCCTCCTTCACCTTCCCAACCAAATCCCTCCACTCCCCTGGCCTCCTCTTTAACACATACAAATTCAACGCCCTAACAAAAAACTTCCCATAAAATGATGCAGCCAAACTCTGCTCGTAATCCATCACACTCCATGCAATCTTTTCCTGAGAACCACCACAAACATCAGACCTGCATCTCATCCCACATTGAAATGTCATATACCTTCATATACGTATCACTCCACCCCCAACACCTCTCCCCCACCCGACTCCTGATCCTGTCATCCACCAGTTCATGGAAATGGCCCAAGAAAGCTAGGACAAGCAGATGCTTGACTTTGTGTGGGACTGTGGGAGAGTTGAGGAATATGTCGAGGACACAGGATGAGATGGGGTGCTGGGCGAGGGGGATGAGTGATGTTATGGGGAGAGATAGGATACTGAAAAAGAAAAAGTTTGAGTTTAAAAAGCGGGGAGAGTACTGTTGACTAACCTCTCTATGGTCCCAGCATTGTATGGATCCTTCAGACGCAGCATGGACTGCAATAACAATGCTCCCTGTACATTCAGCTCCGGAAGTATACTCGTGGACTTGTAATCCTATTCCACAACACACATGAGCGCTGTACAGCCAATAGGGACAAACACAAACCTCAACCGTCTTCAGACTCATCACAGCCCTAATCAACACCTCCACTTCATCCACCTCCTCACACCCAAACGCACCCTTCAATGCACCCCAAACGTCCTCCCCACCTCCCCCAACTTCTACCATAGCTTTAACCACACCTAACCTACCCATCTTCACTGCCCTCCCCCACCAACCCATCCTCAAAACACCGAGCTGCTCGGTATTCGCCCTACCCACGGCTCAAGCCAGCATGTAATTCGAGACCGCATGCGTCATGAGCCGTTCGATGCCACCGTTCTCTGGGCAGAGGTACATACCCCAGAGAACGTCAAATACTGGCTGAGAAGCTTGGGTGACAATGGTTTTGAGTAGGTGGGACGAGGTGGCGTCTCAGAGGAGAGTGTGGATGTAGTCTGACTCAGTGGTGGGCGTCGAAGAGTTCACTAATAATCATGACAATGATATGAGTTATGTCCCCAGAAATAGTAAGTACTCATGTGTTTGACCAACCATACCGACCAATACATGGTCCATTAAGCTGCCGCTTTCATTTGACATACCATGCTTGGCTTCAACTTTGATGAGAACCTATCATGAGCATCAATATATGCCGAGAAACATCCAGCAATAACCCACATCAAGACCAGGACATGCAACCTTACTCCCCGCACATGCCCTTACCTCATTATCACTCATCCCCTTCCTAAACGCACCCACAATCTTCCTCGCTGCCTCGTCAAAGCTCCTTGGCCTCTCCCCCTCCCCCTCCACCCCCTTTTCTGATGCAAAGAGACTCCACATCTCACCTTGCTTGCCTTTCCAGCTTTTACTGCGCTTGGAGGTCTGGGATTGAGTTTGGGTGTTTGGTGTGGGAGAGAGCAGGAGAGCGAGTGCACGGACGATATGTGAGCCAAAAGGGTTGTGGAGGAGCGAAGACAGGATGGGGAGGAGTTCCTGTTCAGGTGGCTGTAAGTAAGATTGGTCTGGTCTGGATGTGATGAGAAACGTACGTCACATAAATCCAGTACAAGTTCGGTCATCGTTGGGAGATGTCCCTTTTTTGCGTCACCTTGTGGTATTTCAGGTAGTATACCTTTAGTCTACATAGAATAAATCAGCCATTATTAATATTCTTGGCAAAAGATTTGATGAACCCCACCTCTCTCGAAACAGTCTCCCCAGAAACCTCGAGGAGGGTCTGACAGACATGCGATGCGAAACGATGTCGAGTGAGTATTTCGTACCTAACCTCATCAGCAAAACCACAAAATAAAACCAAAACCAAGTCACTCACGACCCTGTCAAACTATCCATAAACACCCTCCTCGCAAAATCATCCATCAAATGCACCATCCTCTCCAACACCACCGAACACTCTGGGTCAGTTGCGAGTTGTTTTTCTTTCCCTGTCATCTCTGTGAGGGCAGCGAGGAAGAACGTGTGTTTTTCTAAACACAAAAATTAGCTTTCTCCTTCCTTTCTTGCATGCTAAAACCCACCTTCATCATCCACCTCCACTTCCCTATCCTGCCACTGCCGCATCTGCACATCCACAGTCCGGAAATACGCCTTGACATCCACGTCGAGGTACCCAAAAGGTGCTTCCGAGTCTTGCTCCTGCTGGGGATTCGCAGCGGGGATGATCCATGATGGTCCAGCTTCAACTTCAGGCTCTGGTTCTGCAGTATGTTGTTGTTGCTCGTCGAGGGCAGGCTTTTTGTGTTTCTTGCCTCTTTTTCTGTTTTCGCGGGGCATGGCAGCCGGGAGTGAAATAAAGGTGCATATGTGGCTGTGCAACTCACGTCTACGCCTTGATTTCCACCAGAATATATTCCTTCAAGTCAACCCTCCGTGCATTTGAGGATTACATATCTACATACTCAGATGTCAGACACCCGGGCCATGGATCCAAATCATGTGCAAGGGCAAAGGGTGCAGAGGCATAGTCACATCTGTATTGGAACCCACAATTTCTGACCTGAAATATGAAGTGCAATGCTCGCAGCCTGAATGAGTGCATCCCATTCTGACTCTCCTATCCAGGGTCCTGAGATGAATCATAGCCTCCTATCTACGACTCTGCTTTTAACTCTCAATCTATCAGTTACTTATTTCTCCAAAATATATCATCGTCCCATGCCTCTGTTTCCACCAGCATACATCCCTGCTTCTCCCATCCCTTCCAAGCAACGTAAGCTTATCACCTTCCATCATTGTCTCAACGTGGCTGAACTTCTCGTACAGTAATCCGTATGTTCAGCACACTTTCAAATATCAATCCAAGCTGGATCTTCTTCTTTATTACATAGGAAGCTTTGAAGCTTTCCACGAGCCATGGCAAGGTCCTGGCAGGGACCTCTTAATTCAGTACATCCATGACTGTCATCGCCATCGATACATGTCTGGCTTGAATTCCACCTCCATCTATTCGTCATCCAGAACAGGCAAGTCGCGCATCGCAGATGTAACTGCTGAGTAACTCTTTTGTTTTCCCATGAACATACGAGAAACACTTCATGATGGATTTCACGGTGAGTTCATCGTTATCTTCTGATTCTCTCGCTTCATGTCCGTAGCTTATCCTCCCAGTGATACCATCCTAAACGACTATCTCGTTCCCTCCTGGGGTCAGGTCAACAAACCGAACTTGATGTACAAGTATGCCACTTTCTTGGCTACTTTGTTTTCATATACCATGGAGACTCTGAAGAGCGGTGGAGAGACGTATTCGACACCAGAAGCTCTTGCATTGGCATGGAAACAGCGCCTTGCAGCAGGTGAGACAGCCACCACAACAGGTCCCTTTCGTTCTGGCTTCTACACCGAAGTGGTTAGAAGGCCGGATCAGTATCTGGATATAATTGTAGGTGCCCACATACCACCGCTTCATGACCTCCCCACAAACACACACACACATTCCAGGAAAACAGATCAAGTACGTACTTCTTTTTAAACTATCTCTATTGTATTCACGTGCCCCAGTGAAAATCAAATGGAAGCTTGAGATAGCTACACGAGACCTCGTCGCTGTTCTCAATCAAAAAGTTGTACCTCCACGCTATGACAGGCCATTGGAATTCTTCATCTACCTTGACAAAGCACACACTCTGACAGAAGGCAAACTTACCCAAGCCATTGGTAGCCCTCCTTCCTGTGCTCTGGACATCTTCAATACTGTCTTGGGATGGCTAGTGGGGTTTCCATTCTTCACAATATACATATCCACAACCAATCTTGAGCCAGCTGCTATGCCTTCCATTTCTTACGGGCCTGTGTCTCGTCAGGAACCCCTCAATGCCCATACTCCATTCACTGAGCTCCCCTTTGACGTATTCGCACATGATGTCATGGGGTATCTTGGTGCTCTAGGAGGAGGACGCATTTTCCTTGAAGACACGCATAGTGAACAATACCTGAGAAAGTTCAGGTGACCTTTGTGAGTTGCCTCCATTGCAATACTGAAAACAAAACAAAGACTCCGACTCCTTGACTAGATGGAACAGCCACTGTCTCGAAAACTACCCCAATAAATACTGGATCCAAGATGAACTAAGCGCCAGGCAGACCATCAGAGGTCGAAAGGATCTCCTTTATGCATGTGTGGGCCTTACTGTCCAGTTCGACTTTGACCGTTCGTCCCCTGCTGCCTGAACCACGCAAGCCAAACTCATGTGATCTCACTTGAAGATTCCCCTTGTCATCCCTCGAGACGGGCAATCCATGATCGCCAAGTACCCATCAGAACCCCTCCTCATCAAAACAGCATCCCAACTATTCCCAGGAGGTCAACTGAAAACATACATCCCACACGCACTCAACAAGGCAGATTCAGAGGGTATCCTCACCAAGGATAACCGACCCCAGCTAGTCGGCAGGTGCCTCATCATCCTCGCCCAATGAAGCACCATTTCCCCCTTCCTCCCTTCCTCCTGATTGCCATTTGGATATATGATAGCCCACGGTCACCCAGTTCCCGTTCTGGTCTTTCTCAACCACATGTTCAACCAGAAATGGCAAGACTCCATCTTGAGCATCCGGCCTGTCGGTGATGAACACGGACCCCCTCTCCACGAAGCATTCAAGGATGTCTATGTCAATTTCACCCATTTCGCTGCAGCTGGCGACAGCAAGGTCATCCAGTACCTGCCCCATGTGATGCTTCAGTTCTTGATGTACGGCTGCTGCTCTATGAACTCTGTCGACTTGATCACTGTAATGCACCATGATTCTCTCCAGAATCCTCTCTGCGATAGCTCGATGTCTCAGCTGGCTTTCCAGATTCAAAACTGTGCTGAAGAGGTTCCAGTTTTGGTGGAACCACAGACTGTTATGCCGGCTCGAAGGGACCTTCCTGTGCTGTCGTTGCTTATGCAGTTGGGGATCGAGGATAGGTCAAGGCATCGGGTCGAGTCATTCATACCAGGAGGGCACACCGAGAGCATCCATCGGAAGCATTATCAGATTAACGCTGTCAGATGTTCTTCCGAGGTTTTCACTGTGAAGGAAGAGTGTACCTATCAGAGACTTTTGCATCCGACGTCCAGAGATGACTTTGCTAGAAAGCATAAAGATGCAAATCTTTCAGCCTTTCACACACAGAAACCGGCATTTTTCGCTGATAAAGTCGAGTCATGAAACTGGCTGCAGGATGAGATAAAGAGTGAGGAGGATATCAAGAAGGCTTTGGTAATGTGAACCTGGACACGTAATGTACACAATTCTGCAATTCTTATATGTAATAACATACTGTAGTAATAGCACACTTGCCTTTCGGATGTAACCAGGTCAGCGAACACGTTGCAAAGTCAGAAAACAAGCAAGATAAGGTCGATAATGTTCTAGCAGTCTATGCATTGTAATTCGATGAATTATCACACTGACTACAAACCTTGAGCAGTGTGCCGCTCGTGAAGAATGAGCGAGGTGCCAATTGCTTATGGAGTGGTGATTCATAATGTTACTTGGTTCGCTGCATACATTACATTTGGAGAAAGTACCAAGAAAGCTTTTAAAAATGTTCCCGGTTCTTAAATCATCAGTGGGGAACAGAAGCAATAGGAGCTTACTTTCCCAGTATACGTACATCCAGCTAGTCTCCTCTCAGTCGAAATCGTGCTGCTCGGTGAAGCCAATAACTTTCAGAGACCGATGAATGGTTTCATGATGGGAGAGAATATTCGTTTAGCCTCAAGAATTCGAGAGAGTAAAGACACCAATGCCAGTATTTGGATCTGCGAAAGCCAAAGCCAGAGCTTAAAATGACTGGAGCCAGATACATTCTTAAAGCAAAAGTTGAATCCCAATCACAAGTAATGCCCGTTGAATCGATCTACTATGAAAATCTGGAGGAGGTTTGAGCAGATTATTGATAACATTATTAGCATCTCGATACCATTAGAGTATTTTACACAATAGACTGTTGCATTATTCTTCTAAATTTTGTAATAAATACCCGAGAATAACAATATCCCAGTGCTCCACAAGTCCGAAGAAAACTAGTTCTTGAGGAATGCAGAATTGTGCTCAGTTGCACATCTCAGGCGCATCATTCTAAGGGGGGGAAAGATCAATTAATACATTGCAAAATTTAACTTCACAAGAAAGGCTCACCTCTCGAATGAACATCAGCATATGGCATGTAATGTAGCCCTTAGTGAAGCCTGCTCCAGCATAGGCAAACAGGTACATCCACTTCCGCTTGAACGATTCATACGACTGCTTATCGTTCAATCCAGGATAATCCTTCACAACCATCTCCTGAGTCAAATTCTTCTCTAGCCGCCTTCCCCACTCTCGGAGTGTTCGCAGGTAGTGAGCAGCATGGTTCTCAACTTGCTCAAGGTTAAAGTGGGGAGAAGCCACCTGAATCAAGGCAGATGCCGAGGGAAGACATGAATTCAGCCACATGTACTTGCGCATGAATTCTTCAGCTTGGTATGAAGAGTACCGTGATTTGGGGAAAGTCGAAGCAGATACAACAGCGGTGGCATTGTGGGGTTTCAGTGCGAAAGAGACAAGTCAGAAGTAGTTAGAGTAGTGTTTCGATCCAATGTACTCAAGCATCTCAACGGAGACAAATGCGTCGAAGGCATTTTCCCATTCGGATGGGATGTCCCGGTAATCAAGGAGGTGGACGTGGATTTTATCAGAAAGACCAGCAGCAGCGATTCTTTCCTCAGCAAGCCTCTTCTGCTTGATGGAAAGCATGAGGGTATCAATGGTGCATCCGAATGTGCTAGCAGCCTGTAAATGAGAAGGTGGGAAAATTGATATCACTGAAAAGAATGAAAGGAAGGTTTACTTACCTCGATCACGAGTCCTCCCCATCCTGAACTGAATTCAAGAACACGGTATCCTGGCTTGAGACAAGCCTGACAAAGGACATGGTGTATTTTTCTCTGCTGGGCAGCTTCGAGGTCACCAGGAGTCGGGCTGATTTCAAGATCACCTCAGACTCCGCCCTCGGATTCGTCCCATAGAGCACATGAATACATCATTTCAGATGAAAGGAAAGCTTTGAAGAGCTCATTCGATTGATTGTAGGATGTGATCACGTTCAGACGTGTGTTACTTTTTGTCTGGCCAAGGAAGGAGTTGTAGAAACTTGACAGGGTCAAGGTGATGTGACTAAAAGTAGATGACAAGGTGTCTTCCATTGTAGACTGGTTATCGAGCCATAGCTAAGAAGGCAGATTTCAACCCCCATGTATGTCTGGACTTAACAGAGTATGCACGTTCATTGCTGCTCTCAGGTTGGGTAGCTCGATATCGCCTATCATGTATGCTTCACTGACTAAATTGAGTTAGCTCACAACTGATTGCTGATTGGCGGTTACGCAGGGCACATACAACCAAGATCACCGGAATTGCCGATGGGAAGTGGTTAATCCATCAGCAAGTCAAAGAATTTAGATAACTACATACAGCATAAGGCGAAGCCAAAAGTTGTTGTTTCTGATTTTGATGTGAACAAGATTGCAGCCTTTCTCATTGGAGCCATGCATATGAGAGCCTTCGGCATCATCAACGATGAGATATCCAGATGAGATGGTGCTTGTAAGTGCCGACAGAATCGATTGGCAGGCAAATGAAGTAATCCATAGTCGAGGGGAGGCGGCCATCATGAGAATACTGGGAGATGAGATAGCGCCTTTGGTGGAAAATTGCATGATGGATTTCGAGGCCATTGTTAAGAAGAGAGGTTGAGGTTGATGGTTTGAGTAGTGGAAACTGAGCGATCTTTATACATTTCGGAATGGGAATGACTTGTCACTGAGTTCTAAATGCAGCCTGAAAGATATCCATGATGCATAATCAACTGTTCAGGGTGACCCTTAGGGTCAACAACTTTGAACAGTGTGTCAGATCTGTATCTGAAATTTCTAAGAGCATGCCGCAACTGAGAGACGAGAAGTATGACCTACTTCAGTGGTGTATATAACTCAATAGTGACAAGCTACAAGACGTGCCAAAGGAAGCTCGTCTACTCTTAACGATCGACCTGCTAAATATCCGCCGGCCGACCGGTGTTCCATAGATTCGTTCGACAGGTGTAGCCATGAAGCATGAGTATCCATCAGCGCATCCCATCAAGCATAACCAAACATGTCCTCGGTGTCCGTTTGCCAATCCACGAGCATCAGAGGGTGATTATTGGGCCGAAATTTGAAGAAAAGCATTGCGAGACGGTTCTTCGTTATATACTCTGAGTCTCACTTGTTAGACAATCTGGTGCAATTATGCCATTACCTATGGATCCCTTGGGGAAGGCCTCTTCATGGATGCCATAGAGGATAGTCAGATTGCCACACAGGAGGACGATGGCCATTTGCCTCGTACCACATACGTCCGGATCCATGGAAACATGACAATTGCCCAGACTACAGCACCACAGATTGCCTGTGGAATACAGGCATCCGTGGCAATGGACAGGAGATACTTGTGATCTGGAGGATTTTGTAACCCTGAGTCGACTAATGGGTGTGGAGCCTGTATAGGTTGTGTCACACGAATGGGCCCACAATCAGGGCGCTGTTCCAGGCAAAAATAGGCCTATTCCACAGTCACGGTCACCATGAAACAAACACAACGAGGCCCATCGCGAATCAGATCTGTCAGAATCCAATCTTTGTGGACTCCGATCGAATTTGTAGGTGCTTGTGTACACCACAGCTTTCGTCAAGGAGCTTATATTAGTCGAGACGACGCCAAAGAAAAGTGAGTAAGGTATCAATATTGTGACTTGAATTTAATTAGGCTATCTCCTGTATCCGTTATTCAATTGTAGTGCAGCTGAAAAGACAAGAGGACCTCACAAGCAAATCATTGTGAGATGAATGTGGTCTAAGTCCGCATGAATAACAGGACACCTTCATACACAGCCCAGGCTATTGCAGAACTAAGGACTTTTCGGGTCAGACACAATGAGGCGCCATCAAAATAGCCTGAGACACCGCCCTGCTAGATAGATCTTTCGGACATCACCCAACATGGACTGAAGGTATATGCACATACCTTCCAGATCATCACAACCATCCTCATAAATCCATGGTACCTGTCCTCGGAACGCGCTTGTATTTTCGTCTGTGAATATGGGTGAGTCCAGAGTAAAACATGATGCAATTAGTCAATCAGGTTCCGACTGATTGATAATCAAACAGAGGTCTTCATACCTTAATCACGTTGAAGGGATGGGTCAACAAAGTTGACATACCTCCTGCTAACACGGCAGAAGCGCTGTGTATGGCAGCGGACTGGCTGCTTGATGTTGGAGGTGCGACCAAAGCTGGATTATGATAGGGTCAATAACATTCCACTGACGATAATCACATGTAAAGAAAGGGTTGTACAGGCATCCTGTTTGATTCCCTCGTAGAAGACCATGAATAGGCTGGCATAAGGAGTGTCTCGTAGTGACGATGCAAAAAATCCTCGGAACAGCTCAGAAGGACCTTGCCAGATGATGGAGGTCAAAGCCTGCACAACACTCGTATGCATAGATATTGCTCTTCATTGAGTATATCACCACAAATAAAGATCAGGCGCGGAGCTGTGAGAAGCATGTTCATCACAAGAAAGTGTATGATGTACTTTCGAGTAGGTGGGACGAGGTTGCATCTTGCAGGAGAGTGTGGATGTAGTCTTACTTGGGAGTGATTGTCAAAAAGTTCACTAATAATCATGATAGTGAGTATGTCCCTAGATGCATACATAATAATAGCTACTTACATGTTTGACCGACCATACCAACCAACATGTGGTCCATCAAGCTGCCGCTTTTGTTGGACATACCATGCTTGGCTTCGACTTCGATGAGAATCTATCACGAACATCAATATATGCTGGGAAACATGAAGCAATCAAGAACCCACATCAAGACCAGGACACGCAACCTTACTCCCTGCACATGCCCTTACCTCATTATCACTCATCCCCTCCCTGACCGCACCCACAATCTTCCTCGCCACCTCCTCGAAGCTCACTGGCCTAGCCACATCCTTCCCCTCCCCTTTTTCCGACTTAAAGAGACTCCGCATCTCGCCTTGCTTGCCTTTCCAGCTTTTACTGTGTTTGGAGGTCTGGGACTGTATATGCGTATTTGATGTGGGAGAGAGCAGGAGCGTGAGCACGCAGACTATATGTGAGCTGAACGGGTCATGGAGGAGCGGAGGCAGGATGGGGAGGAGTTCCTGTTTCACGTGGCTGTAAGTAAGATTGGTCTGGTCTGGACATGATGAGAATGTACGTCGCACAAATCCAGTACGAGTTTGGTCGTTGTTGGGAGATGTCCCTTTTTAGAGTCACCTTGTGGTATTTCAGGTAGTATACCTTTAGTCTGCATAGAATCATTCAGATATTATGCTCAGCAAAAGACTCGATAAACCTCACCTCCCTCGAAACAGTCTCCCCAGAAACCTCGAGGAGGGTCTGACAGACATGCAACACGAACTGATGGCGAGCGAGTATTTTGTACTTAACCTCATCAGCTAAACCACGAAATAAAAACAAAACTAAGTCACTCATGACCCCATCAAACTATCCAAAAACACCCTCCTTGCAAAATCATCCATCGAATGCACCATCCTCTCCAGCACCACCGAACACTCTGGGTCCGTCGCGAATTGTTTTTCTTTCCCCGTCATCTCAGTGAGGGCAGTGAGGAAGAACGTGTGTTTTTCTAAACAAACATGAAAAGTTAGCTTTCTCATTCCTTTCCTTACTGCACACTCACCATCATCATCCACCTCCACCTCTCTATCCTGCCACTGCCACATCTGCACATCCACAGTCCTGAAATATGCCTTGACATCCACGTCAAGGTACCCAAACGGGGCCTCCGAGTCTTGCTCCTGCTCTTGTTGGGGATTTGGGACGATCCATGATGGTCTAGCTTCGACTTCGACTTTGGGCTCTGGTTCTGCAGTATGTTGTTTTTCATCGAATTCTGTGTCTGCATCTGGGCCAGGCTTTTTATGCTTCTTGCCTCTTTTTCTGTTTTCGTGGGGCATGACCAGAAAAAGGTATGAAGTGCATGTGTGGCTGTGCAACTCACGCCTTAATTTACACCAGAATACAAATGATTCCTTCAAGCCTATCACTTCTACCTGTACATATGAATACCAACGTGGCCCTCGTCCAGATAAGGTTGCGCAAGACCTTCTATTTCCAAGAGACCGACTTTCTCCTCCCAACAAAGGTGCTGAGCCCCCCTTCCTCCCCCAACTCAAGCTGGATTTCCTCCTGCAGTGACCTTACTTGTCCAGAACAGACAGTAACCACAGAGCAGAACGTAATCACCATCTTCCTCCAACCCAGCCATTATACAAGTTACACCTCCGAGTCCTGATGATGGTCCCCCCACACCCATGCCCACTCAGGAAAACACATCGCTGAGTTTCCTCCCTGTCTCCTCAACTAGTATACTGCATACCATAGAGCAAGACGGCCTAGCACATATCGAATGAGAGCCGTCAAACACGAGGTCACACCTAAGGAAGGCATTAGTCAATTGTCACGAAGAACGACCCCAAACGATTTCTTACCTTTGTACTGTTCCACCTCATAGCTCTTCGGCAAGGAACTGAATGTGAAAAGCAGGGAATTCATATTGAGTAGTGTTCAGACAAGGTTGAATTTCCTCCTTGAACTCGGATGTGAAGGAGGCTCTGTTAAGCAGGTCGGAAAACAGGTGGGTGTTACCGCTGAATGAGTGGAAAATGCTTCGGGTGGGTGATGGCAGGTCTTCAGCGGAGACTTTAGTGAATAATGATGGTTGTGCACATGTGTGAGGCCCCCGATCATACATCACCATATTGCAAGTGTAATGTTGTGTCCAGGATAGACGCAGAGGGATGGAGGGAGAGGTGGAGGCGATGGAAGGAGAAGGGGAGTCATCCACATCAAATGTGAGAGCATTGTCTAACCATGCTAGTCGTTGCAAGCAAGAAATCGAAACTTTCTCGCTTGCGACGTCAAGTGGTGAGAGAGACGGTTACGAGTCTAGGAGGGAGGCGAAGGGAGAGCCAATGTTGAGGAAGGACGGTCCTAGACATCCATGAGGCTACCGTTGGAGAAGGCGTGTTCAAACCAACTTTTCTGAAGGCAAGGTCATCCACCTGCAAATTTGGGTAGCTTGCCATAGCAGCCATGGAGAAAAGAGTCGCAGCAAGTTGACAGTCGAGGAAAGGAAAGCGAGCTGTGGGAACTCTGAACGCATTGTATGTACCTGAATCACACTTCTCTTCTGAGGATCTTCCTACCCTCGATGACTACCCTCCTTCCCCTCCTCCTCAACCTGAGGATCTCCCTTCAGTCTTCCGCCCTTCCCTTCCCTCTCACAGCACATTCCTCTGCTTGCCCAGATAATGCACCCTCTTCGACCATTTACTTGTGTTCCTTCATTTGCCAATATCAAGAGTCCCACCCTATACAGGCTGGTGCTGTGGTGCTGTTTCCATCGAAAATGAGGACCGTATAGCATTACGTGCAGGCTCAGCAATAGTGAAGAGTGTATGAGGGTGTGGAGTGACTGAGAGGCGGGTGATCACCATTTAGGGATTGACTTGAAGGAAGACCAGAATCTACCAATGACCTCCTCCCGCTACACAACTTGGTCGATCTCGACATCGATCCTGGCACAGCACTTCCAAGGTTTATGCGCACGCGTTCGACTCACTCAAGTCATAGATTGATGCTGACGGTCAGCATCTTGACATTATGGTCATATTTCGTTCCAATGCCAGAATGCTTGTCCTTGCCGGCGATGTTAAGGAAATGTATGGTGGAGAGTCGGTGTGGCGAAAAGAAGGTGTAGAGAATGGTTTTCTATCCTGACTGGACTCGCATGACTTGTGGATGCGTGTATTCAAGTAGTGGTGAGTGCTCTCTGTGCCAACGAACTTGTCCTTGACATCTGATGTTCTGTTCTAGCACATGTGCCGCAGATATCACTGCAAGGAAGAGCATAGATAATTCTGACTACTCTCTATGCCGTGTGCAGGCTGATGATAAATTGCCCAAATTTGAGAACATTAACGTTAACTGGATCAGTGAGATCATACACTCCCAACGACGCTGATGTGCTCGGTAACGGGCAGCGCGCAAATGAAACAAGCGTCTAGATCGTCAATCTAGATACTAAATCACACACACACACACACACAATCACCAATGTATATAAGTTCGAGGGTGAGTATGATAGAAGCACTCGCGATGTACTTAGATTTAGATAATCTAGTGGGGTTTTGTCTGAAAACAACTTCAATTCTTCTTTCGATGTGTTTTACACAAAGTACACTAGTCCGCGATAGCGGGGTTTTATGAACTTGTTTTGTAAGGTATAGTCGAGCAAGTTATGCTCGTTTCGACGTCGTCTAGAAGAGCTTCTAGCGGACACTTCAAATAATCAAACAACCAAAGACTCCGAGGTCTACAAAGAGTGCAAAATCACTCTACAAAGAACGCTCAGGTTCTGACTTCAAGTACAAGACTTGCAAAGAGTACACAGACTCTGGAGTTCCTTGAACTCGACAATTGTTCGAACTTAAAGCATTCTAGGGCTTATTTTACTTCAACTAGATGAGGTCTTTTGACTTAAAGTCGAACTCAGCACATCTAGATCGCTAATCTCAGAGAGAGAGAACACGAGGCCTTTGTCCACAGAGCAGTTCAATTAACTAGCAAGGCGCAAACACGGGGACGGCTCTACTTCCTACTTAACTCTTCTAGATTACTGTAGTTGCCCTTATGGGTTGACTTTGGTAACTTAATTCACTTCAGTCGAGGATATGCAATAAAACCAGTGATTGATTAGGTAGCTATACAGGCTACTAGCACAAACGCAGGGGGAATGCTTTCCTGCCATTATGCGTCTAGTCGCTGCTAATTTATACAATTCGTGTTCTAGGTATAGGAGCCCGTATCTACAGTAATTATGGTACAAGCTTTGGAATTAATACAAACGGTGAGTCACTATCCTACAAGTATCGCGCCATTCCGTAGTTTCTATTCAGTCCGACGTGACTGCGCCGGGTTATTCTGTCGCCGAGGAGTGCCCTACTAGTCCATGGGTGCTCCTTCTTCCGTCTGCAAGGCCTGCCACACACTGTATGTATTGAATACTGCAGTATGCGCAGGATCTCGAGGATGTAACCACCGATCGCAATCGACTGCAGGTCTGGGATTGTATTCTGTTGATCACTGCATGATCAAGGTCGGTCATCTCGGTACCCAACGCGGCTATTCATTCTTCCAAGGTTATTCCTTTCCTAGCCTGAGTTGATCTCGAAAGCTGATCTGTTTCTCGACTTAGCAATTTTTCCTGACAGGTTCTTTCTACTCGTCGAGGTGACAAGGCATCTAGTTTGTTCCATTCTTCAACTTCTTGGTTTTTATACTCCATACAGACGAGTCCCCGAGATTTGACTGTAATAGTCTTGTTTAGGTAGGGCTTAGCTTGGCGTGTTGATGGCTGGTAGAATTGACTCTTCAAGATGTTGTTTCTAAGTCCGTTCTGTACTGCCGTGCTTTCATTCTTTATGTAGTATTTAGCTACCAGCACGAAGCCTCCACTGTAGCCCTCTGTACCGCTTGTAGATTGCATAAACTGATGTAAAATCGCAAAATCTACGGGTAGCCTGATACCAGGCATATCAACGCGTCAGTATGTGTCTCATCTCCATACGCAAAAGACTCGGAGGCCCCGTTTGGGTACATGCGGACGTCAAGGTACCCAAAAGGTGCTTCCGAGTCTTCTTGTTGGGGGGGATTACTGTCTAGTAGCTTTCGTTACCAGGTTATTGACTACGGCTTTCTTTAGGTGTGACCTACGACTTTGAGGCTTCCATTGGAGAGGCCATAGGTTGCTTTCACTCAAGGTGAGCTCGTCGTTTCGTTCTCTTATCTCTGACAAACCATTTGTTGGGGTAGGGTATGCATTTCGCATGCAGACGACACCGGGCACAACTACACGGCACCACAAACTTGAAGCCCCCTCGTAATGACCTGGCTCATTGAGGCTGAATATGGGTCTGTGGAATAGGTGGAACCTTGGTTTCGCTGGAAGGATTATGGGTGTCAGGTAAGCGCTAGGTTATCTTGATCTCGTTGCTTTCACTAACCTATTTTATTTTTCAGATGTAGGACGCGTATTTCTTATGTACACTAGACTATGGTACGTGCTTTTACCCTTGAACCTAGGCTCAGATACTAATTGGTCATGCCAGCTGAAGAATGATACGTATATACTTAATTGTTGACTTGAAGGGTAAGCATTTGTGTTCGGTGCGTTAACTGGAGGGCTAACGATTCGAACAGGTGTTCGGAAAGTCAGGGAACCTGTGTAGGGTGACGACTCGAGGAGGGCACATACTTGTACCACCCGCCGTCGTGTAGAGAAATGGGCTATGTAATCCTCATGCAGGGAATGCTCAATCTGAAGGGTAAGCCTTTTCCTTTCCTGACTCATTGACGAGATGCTGAACTCGATTTCTCTACTCAGTTCAAGCAACTGAACTCGACAAGTGAAATGTCGACCAGTGCAGTCGGAGATGACTATGCATCAACTCTTGTGTTCGAGGTAAGCATCGTATTTGTAGCCCGAGTCAACATTATACTTATCAATTCCTTACAGGCAAGCATTGATAGAGTTAAAAAAGATATATTGAAAGTAAACTAGATTAGAGAGTAGAGGTCAAGGTAGCAAGATTAAGGAGATGCATGCGTGCGAGGATGGAGAGTGAGGGTGTGCACACTCAGATCGAGAGTGAGATCGAAACCCGTGCAGACCTCCCCACCACCATCCAGCTCTCCATGCCTACGCATGCACACATGGGGGGTGCACAAAAGACGCAAAGATGTACCATGCTCAAATCTGCGCACGTGCACGTGGAGATGAACGAAAGATGCACCATGCCCCAAATGGGTACGCAACACCCCAAATGGTCCCTCACTTCCTTTGCACGAATGCGCCTCCATCTCCATCGCGAGTCGGGTTCTGCACTGAGAATGGCAAGAATTCGATTCAGAGTCGAGGTCGTCCAATGTGAATTCGGCACAGAAAATGTCAAGAATCGAGGAGACGTTGGGAAGGGAGGGAGAGAACGGGAGGGAGAGGGCGGAGGGACCAGCTATTACAGCAAGAGGAGGGAGGCAGGAGAATCGGTGTTGCAGAAGACGGTGTGGCAGATGGAAGGTCGTCTGTGGCTGTGGAGGGCACATCAGGGGGTGGTTGTCGACTTGAAGGGCATGCAGCATGCAGGAGGGGGGTCTGTGGCTGTGGAGGGTAGTCGACGATTCAGGAGGCAATGCAGGATGTGGGGGGGGGGGGGGTCATCGGTGGCTGTGGAGGAGAGTCGTTGTCTTGAAGGATGGCCTGAGAGGGGAGGGAGGGTCGTCTTTGAGGCGGTCGTAGTCGTCTTGAGGCAGTTGATGGAAGGCAAAATCGGGATTGGGATCCGTTGTTATGCGAGACTAATGGGAGGTCCACGATGTCAGGCAACAGCGGTAGAGACGAGTTATGGTCATGATTGTTTGTTGTCTCGGCAGTGTAGAGTGCAGAGATGACAGTGTATACCTTTGTACCAAGAAGTGTCAAGAATCCCGAATTGTTGCCTAGAAAAGAACACATTAGTGTATGAAAAGTATGACAGTTACAGAAACTCACCACAGTCTGAAGGCAGGTAAGCAGGAGCAACTGGATCTGTCAGCTGCAGCATCTCTTCATGAAAATTGGCCCATATCACTGTGCAGTAAATTAAACAAAAAGGTGGAAGATCACATATGTACGCACTTACCACATAGGGAGAAAATGGCATCATATAAGCCCAGACCAGTATCTGTATTTTGGTGTCATCATTGTCGGGCAACTCTCAGTCGTCCCGAGACAAGATGGAAAAGACCAGCCTATACCACCAGCGAGTAGTATTGAATGACGGTTCCATCGGTGGCTCTGGTGCGCTATTGCCTTTGCAGAGTCGAACAATGTGACTTTCCCTGCGAGTTTTGACCTGGCAAGCTGAAGAAGACTAGGCCAAGATGAATGACTGATTTTGTTTGGGTTGGGAATGTCGGCCTGGAGACTGGGTAAGACTTCGTTGTGGAATACAGCAAGCTGGGCAGATAGAGAGGGCGAGCGTATGGTGTATTCTTCTGTAGCATCATAGGGAATCATCCCATAGTCAGCGAAGAATGGACCGTACTTAAATTCTGAGCATCGTTTGGATGGTATATAGTTGTAGTGTCCGTAAAGAGCTTATATTGGTCGTGGCTTCAGGTATATCTTGATGTCAGCCATGGACATTGTAGTGGTGAGTGTTGAGTACTAGTGACAATGTACTGCCGGCGGGCCCAAAACAGAATAAAGATCCCACAGGCACCTGTGGATTTGTGAACACCCATCCCTGATGCATACTAAACGCGTCCAGACTACTCTTGGTTATCCATGATGCTGGTACTCCTCGGACCACAATGGGCTACTGCCTCTTCACAATTAATGTTTAAGTCTGCATCGACAAACGACCAGAACATTTGGAAAGAGTTCGAGACCTCAGACACCTGACAAGGTTAACAAACTGCGAGTATCTGGCTCTGTGCTGTCTGTGGGATGTCCCCGTACTTACTTGTGGTCATAGGCTGAGACTTAAGGCCATTACGCATTTGGTACGTTGTCGTCTCTCTGGATGCCTTTTTTCTGTGGCTTACTGGCCTTGCAGCGACTGCTATAAAAGACCTGCCTGAGCATAAAAACCACCCCCGGTGTATCAAATATGAATTTTTTTCAAGGCATCCAGGGACAGCTCACGTCATTGTTGGACGGGTTGGACCCGAAGGATCTGTCGACTATAAGTTTTGGTCCTAGTCACTCTCCTGGTATGTGGCCGTTTTCCAAGTATCCGTAGCATGCATTGGCATTGGCAACCTTTTTTAGTTTTAAAATAAACTCTCACCTGACAAGGTGAACACTGTGATTGTGCAAGCAATCGCCTTCTCGATGACCTCAACAAGGAAATCAACACATATGCTGTGAGTGTCAAAGTGTCCTTCACTTTCCTGCAAACTTCATACTGACCTCGAGAAGGAATGTTAAGGACAGCATTCCTCAGACATCACCAAAAACATCGTCGACACCATCGCATATGCAAAAGTGATCAAGCACATGGGTATGCATTTTTTGGGTCCAAGTTTTTCTTCCGATGCTAAGAGCCGTTTTTCAGGCTTCCATACTAATGCATCATCAACATCCTTTGCCACAGTACTACCCGAAGACCTCGAGCAAACCGCCAAGGCTTCAATGGGAACCGAAACATCTGACTCTGCATAGCCCATTGTCCACTCCCTCTGTGATCACATCATTTCCATCTCTGCCTATCTCACGCAACTCTCAGAGTACCTCGGGAACTGCATGAATGACATTGGGCCCAACCTCACCATCCTCATCGGTGAGCTCGTTGGGGGCCTGACTCATCTTCCACACCGGAAGTGTAAAGGTTACAATACCTTACAAGGTCCTTTGACCGAAGAGCTACACATGCCAATGGGGTGTATTGCGAGAGAGAGAGTCAAAGATACAAGCAGTAAGGTAAACGTAGATGATGAAAGTAAGTGATTAAGATGTGAAAGTCTGAACTCGAAAGGATAACGGGCGCTGCTAAAGACGTAGGTAAATAATAGTACATAGATAAAGTCCAGATCCCTTACACCCTCCCCCTTGAGATTGGGCATAGGGAAGCAATCTCGATGAAAGAGTCAAATTACAATAAGATCCTGTTATTGTCCTGTGAATCGAGCTCATCGGCTTTGCCATCAACATTCGGGTTCGAGCCTGAAGTAATGGTCATCGCGATAGAGGCCTTGGTTGATGGGGAAGCGGTAGGAGCAGTCGACAAGTGCGTGATGGATGGGCCTGCATGAGAAGCATCGCCATCTCCAGCCATAGGTACGTCTGCATCTCCGGTCACGGGCAAAGAAGTTTCAGCTCTATAATCAATGCGATCAGTGTGCTGATGGCTTCTATTAGACTTGCTCGTGGCCTCCTGAATGATTGGGTAATTGAGGAAATGTCTGCGATGCGCTTCGAGGATCGGAATTAAGTCCCATTCAATGGGAGCCGTCCAATAGATCCGAGGAGCGGAATTGTCCTGGAACACGGAGATATCATGGGGGAGATCAAAATGATGGATACACCATGCAAAGTTGTCCAGGGCCTTGTAGGCACGAGTACAGAGGGTACCCTTAAAGCGTTGAGTAGCTGCAAGAAGTAGCTCTCGGCCATAAGGCTGGATATAACAGATGTGGGAGTACTTGACTCCGCATTTAGCAAGGTGAGTAACGATGTCAAACTGAGAGGCTCGACTGATGAGGGAAAGAGGAAATGGAACCAACTTTTCTGAGTCTGCAATGGTAAGATGTCGATCACGGCAAATGTCTGAATATACAATGGGATGGACCAGCACGCTAGCGAGAGCGATGGCAAAGCCATGCCGATTAACTCAGGTTGTGTTACTCGGAATGATTGATTGGAATAACAGATACCCAGCCAGGGTACGGATATTGACAGATCCGGTAGTCGTGACAGATATACCAGGGTAATGACGTTCCGTGCCATGAAGGAAGATGAAGCTTGCCCACAATTGAGGGTCAAGACAAGTATCCTCGGGTGCAGTAACCTTCACAGGAGGAGGAGGGAGCAGAGGTAAGTCCCTGCCATTATTCCCATCCTGTGTTTGGGGCTTTAAGTCAGGAATTTGTCCTAGCCAGCGAGGATGGCGACGATTCCACTGAGTTAGAAGGGTACATTCACCATCAGTGATGAGAGGATAAGGAGCTGGGCGTCCATTTCACTCGCAAACGAGGTTAACGGACTGCTTTCGTCGGATAGCAGTGATCACATTTGAAATTCGATCAACAATGACCCAGTTATTAGGAGTGTGGGCCACGTCAATCATTGATGTGGCATCAACAGCTGTGATAGGAACCGTGCAGGATGGATCATATCCTTGAAGTGACATGTAATAAGTCTCGTGAAAGGAAAGATCTGCTCTTGGAGGAGAAGGTCAACGAGTTCCTCGTGTATGAGGAACTGCAGGATATGGATGATGGTCGTGCATACCTCGAGACGTGTGGGAATGACGGTCCCGGGTGGCAGCATGTTCTGTGGTCAGAGTGAGGGACTGGAGAGCACTTAGAGATTCCATCCTGGTCTTAAGTAACTCGTTATCATGGCGAAGCTTTACGAGTTCCTGTTGAATATCATGATCTGCAGTATGATTAGGTGCATTCATGAGTGAATCCGAGGGTCCAGAGTCAAGAGTGAACGACTCAAGAGCCGAAGTAATATCATCTGAGTTAGAGAGATTAGTTTTGTTAGTCGGTAAACTGGTATGTTTAGCACGTTGGGGCGCACCGTTAACCATTTCTCCATGATGGTTACAGTGTTTACTGAGTTCGGAGATCGTTTCTGGAGCTTCCTGAACTCGAGTGCACGATGTGGGGTTGGTTAATATGTTACCAAACATCAGAACTGGATTGGAATCTATAATTCCTTCCATCGCAGTAGAAGACGATTTCGGAGCATGGGGCATTGCTGTAGCACCCATATTCGACATCGTAAAGAATGGGTTACCCTGAGTAAACAGGAAAGGTGCCATAGGAAAGAATGATGGGGCCATAGTTGAATTTGGATAGCCAGTAAAAAACAGCATTCCAGTAGGCATAATCTGGGAGAAATTGCCTGCAAACGAAGGATAGGATGATTTTTGAGGAGTAAAGGGTACCTGTCCCTCCCCCTGAGAAGGATTGGCATCGAGGTTGAAAAAACTCGAAGCAGAAGCAGCCATAGAGTTGTATCAGTGCTGATAGTTGAAGTGGGTGGAGAAATCAGAGTAGATAGTAATGATACTCTGGCCTGGTGGGTTGTAAGGAATTTATACCCTCCAGAAAGCAGCGGGCATGGACTAGACTTGGATGCGACATCGGTGTGGCGGCGTCGAGTCGGCGTTTGTAAAAAGTAGAGCCGGTACAGCCACTGTACCCTGATGATCAGGCAACCTTTAATGTCCACAATGTATACTTTTCACGGTAGTTGTCGTGCAAGTGACTTTATAGATTTGCCGGTACCTACTGTAGACATTACGCTGTATAGAGTCCTGTAAAAGCGCTGTATACATTCCCGTATTATGGCAGAAACAGGCACCGTGTCATTTGCAGGCACATTGATGCATTTGTCAGCATATATACATTTATTTGTTCCCCACCGCTGCGCTTTGTGCTCATCAAGCATGACAGTGATGAAGCTTCCTCCCGACTCCTGCCTGTTATAGAACCAAGAACCAAGATCCACATCATAGATCACATCTCAGATCCAATTTCCAGGAACAAACAGCTGAACCCAAATGGTATGGTCGAGTCTAATAATTGAATTAGACCTACAAAATTCCATCTTTCCTCTCTCCTTTGCAATCAACATCGGTTGGACCATAACAAAATGAGATGTGACAAAAAAGGATGCTGTAGTAGAAATGTATGATTTGTTGGAGAATTTCTACAAGAGTTGAAAAGCAAATCAAAACTTCAGTCCCCTTCTTGTCTCCCACTGCGAGATTGCAGGCAGATCTTAAAACTAGCAAAAAAAAAATGTTGCGATCGCTATGAGTAGGCCATTAAAGACCAAACCTTTGTAGTCTCCTGGTCTATCAGTTATTATGTGTGTCTTTACGCAACCGTGGTCGCTGGTTCGACCCCTGCTCTGCATATTTTTACTATTCCATCTTTTTACCTCAACCACGCGATATTCAAGTATTTACAACTTTTTGTCCTCCAGGTTCCTCCTCCTCAACCTTTTGTAATCAATCTGATTCATTGGCACTAGTTGACACCCGGCTTAAATATCATACATGTAATGATTTAAATAAATAAACATGCTGCAATTCAGTCTACAAAAGAAGTACAGCAGTTCAAAAAGATACAGTTGTGAGAAGACTACTGGATTTTCGGTTATACTAATGCCTGTCTGATGGGATATAGATCAAAAAAAACATCATGGAAGTGTCTATTACTTGCGGTGCTTTGCAGGCGCGGTGGCATTGAGGAGGGCGTTGAGCATATCACTGACATCTGACACCAGAGCAGACCATTCCAAAGATCCATTGCAGTTGCGTCTCCACCAGAAGAGACCAAACAACACTGCAACTATACCACTCTGACCCCCTTTGCACAGACAGGTAAATGATCCAGCATATTTTGGTAGCGGCAGCCCTTCTGTGCTTTGCCTCCAGCCCGGCTGAAGCGAGTTCCACCACCCTACCATGGCACTGCCAAATTCATCAACATCAGAAATGACCAAAGGATCGCTGAATGAGCGCGCCCCATCCAACCATTTCTTCAAAACAGTTGGCCGTTTCTTCGACATCTGTAGTTTTCCCTTTGACAAATTGTATGAGAGAAAATTCAAAAATTTCGAACAACGCACCAAGGAATTCTCCCTAATTAGTATGGCCTCCATAGTATCCCATTTCTCCAGTAAGGCGGCCCAATCTTTGCCGAATGTGGAATCCCACATTGAGGCGAGACTCAGAACCTGCCAGGAGGGGGGGCTTGTTTCGATGCTAACAAGTGTTGTCACTTCTCTAGAGCCAGTCGGCTTATGAGTTCGGGCCTGCTGGGGGATATCAGGTATCGGCACCTGCTCAGCTGGTCTGTTCAAAGGGCCACAACGAGAGGTTTTGACAGGTATTTCATTGGATGTCGGCTCTGACTGCTGCTGATATATCGATGTCGTGATCTCGGACATTGACATATTGTCATCGGATGTCGGGATGGCAGAGGGAAAATGATGGAAGCGACGGTGGTGCAGTGGAAAATCCAGATAATGAAGCAGACTCCATGGAAGGCATGTTCAAGTCGAATTGAGATGGACTATAAGCTGAATATGAGAGATCAGTGGGGGAAATACCGGCCAAGATGTCGTCGAAAGAGTCCCAGGGAAAAGAGTCTGACCAGACGCTGCTGCGGTCCAACTCATCGCTACTCGACTGTGTTTGTGCATCGAGTGACAAGCCATCGGTGGCAGAGAATGAGCTTCCTTGTGGCGATGAAAAGGACAGGGCGTTGCCATTGGATACCGAACTTCCTTCATAAGACCTAAGGAGCGTGGCAAGGTCATCCGATGCACTGAAATCCCAGTTCATGGAAACAGGTGCATCTGAAGGATGGGAGAGTGCTTCCAGGTCTATCTCGGGAGCCAGCTGGCCCGGAAATTCAGGAATTATGCTTGAACTGGGGAAGGGAATGAGACCGAAATTTGTGGGAGGAAGAATATCAGGAAGGAGATCTTCGTCTGGAGTGAGCGAGGGAGGGGGGACAACCTTTGTGGAAGGGAGAATACCAGGAAGGGGGTCTTCGTCTGGAGTGAGCAAGGGGACAACCTTTGAAGCAGAACCAGGAAGGGAAGCGTCATTGAGCAATTCGTCATTGCTTGGTGCCACGATGTCATCCTTTTCTTTTGGGTGCATCACATGACTTAAGATCAACGTTCATTGATTCCGAATCCGACACCGATTCGTGATCTTTAGGCTGCAGCACCTCCTGGACTCCTGGTATAGGTTCACAAATTAGAGCTCGGCACAGCGGAATCAAGTACAAACATAACGCACGTTCCACATTTCACATATGAGCAAGCAGAGGACCACTGTAGTATGCGCCAGCCTTCCGTTTATCCCCCGGCAAGCCTCCTGGTACCATGCCTGTAGCTGCGTCTCTGTCGAAGCCATCAAAGAAGCCCCCGCTGGATTTTAACTTCACTCCATACTCCCAGCTGCGGCATAGTTAGGTATGTGTCTCATGAAGAACGCCGTTGACTCACCTGCTGCTTCGTAGATTACCGCTCTCAGGATCAATTCCAGCACCAACAACAATGAATCCCCAACCTGTTGCTTTCACGATCACATCGAAAATACTATCAAGCTCTAACCCCAAAGACTTGATCACGCTATATAATGGTAAGAATCTTGTTGCCATCTCTATGGATACGATAACATACTTTGATTTCTGTTCAGTCGACAACTCGATGTCATCTACGCGATGCTCCTTCATTGCCATCGATAGCTCCTTCTGCTCCTTGTGTAACTTTTTTATCGTGTTCTTGACGTCGTCCGACTCCTTCGCCCACTCCTCGTTCGTCATTCAACTGATAAGGTTGACGTTATTGGGAGAGAGTCCGGTTCTTTTTGCCTCAACCACGACTTTCTCAGCAATTTTCCGCTCTTCATACAGCAAATGTGAGTAGACATGTTGCAATTGGGGAAGGCGTTTTGAGTCGACTTTCAGTTTCAGGCCTAGGGCTAATTTGACTTTCGTGGCTCTCTGGTTATTGGGAAACCACTGCTTCACCTGCTAAAGTACATATTGGATTCAGAGAACGTTACGATGGAGACCACTGAAGACTTACTACGTGCTGATCTTCTAGTACTGCTCCGATTTCGATCCTCATCTCAGGTGTAAGAACAGTCGGCTCGCATCCATCAAGGCACAAATCTGGACTGAGATCAAGAAACATTCGATCGATCCTTGGAAAGGGCACGTCCTTGGGAGAAGACTGGACACCAACAAGATGAAGAGGTTTGGTCCTAGCGCATCCTATCATATCGATGAAAATCTCTTTATGCGTCGGAGGCCAACGGTGCATGAAAATGTTCGGAATTGCTCCAAAGAACCCTGTGCGCTGTTCCTTCAAGCGACGACTCATTGTACACTTCTTGGCGACGACACAGAAACTGAAACTGAATCATCGTGGTCCACCGATTCCCTACACCCGGCTCTTTTTTGGCATCTTCGTCATCCCATATTCCGTGTCCTACGTCGCCCGGCCAATGCGGGTTCTGGTACGAAAGGGAGAGTCCTACATGGTAAATTTTTAGCTTCTTCCTCGAAAAAGTGATATTCACGTACCACCAGCAAAAAAAGCATCGTCAGGAAGTGTGGCATGGGCACTCGCAACCCATTTGGGCACCTTATGTACAATCGCTCAGGTCTCAGTCGTGGACCTTTAATCTTGGGCTCTTTCACCTTGGACGCTTTTGTTTTGCACTCCCTTACCATGGCAGTGGTCTGTATCATTAGTGTTAGTTTTATTTCCAGAGTTATTGGATTCACATACGGTGAGTCGGTTTTGTTATGATCTCAATTTGTTTGACGCCGGGAACAGGATTTGAAAATGAAAAAAATAGAGGCGCTTTTTTCCATTTTGCGTAACCAGTGTGAAGATCGGGGACCCCCAAAATGGGCTGTGGTGATAATACAACAAAGTACAGAGCCACGACAACATGACAAAGCACATGTCAAAACATGGCAATGTACAGAGCGGTGAAATATGAGACTGTACAGGGTGGCAGAATACAAGACTGTACACAGTGGCAACAACATGACAAACCAGACTGTCACATACAAGAATGTGTACAGTCAGCTCCCATAGGTCATATAAAAGAGCTGTCGAAGTAATGTTTTTCAATCACCCAGATACTTCTTGTCATCATTGAATCACTCAGTATAAACAATGACTCAATTCACCCTCAAACAACTTTCCGCAGCTCTCTCGGCCCTTGGTGTCTCCGTTCCAACCATGGATGGTGAGTTTGCATAATCTGATATTATTGGATCAAGCACTAATGTTTCTGTACAGCTGCCACTTCTCCTGACGTCCGTACCAATGCTTCTGCTGACATTGCAGCTGGTCCGTTGCTCGCAATATACTGTAGCAACTGCGCGTTTCCGAACGTGATTCCCACCTCGGCTGTCCCTACAATGATGGGAATCCCTGCTTCCATGTCCCAGGTCAGGAGGACAATCAATCCCTGCCACTGCTCGAGTGCCTAGCGCACCTAACCTGTCTGGTCATTCGGCTCATGTCTGCCCCGCCGCTTCAGTTCCTGCGCCAGCCGTTCATCCAGCGCAAGCTCCCACTGCTCCTGCTCCCGGTCCATCTCAGCCCACCCCCTTGGCTGCCACGGGAGGCCCCGATGGGCCGTGGTATGTCGTTTCCAAAGGTCGCGCCATGGGCGTGTATCGGGGTTGGTAAGTTGCCTCCTCTGTGATGTTGAACTTCTGCTCACTATCCTGCAGGCAAAACGTAAGCAACCTGGTCACCGGCATTGGAACGGCTTGCTTTTTTCATCATGGGACTCGTGCCACGGCTGAGGCCACGTTTAACGAGGCACTTGCTGCAGGGGCTGTGGAGATCCTCTAAGTCCGAATCATGGCTGCCCTTTCTCCATACTTCTTGGACTTTCATAGTTATTCTCATCTCAGTCGTGATTGCTGGTAGCGCCTATTTCTTTACATACCATTGATCCTCGTCGCTGCATCCACTCGTTTACGTTTTCTCTTATGATTTATACACTCCTTTGCATCACACGCTCGTTCATCTTTTCGTGTCTTATTTATTGCCATCTGTATATGATCTAGTACACAAAAAATACAAAGTTCAGTTGGCCAAAAAAATCTTGGTTGCATTCCTTCCCTGCTATCCTGTGATCGCGAGACTTCCAATGCTCGACTATCATGGATGTTCTCCACTTGGCACGACATAATGCTGCCTGAGCCTCGTCTTCAGTAAGAAACCATGTCAACTTGCTCTGATCATTGCATACTTGAGTTTCAAGGTGATGTTGAATTTTGTAAGGCAATTTTTCGGAATACATAGTTAGGACTAAGTACATTCTACCAGCACCACGGACACTTTCATTTTCTCCAGCGCTATCTACGGCATAATCAACATTGTTCTTATGAGTCATGTCCATTCCATGTAGCTAAGCCTACTGTGTATACTGTAGTCACTGAAGAAGCATTTCAAAATATGAACCCGTAGCCCCGGCGCTACCTTCTCGCCTCAACAACACTAGCTCTTTACTGCGGAATAAGTTTGTTAGCAGTAATTTGATCACCGTCACTCTGAGATCCTCTCTCGCTATGAGTTGTATCCTTTGTCTCCATCGTCTCCATGACATCTGCGGGTTTAGAACTATCGGAACGATTTTTGGATTCCTCGCTATAAGCCTTGGCAGTCCTTCCTCCGCGTGCATCCATCCACTTTTCTAATTCCTTCTGTTGAAATTAGCCCTCTAAGTGACTGGAGATGGAGCGTACATACTTTTCTCAACAAGCTGACGCTTTCTTCATAGCGAGCTTCAGAAGTAAAACGTCGATCAAGCGTGGTGCGAGGGAAATCTTCCAAAAAGACTTTCGTGAGTTCTTGCAACCACGGCTCATTATTGCCATTGTATGCCGCGTTGATATACTGCATACGGTATCACTCAAGTAACCGTTCCTGATGGATGTTAAGGTGAGTACGATTGTACTACAAATAATGAGCAGATTCTCAGGTTAAAGACGAAAAGACCTACCGCAACACCGCGGTCTACTAGGTTATGTGGCATAGTTCTACCATAGAGGTTAGCAGAACCACTGGGGGGGGAAGCAGTGCTTACCAAGTCGAAGACAAAAGGCGGTGGCAGAAAGGTGCGTTAAACAGAGAAGCGATACCTCTTATATATCGAATTTCATGGGAAAAAAGCCAGAATGACGACAAGACTAAGTGGTACTGATGTACTTGTAATTAATAGATTTGCTGCCAATGCAGACTTTTTGCCGTCGACGTCCGAGGTGTCCTCTACAGTGAACAAGCCATTTTTCATGCCCGGTTGCTCATATATTATAACGAATATCTGGGCACAAGCTGGAGTTGTGAGGAGAGAGCTAGTATAGACTAAGGGTGCGTTATAAGAAATAATTTTCAGTATAGAGACTTACCTTCGAAAGTTCGACTTTACACGCAAGATACAAGGTGGTTCAGTACTGAGAGGAGTAGGCAACAAGCCAATTCACGATACAGTGAGACAATCAGACGAAAGAACAAAAGCGGTAAGAAAGCGCTATAATACCATCATGCCGACATTCACATTCCCTCTTCCTCTCATGGCACCACCTAAAAAATATCATACACTTGAATCAAAGCGTCGTTCAGTGTGCGAGAAAAGTAAATGCTATTATGAAAGGTACGTGCTTATATTCCAGCTATATGGAGTCAGCTAATATGTAGTACAATTATGTAGAAACAGGCGCCAAATCCGATTGCAGCGCAGAGCTGCGTACGATGCTAAGACTTCGGCGGAGAGTTGGTATGGCCCCAACTCCGTATCTCAAGTGTTAAATCTCACCTTCTGGCAGCTCTAACGAGGAACCCACCGTCGTGAATGTCAAACACATCACCAGACTCAGAAAAACCAATGCGCTTGAAATTCAAACAAGGTAAGGAGTTATATTAACATGCTTGATAAATTCATTAACGACGAACATACAGGAGAAAATATCTAACACGCCAGGTCAATAGTCCGCCTTCATCTAAGAAGCCTGCCCCAGCACAGCCTTTACCGCCTGTCGACTTATTCCTTAAGCTGGACGCAGAAGCGAACGCCCTTCAAGACAAATTCAATTCCTTCATTCAGGGCGTGTCTATCTCTGAATATGCCGAGTCGCTCTTGAAAGCATACTTCAAGTCGAGCTCAAAACGCCAGGGCCAAATTGGTGTCTTTGTGGACCCATTGCAAGAGTTGTACGGCCTCCGGGACTCTTACACAAAGATAGAAGCTAGATCTCGCGAGGTTGAAGGTTTAAGCACAAGGCATAATGTGCTGGTGCAGACAGGTATTCCTATCCACAAGGTAGTTGAATGGGTGGAAGATTTTTGGCGTTGTGCTATTGATGGTCCAGGAAGCTTGCGGTGTACATACAATAGGAGACGGTTAGCATGGCAAAGGGGCACCATTAATTAACAGTCGTCACTACAAAAAGATATTTCTTTGCTATTGTACCTCACTCGTAAATCCTCCGGACCGTTCATTGCCTCGCATAATAAGTCTTCAAGCCAAAATATCAACTGGTGAATAGGTTTTAACACGTCCTGCACATGCTCCATCTCTTTTCCCACACCTGCAATGTTAAGAACAACATGCTCATATTCATATCCCAACTTTTTGAAGTGAGAAAGTCGAGTGAGAGCATTCTCGATCACTCGTCGACGTCCCTTGAGTCACGTAGGTCCAATAGTATCAACGTAAGCATGATAGATTTTGTCGACGAAGTGCCGTGGAGATTTTTCTGTTAACATGTCGAATCGTTGCCATAGCTGTTCTAATTGGTCAAGCGCTTCTGCCAGATCCGAGCTGCGTCTGAGGCCGATTCTGTCAAAAGCTCCAGCAAGAACATGTTTAAGAGACAGTACTGCATATGCGTTTTCCCTGGGTTAACCTCAATGTCAATATTACGTGCTGCGCGCTGAATCAAAGGTTCCCAACAGCTAAGAGCGTACAGAGTAAGGATGATGCAAAAGGGGATCTTGTGGTTACATACGTCTTTGCCTTCTCTTTTGGCTTTTCAGCATGATATGTCTCTCGTCGACGTTGGCTGATCACATGGCGATGCCTGGCAAAAGGGCTTCAGTACGTCTCCCAGAGCCCATATGATTATATTTCTTACTTTTGATAACTTCGTCGACTACTGGCATTGTGAGCCTGCTCGGCGCTCCTCCTCCGTTTGAAAGACACGTCGTGAAACCATGGAAATGACTTGAAGTTCCGGGACGTTGACGCTGAAACCGAGGTATGGACAGAAAGTGACAGCTGGCGCAAGGAGCCGCTTGGCAGAGAGGCAGGAGATCACTTGGGGCAAGGCTTCTGGACCACTCAAGCAGAATCTGTACTCTGTTCAGGCTCTGTTGCAGAAAGAAGGGAATCCTGATCACTGGGACTGTACAGAGTCAACTGCGGGATTTGTACCTTCTCAGTAGAAAGAAGGGATCTCAGTTACAGGACTGTACAGAGCCAATCCAAAAAAAACACACCTTGTTGTAGACCTGTTATGGGGATGTACAGAGTCAACCTGTACCTAGTCATAAAAAATAAGTGACTAATGACAGGTGACATATAATTTCGCCAGTGGACAGCGGCAGTTTTGATTCTGCAGTATGGACTGTATACTGTCTGGTCAAGAATTTGTATCTGTCAAAACACTTATAAGAACAGCACCCAGTAGACGAAATAAAAACTCAGTTGCTCACTGTATATCATTATCTACAGAACAGGTGTGTACGTTTCGGCTATAAGCGGCGAGATGACTGAGGCCTCAGGTTATCAGGTATGCTTCTCTCATGGGAGAAAAGGGAATTTTTGAGACCCTATTTGCCTGAGTATCGTAGGGTGAAAGCTGTTGCTAAGCAGATGCCTAGACTCTTTGCACAGTTTCAGTCTCGTATATGGGTGATTTGGAGCAAACTGTTGGGTCCCCGAGCTTCGGGCTCCTGATCCGAGAGATGCTGATGCAGTTCGCCACTGGAATTCGTTGTCGCCAAAGGAGCAAGCTCTCTTACGTAGCAGAGATTCGTAAAGGATTAACTGGATTTTATACTAGGATCTCCTCAGAATTATCAAGACTCTGGTGCCTGTGGGAACCCTTCTATGCCGAGGGTCGCAAAAAGAAGAGAGCAGGACAAGCAGAGCTCCAGCTTGATTGGCACACTGCGGTGAAGCTTCAACCTGAGCTATCTGGTACAAGACTGAAGTGATAGAGTGCCAAAGCCTATGAAGCGTCCTGATGGTACTAGTAGTTAGTTCACGTGGTCGCATTGTATTGTGCTATTTACCAATGGTCTAAATGGGGAATGTCCCTCGTGAAGCACCTAAGTTTCACAAGGTCCGCTATTTTACTCGTATCCCAATAAAGCTCCTCTCTGCATGACTCCTCAACTCATAAGTATTTAACCCAAATGTTCTGATACTGGCTTTATCCCCTCCTCTCACGGAATATGTGGAATTACAATCCCAAGAAACACAGGAAGAGCGTCCCCGCACGAGATGTGATCATCAGCGATGGTACAGATAATCGGCCCTCTACTTCTGCCACCGAGCAGTTATCAGCATATTCATTTCAGCATGAAGACAAAAACAGGGCCAACTGGTGAACGAGTTCGTCCCAGCATACGTCGTAGTACTGTTATGCTCAGCTTCTCTTGACTCTGAACATCCTGTTACAGGAGAAGGACCTGTACCCATCTATCGCAGCGTTGTCTTTAGGATCATTTTTGGATCCCGATTATGTTCCATCTGCCGAGGTTCTTGAAGGTGGTGAGGAGACGGAGACTATCGCTCATGCTGAAAGGCTGCTAGGCATGGGTTTATTATCGCAGTGTTTCGAGGTCTAACTAATAGTACTTGACAGGATCATCCCCTTCTTGTTTGGTCTACACAACGCTCAGAGTTTCTCGACGAGATCTTGAAACTCGATGCTTTCGAAACCGGTGACAACAATGCATGCGAAGCTTGCAAGGTTGATTCTGGCCTCTTTCGCTGTCTTTCCTGCGTGGATACTCAGCGCCTTTGTCAAACTTGTATCGTTGCTGGGCATGAAGGCTTGCCCCTGCATAGAATAGAGGTATGTCAATAAGGATCAATTCAACTCAGCAATTTCTGATGAGACATGCATAGGAGTGGTGCTCTTCATTCTTCCACAAAACGACACTCGCCCAACTGGGGCTTAAGTATGAACTGGGACATGGATATAAGACACCGTGCCTCTTTCCTGCGATCATTCCAGATTTCGTTGTCATTGATATCGATGGCATTCACACCGTTAACATGGCATTTTGCAATTGTACTCAAGGGATCCCACGGCACATCCAGTTACTTCGTCGACGACTTTTTCCTGCGACAACGATATATCCGCATACTGCATTCACATTTCGTGTACTTCATTTCTTCCAGCTACTTTCGTTCATGTCAAAGGTCTCCGCATATGAGTTCTATCATACATTGGCTCACTTGACTGATAATTCTGGGATGCATGCGCCTCCAGTAAGACATCTCCTGACTTATTATCTCATGTAAGATTACTCATGAAAATCAGGACTGCTATCAGGCTTTTCTTCGGGTCTTGCGAGAGTGGCATCACATTCGTGCTTTGAAACGATTCGGATGTGGTCACTGAACCAGGAGGTATACAAGGTACCAAACAGGGCAAACTCGCTCTTCGTTGCCCTGCATGCCCTCAACCAAGTGTTAACTTACCTCCAGATTGGAACCTGAATCTGTGCGCTTTTTCAAAATTATACTCATGGCTTCCCCTGGAATTGAGTTTTCCCCAGGGCTACTCGCTGGTTATACCATTTGTTTCTAGCTATAGATGCGAATTTCCGGCTCCATCGATTGAACGTCTCCAGCGACCAATCTGATCCAGGACTAAATCTCGGATACGGTTATTTCGTTGAAGAAACTGCTTTTCGTAACCACATTGATATGTTTGGAAAGGTCATTCCCGAGGAAGAGAAGAGTACATGCAATAATCACAATGCTGTCAAGCTTGCGAACAGTAGAGGCGGACATGGTGCCACGGCAACAGGGGTTGGTGCCGTGGTCTGCAGACGACATGATATGAAACGTCCTCTCTCAGTCGGAGACCTCCAGAAAGGTGAAAGGTATGGATTTAATGAGAAATTCTGATTAATTTTGATCCTATTGTTAGATATCTCAATATGGATTACTTTGTTTTATCAACCCTATCGGACAATACGCCTCCGGACTTGGTGATATCCTATGACATTGCATGTCAATGGCACAAAAACTTTTTCGCCTGAATCTCCGAGTGTCCTGAATCGCTATGACCAAAGCAATTAGAGCGGAATATACTTTACCTTGTGCCGAAATTCCATTTGCCCACCCATATTTTGAAATGCCGCGATGGCTTCTCCTTCAATTTCTCCTGCCAAAGTTGGTCGTACTGATGGTGAGGCCCCCGAACATGGCTGGGCTGCTACCAATGCTTTAGCAGCGAGTACCAAAGAGATGGGTCCAGGCACTCATCGAGACACCTTGGATGACCATTTTGGAGATTACAACTGGAGAAAGGTTATCATTCTAGGTATGTAATTCTCTCAAGGAATGGAATTAGCTAACCTTCAGTCTTTAGCGGACACTCTTTGTGCTCGACTGAAAGAAGCGGTCAAAGCTCGTCTTGAGCATGTCGAAGAGTTCATCGGATACGAGGATGCTTTGCAGGCTGAGCATTCAGAATCTGTCCACTCCTGGAGACAAATTGTCCTTTCATGGGAAAGTGATCGAACCCAGCCGAATCTCTTCTCGCCGACTTTGCACCATAAGTCTACCTGCATCTATCAATATCTAATCCTCACTTAGACATAGCTGTGACTGAGAATGCTGTGCATCTGGAACTCGCAAGAGAAGAAAAAAATATTTCTGCTGTCGAAATTCGGCATGATGTTAGCCCAAGCGAATTGATTGCTCAAGGATTACAACTGGAAGAGGCTCAGTATGTTCTGGCATCATTTGATGTGATGCTCGTTCTGACAACTTCAACAGGGTGCGACTGCAATGTGATATCAATGCCCTTGGTTCGCATTCGACAGATCTACAACACACCAAAGTTCAGGCCCAAGATAATCAGTATCCAGCGCAAAATCGAAGTGTGGATTGAAGTACAAAAAATATATATGCCTAGGACTACACTTTTGCGCACACGGGATGAAGACCTGCCGTGCCATTGGAACAACTGTATCCGCCTTCAAAGATTCCCCTCTATCTCCCTTCCGCAGCACTCAGGCTCAATGCTATTGATCCTGACCACCCAGAACACCATCGTTGCTGATGAGTGGCGTCTACGTCTTGCCCAGGCCAATGATACCTTAGCTGCACTATGTGAGCATCTTCTCTTGAAGTCTTATCTTATGGCATGGTGACAACGCTTCTCATGAGGCCAATGCTACGGCACTAAAGCAAACACCTTATTTCACCAGGTAGAAGGCAAGATTGCGGCCGACGTTGCAAGGTACCAGCGAATCTACACAGCATTGTCGTCCATGTCTGTGAAGTTAAATAGGTTTGAGTGGCAGGGGATTCTTCACCCTCTGAAGAACGAAGATGTTCGAGGTCTTGATCAGTACAATGAGTTGACATCAGAGGGTCATCGCAACCTGGCGTGGATTTGGAAAACCAATCTCCAAGAGGGAGATAAAGGTCTCCAGGAAGGCAAGCGGCTACTGTCCCAACATCGTGATTCTTACTGATCCTATTCTTTGTTAGCATTGCAAATTGAGTGGTGTAAGTCTTGGGCACGAGCTCAGCGGTGGCAAGAAGAATGTGATCTGCTGACTGAGGAACTGCATCGCGTTCAAGTCACTTTCGCTTACTACGCCCAGCGATGGACCAAACGAGTGGAGTTTAGTTCGCTTCCCGGTGCAAGAGCTTATGCTTTTAGGCAAGTGGCGCTGTGGAGCGAGCTTCACGCAGATGCAGAAGCAAAATGGCTTGACGTCCAGACCAGTCTAGACTTGAATTCATCTAAGCACAGTATAGCAACTACAGATCTTGATAACCGTACCATCAACCAAGTAGATAATGTGTAGTTTTACTATGTCAGAGTATGTAGGTACCATAAATCAGAATCTAAATCTCGCATTCAACTTCAATGGAACGGTAAAATAACACGAGGATGGCCAAAAACGTGGCGGACTTTTTGGAATTCACGGGTAACAATGTCCTCCAGGTCATCTAGCGTCTCAATAACCGATGCGTAATCCCAACGACGTGGACTTCGTCGATGGTATAGCCACATTTGCTTAAGGCCCATAATATAGAGTGAGAATATTTCCTGTAGATCAGGTCAGCGAAGAAATCAAACTAGGAGGCGGACAACGTACGATCTTCCTCTGCTCCTTATCTGGAGACTGATCCTCTGGCCATGCGGTAAAATACAGTCCATAAAGTTCTTCGAAGAAAGCCAGCACCGTATCTGCTAGTACAGCTTGCTCAAAGGCTGGCCCACACTCAGCAAGCCAGAGGCGCTGCTCCTCGGAATAGTACAGTCGGATGGCATACTCATGGTTCAATGAAGCTGAGAAGACTCCAATGATGCTTCTGTTCAAGATTATTTTTAAGATTAGGATGCAAGCGTGTGAAGGAAACAACTTACAGAGAACCATCCCCAATACTATTATATCGATGATAGCGAAAAAGGTCAGGATCAAAAGACATTGTCAATAGAGGAGGGCACTGCGATAAGTATATGATGAGTTCCATGCATTCTATTAAATGGGATCCTTTGTATACTCCAGTGTGTCATTGTATGTTCTGCTGTATACATTCTTGTAGTCGACTGTGATGCCCCGATACGTCGCAAACTTCGCTGTATACATTCTCGTAGAACTGGCTATACACAGCCAGAAAAATATGCGGTCACCTCAGAGAATTTGTGTTTTGAGCATTGAGCAGCATGTATTGCATGATGTGAGCATGTGTAGAAGGGAAATTAGCAACTGAGATTGCTTGTACTCACTTTTTCATTATATGTAATGCAAGACAAATATACCGAGGCAGACTCAGCAGTTGTTGATTTCGCCAACTAGCATAGTTGGGCAAAGTAAACTTTGAGATGAGCCTATAATGATTAGAAGTATAGCAAGGAGAGAATGTGGTGGTGGCTTGTTAATTCTGTGTTCCAAAATCGGTGGCTAAAGACTGAGAACCATCAAATTATATATTTTACAAGCTAGTAGTACAGCCACACAAGATCCGGATGAAGATCTGGAGATTGACACTGAGATCCCATCATATTACTATGATCCCGGATCTATGCCTAAAGGAGTGAAAGGGCACGGAGTCAGGTGATGACGAGCAAGGAGGCAGGGAATCAATCAGTCTGAAGTGTGGGAAATAGCGGCCATTGGATTTTGTCATGGTTGCACGTGACTTGTCATTTTACGGGATGTATAGATTGCTTTGACTGTACAGAGCTACAGTAGAACTCGTAAACTGAGGTGCACAAGATGTACCAGGAGAATGTATACAGTATGGACGCTATAGCCTCGATCAGGGTAATTTGATAACCACGTTGTTACTCAGCCATTTTGGTAACACGGGTATCATTTCTTGTCAGTCGCCGTTTCCTAGGCCTAGGACCCTTGTTAGACAATTTTGGCAAGTTCTTTGGTTCTGAAATACCAGCAACAGCCAGGTATTCATCGAGTGCTTTAAGTGCTTTGCACTTAGAGTATGGCTCTACAGTTAAATCACCAAGAGCCCATCGTACATGGAAGAAAAGTGAGTTATTCTTCCATTCATGTCCTTCAATGCATTCAATGAATTCCTCAGCATCATCAGGAGCACCAAAGTCATAAGGTTCGGGCTTCTTTCTGTCTGGGAATAAAACTGCATCACTTTCAATGTAGGGCCTTAACAAGCTAACATGAAAACGTGGGTGAATACGACGTTTCACGAGTTCTTCAGGGAGGTCTAACTCATAGGTGGACGATGTGTGGTCTGCCATGAGTACAGTATATGGGCCAACGAATTTAGGTAATAGTTTCGTTGCCCTAGCTTTGGGAAGATTCAAATTCTTCGTTGATAGGTATACCTTCGATCCTTCCTTGATATCAGGTTCAGGAGATCGATGTTTATTAGCCTCATGAGTCTGGAATACTCGAGAAGCAATAAGGGCATCATGAGCATCATACAGGTTCTGCATGGCTTGGATAGCGAATGCACGGATCCCGGGTGGGACAAGTTTATCATATCGAACCTCTCGCATCATTGAAGGCATATATCCTCCAACAAGTTCGAAAGGTGCGAATCCTGTAGACGCATTCATGCTCGAGTTAAGAGCAAATTCAATGATAGGTACCTTGATCAACCAGTCACACTGATCAGGACGAATGGAGGCACGAAAAATCTGGCCAATAGAGCGATTAGCTCGCTCTGTAGCTCCATCTGTTTGCGGATGAAAAGAGGTAGACATAAGAAGCTTTGCACCAAGTAAGCCGTGAAGCTCTTTCCACCATACTGATGTGAATTTGGGGCCACGGTCAGAGACAATCGATTCCGGAAGGCCATGCAGTCATACAATCTCACGGAAATATATTGAAGACAAATCCGTGGCCGTATTGGAGGTGTGGATTGGGATTAAGTGAACCTGAGATGTCAATCGGCAGATAACTACCCAAAGGTAATTATATCCTTTAACCTCAGGAAATGGACCAATAAAATCCATTCCGATAGATTGCCATGGTCTGGTTGGTATTGGCAATGAATGGAGTTTCCCTGAGGGAGCTCTATAGTTCCCCTTCGACTTATTACAAGTCTCACAGGTACGGCAAAAGAATTCACACATCCTGTAGAGTTTTGGCCACCAATACCAATGACGAATGTAATCCGCCGTTCGTTGGGGACCAAAGTGGCCAACAACCTCATGAGCTTGTTCAATAACAGCTCCACAAAGTGAACGCAATCCCTTAGGTGACTTAGGGAGGCATAACAATTTTTCTCCAGGCTTATACAAGTTTTCCGTCCAGATTAATCCTTTCTCAATGAAAAATCGAGGGTGGTCACTAGGAGCCTTAAGGACCTTCGAGAATATAGGATCCGTGGCATATGAAGACTTAATATCCGACACAAAGGTTGGATCCGAGTCCATAGTGGTTTGTAAGTTTTTACCCTTGTCTCGAGAGTCGAAAACAGTAGGGTTAACTTTTGGTAATTGAACAGGTTTGGGTTCCTCTGGTTCCCGAGCGTTCTCCATTTCTTCAGCTTCAAGTTCTCGAGTTTCACGCTTCTCTTTGAGACATGCAGACTCTCGACATGTTTCCATAGCACTGAGGCGAATAACCATCTCCTCAGCTTCTTCTTTGCGACCTAAAGGTAGGTCTTCACCGAGTTTATCAAAACGAATATCAGCATTGACAAATTCAGCTAGGTGGTGCTGATCTTCAGGAGTATCAGACTCGTAATAGCGTGATAGGGCATCAGCAACTTTGTTAGATACACCCTTCATGTAGGTAATATCAAAATCAAAACGTGAGAGATATTCCATCCACCGCATTTGACGATTTGATAGACGTCGTTGAGTCTTAAAGAACTCAAGAGCTTTATGGTCTGTGACAACATGAATGCGATAACCAATAAGCTTGTCTTCCCACTTCAACAGGGCTTCAAGCATTGCAAGAGTTTCAGTCTCAAAAACACGGTAATTGCGTTGACTATCCGTGAACTTCTTAGACATAAATCTGGCAGGGCAACAAGTCTGCCAGGTAGGACCTTGGCCATACATCGCACCTACACCAGAAATCGAGGCATCACAGATAACCCAGATGGGTTCCGTAATGGCTACATTAATAGGACGAAGGATTGGCACTTTGCAACACAAATCCTTGATAGATTGAAAGCAGACAGAGTGAAGCAGACGCCAGTAAAATGGCTGTCCGTTCTTAGTCATTTCGGATAGAGGGGCTGTATACGCAGTCACATCCGGTAAGAAATGTGTGAGATAATTCACAAGTCCAAGAAACTTCTCAATATCATTATAGTTTCGAGGTTGTCTCCAGTTTCGGATTTGTTCCAGCTTATCTGAATCTGCATGGAGTCCTTTATCATCAACAAGATGTCCAAGACAATCCATCTTCTCAGCGTAAAGTTGAACCTTTTCCACTTTCATGAAGAGTTTGTTTTCTTGAAGCTTATTGAATACAAGCTTCAGATGTTGTTCATGTTCCTCGACGCTATCACTGTAAATGAATAAGTCGTCGAGGTACACATGCATGAAGACTCCAATATAGTCTTGGAAGATCAAAGTCATGAGCCATTGAAATGTGGAAGGAGCATTACAGTCTCCTTGCTGCATTACATTGCTCTTGAAGGTTCCGAAGATGGTTGCAAAGGCTGTCTTCCAAACATCGGAGGGGACAACTCGAACCTGCTCATAGGCATTTGAAAGATCAATCTTGGATCGGAGCTTAGCCCGAGCCACGTCAAGTCTAATGGTATCCTGGTCTGGAAATGGGGTAACATCCCTTTCCGTATTCTCATTGCGTTTCCGACAATCTACAGTGGTTCGGATGTCTGAGCCATGTTTTTTCGGAACACATAGCATGGGAGCAGCTTGAGTAGAGACACATGGTTCCCACCAGCGAGCTCTCTTGTACTGGGCAATCTTTTCCGCCAGTTTACCCTTCATAGAGTCAGGGCAACGAGGTAAGTAATAGTTATATTTTGCCTTATCATTGATCAATGGGATTTCATGATTTATGGCTCATAATGGAGGTAATTCCTCTGGAATACCTCCCATAATGTCACGACACGATTCCATCCATCTAGCACGAAGCTGAGGGATATCAGCGACCGAAGGAGAGGCTATATCCTTCGTCTTATCCTTGTAACGCTCAGAAGTTGCACGAATTGCTTCTTCAATCGAGATCTTTGGATTTGAATCTTCAATCTCTTTGCTTTGTGATTCTGGAAACCGTTCTCGCGTAAATTCCTGTACAAGTTCATTGACTTCAATTAATTTTTGCCTATCCTTTGGATTCGAGGCATCCAAGGTAAGAGCTTCAGTAACAATTTTTGAAAGGTCTTCCATCGACACAAAGTCTTCCGGAGTAAGTAAGACAGGTAATTGACGGTTCAATGGAGCTGCTAGTCTTCCACTGTCATCGTCTTCATTGATATCCTCTATGGTTGGTGCATAGCGTGACCATGGAGGTTCTGGTATGTCAGAATGAGCTTTATTTATGCTCTGGCCATATAGTCATTTCGACTTAGGCTTTACAGTTTGACTTCTTTTGGTTGAACCCTTCAAACCTTGGGTAGTTGAAACTGGTTCTTTGGGTTTATTCGGGCGAGGTTTGATTTCTACTTCCTCATCTGAGTTGAATTGAACTTTGTTTGATACACGTTTCACATATCTACGAGTCATTTCCTTGGTTTCCTCCCCCTCTGAAAGAGTAGGGGCTGGAATACGCCGAATATGAATTGTATCATACTCAAAATCAAGTGATATGCCATGCTTTCACATGAAAACAGTGCCTAGGACTGCATCATAGCGGTCAACGTTCGCAATATCAAAGTAGTAGTTATCACCCGAGATGAATGCATGAGCATTCCCAAATTTATAGGATGCATTACAACCATGGCTAATCTGTGAGCAACTTCCTTTAGTTCCAAGTTGAAGTGTGATGGGCTTCGTCAACTGGAATATGTTTAATTTTGCGAGGCGAGCAAAATCTGGACTGATAGCATCAGCGGTACTCCCAGAATCGAAGAGAGTAAATGCTTCACATCCATTGATAGTGACTAAAGCAGCAAGGCAACGATTTTCAGCAGCTGTACGCTTTGGACGAGATGCAGTCCGAGGTGCATGGATTTTTGTGGGCTCAAGTGTTGGTCGATATCCTTTGATCTTTCCATCACTTGTCTGCTCTGTTTGAATTGCCCGAAGGTATTCAGGGAAATCCAGGACATACTCGTCATGAGATTCCATTCCATCGCTATCAGAGTCCGAGATTGAGGAGGAGTCTTCGCTAGATGCATCATGATCCATGGTATGGTCATTCAAATGCTCAGAGAAGTGAGATATACCCGATGAATCCGAGTAATCATTATCTTCTTCAAAAATAAACCCCATGCGTTCATCAGTAGTACCCTCATCGGATGTATACTGACTTCCACCATAAGGGTCTTCAGCATCAGAATTATTGGGAGACTGGTGCCCGGAAGAATTTCCAGGTTCATCTTCTGAGAGGTTAGTCCAATCCGGTGGGTTTTCAACCTCTGTATGATACTCCTCATCGGAGGATTCATGATCCGATGCTGAATTCACAGACGAATTGTCTGGAGAGTTGTCATCCACAATGTGGTACAATTTCTCTCCGGAACTTCGCTTTCCGTACTCCGGACATGAGGGATCATTGGAGTAATGTCCCTTCTTCCCACAGCCATAGCAGGTAGGGATTTTCGAGTTAGGATTCGATTTCCCCTTGTCTTTAGAGTGGTGTGGGTGCGATTATTTATGCCCTGAAGATGGACAATCCTTCTTGGGCTGATCACGAATTCGCTTGAATTTTTCATAGCCAGGATTGGGTCGAGTGCTATGGCACTCACCCTGAACCTTCTTGAATTTACGAGGTGATGGAGAATGCCTCTTCTTTGCAGATATGGCATTCTCCTTTGATGACTTACGAAGTCGAGATATATGGTCTTGCCATTGTTGACTGTAATATCGTTCTGCACGGATACCCTTCTCAACAGTAAGAGCATGCTGCATAATATCATTCACAGTCGAAACCTCGGCAGTAAGACCCATGCGAGTGACTTCCTGATGAATATTTGAAGGTAACGAGATCATTAGACGTCGTCGGAACGTATAGATGTCTGGTGGTGAAGGCATCATGTTTGCAAATCATAATAAACTCACAAATAGCTGGCAAACACCACCTTCAAAAGTGTACTGAACACGCTCAAAGTGTTCATTAACAGCATATAATGATGATTCATGGATAAATCGACGGTACAGACCGTTAATTACTTCCATGAAAGTAGGAAAATCATCACCATTCGCATTATTGGTATAAGCGATAGGTGTGTCTTCAACTACATTGTTATACCACGTATGGGCGTCTCCCCCTAAAAAGGTTGCAAGAGTGCTCGTACGCTGCATATCAATGGCAGAAAGCTGCTGTCCACCCCATTCATCTTCAGTATAAACAGGGCCACAAATATTTGCGATCTTCATCCATCTAATGATAGAGAAGATCCACTCATCGAATTCTATAAGGTCAGAGCTTCCCTCATATTTTTGGGGATGAGGAATACTCTGTAAAGATGTTTTCTGGACATTAGAATCCAGTCCTCGTTGAACACGCAAGAGATTGCGATTCACGAGGCATTCATAGCGCTGAAAAATCGCAAGCATAATTTCAACCTCAGATCTCATAACAGGGAGATACTCGAATATCTCCTCGTTGTTGAAACGAGGTTCCTGAGATGTGAAACGGACTTCCTGAAAATGAGCAGGAGTCGGTTCGCGAGCTTGTGGGTTATCAGAGCGTGACAAATGTTGGCTACTGGAACTGCTACGATGAGATCCTGGTCCTCCAGGTGGTGGCGGAGGAGGAGGATCGTTAGGAGGATGACCTGCACCTAGATTACGAGACGAAGTGGGACTATCCACATTAATTGGGCTTGCATGATTCTCCGAATGCGGTGCAGTTCGTGGAGGAGGTGCTGGATTTTGCTCTCGATGTGAGGTCAAGTCCAGGGCTTGTTGTGGCCGACGAGGTTGGTTATGAGCCAAAACAGAGTCGAAGTAACTAGCAGGCTCGCGAAGATCATAGTGATTTGACTGCGTGTTCACAGGAACGGCCTGGGGTCGAGGTGAAGGCACTAGAGGTGTAGCACCACGTTCTGGACGATTAGGACGCTGTCGAGGTGGCGTTGGTGGATCTGGGTGACGATTAGGAGGGTTAGGACCATTAGGTGGTAGATTCGGAGGATCTGGAGTGGAATCCTGTGAATCACTAGAGGATCCGTCGTCTCCTGGATCAGGATTAGGTGCAGCAGCTCCTACACGAGTCCTAGGCTGTGGTGGAGCCTGCGATGGTCGTGGCCTCGGTTCTTCACCAGGAATACGAGTATTTGGCCTATTACTAGCCTCAGGTCTTGTAGGTTGATCTCGAGGTCTCGAGTCACCAAACTGGAGAGGGGGTTCATCCTTCTCGACCTTAGGATGTCGAGATGGTGGCCGACGATGTGGGGGAACATATCTACCCTTCCTAGGAGTAGGAGGGACGTTGTCCTCATCATCAGCATCACTATCATACTCACCCTTAATTTTAGAGATCAGAGCCTTGTTCCGCTCTTCTATAGGGTCAACAATAGTTTGTGACGAGGCTCGCGATACAGAGGATCGTGAGCCCATAAGGCCCAATTCATTAATGAAAAGCTGTGAGTGAGAGGTTTTCATTTCATTAATGAATCCCTGTCTCTCTCAGGGCCTTCCAATTGCATGTACCAATCTGCGTCTGTACCAAAGATTTATTAATGCTGACGGCATCCTGGAATGCTGGTTTATTGGTCACGTGGTTCGACGACATTTCCGTTTTGCAGCCAGTGCCTGTTGTTGTGCACCCTAGGCCACCTCCCGCCTCTACTGCAGATCTTTCTTGTATCGAGATCATTTTTCTCTTCGATATCGTGTCACTCATCGGGATCAATCAACCTTGCTTGCATTTCAGGTCTTCTTTGATTCTGCAGGTACAGTATGTGCAGTGGCTGTGGCATTCTGTGGCACGACTTGCCGAAGCCTGTGTCTTCATTGACGTGAATGTTTGCATTTCCATGACATTCTTGGATCCTCTCCTCACCAGCACACCACGTTGTAACCCCAGTTCTGCGTTTGCCAATTAATTGGAGCCTTCCCATGCGTCCAGGGCAGGGCGTCAGACTCCTGCCTCGTACTATCAAATCCAACCATGACACAAGAATGCCTGGACATTAACCCGGGAAAAACGGTATGACATACAACCATCTTTGATTTCTTCCAAAAACTCATGTATGATACAGCATATCCATTGTGCCGGGCCACATGAAACCATCAATATATCCTTCAGTTAATGCATTGATATGCCCATTCATGAACCCTTCAATACCAGGTGCTTGCAAGCTGCGGCTTCGCCTGGAAATATTTCTTTCTGCTCCGTGTGCTCTAGCAATAATAATAAATCCTTCGTCCTTTTCCCCTCAACCGTCAATTAATGCTTCAGACCTCCATTGTCATCCATTTATTCTCTCCAGACCCGGAATCCTTCCATCAATAAATTCTTCCTCTGGTCCGATCCACTCCTTGAATCGAAGTGGGTCTGCTCTCACCCATCTCTTTTTAGGCTTCACCCCTCCCTTCTGCCTTCGTCTTTCCCCAAGCTTCACTCATCCCCACTTTTGTCTTTCCCCAATTATCTTTCAATTTTAAACAAGGTGCAATCTTTTCGTTCTCTCCTCAAGTCGTCTAAATGCATTGATATTGATTCTTCTAGTAACTCATCTTCTACAATCCGGTCCTATGTCTACCAACCAGCATTCCGACGTCCCGTCCAGGTTCGAGCTCAATCTTCTCCAGTGAATTCATTCTCATTTTTTCCTGCCAGTTCCCAGACAGGAGATATCCAAGTCAAGGATGCTCATCCAACTGCGCCAGTCCTGCCTTTCAAGTAAGCTCTACAGTCCAAATGCAATCCTGTATACTCACCGTCCATAGGAACTGGCCTTTGGTGCCGTTCAATGTTCGTTACCATGCCAAGAACTCTGGTCCGGCAAATCTATGCAGCGGGGAGGAATGCAAGAGGCCTTGGAAGCCAATGGGAGTCGGAGTCAACCTCGGAGACTCTGAGACATGCGAGCGTATCTGGTCCCTTAGTGTAATATGCCAGCAGTGAATGTACCTTTCCATGCGGAATACAAAAGTATCGCGATGTTCCGATCCAAAAATTATTGCCATTTATGTATATATAATAAGAAGGCAATAACGTTTCTACTATTTACCTTCTACCATCATGGATGACCAGACTCTGCAAGAGACATGGGTCTGCCCATTCATCCCCACTTATCGAAGCATACTACGATACGGCATGTCAACCCTCGACGCATATCTGCTCGGTCTCTTCGTGGCTTACCACGCTCGTTTTCGATGCTTGCTTGGCACGCCAGAAAACCCCAGCGACTTGAACTTGGTTCATGCTTGGAAATGACAGGCAATCACTGTGAGTTACCAAACACCTTTTCAAACTCACTCAAAAATTTCTTTAGGATCTTGCTCGTCTCCTGCTTAGAGTTCATACCAAACTCTCTGACACGCAAGACTCTCCAATGCCCGTGGTTCCAGATTCACAGCCTACTGCTCGATGCAGTGACCAAGCCGTCAAGGCACCGATACACACTCAGCATGCATCCCATTCCTCCCCCGATAACATTGACAGCCCTGCACCAGTTCCATCCTCCCCAAACCCAATATTGCTGGATGCTCCCCTCTCATCAACCGCTGATCCTGGGATGAAGGTAAGCTGTCCTCTTTTCCCATCAATTTGGTCCTGACTGGTGACTCGTCCTAGATGATTCCCTGCCAAATAACCTCTGAAACTTCCAGTTCCTCCGGGGAAATTGGTGGGGAGTGTCTGATGACTGGTTCCAAGCGCACTCGTGGTTCTAGCTCCGACAGCAAGGAAGAGCCAACGTCGAAGCGAAGATGTCTGGATGCTGGAGCTGTTTCCCTCAAAACTGGAATAGTAAGTTCTTCCTGCTATCGAGCATTGCAGCACATTAATTTCCGACGAACATTCCCTATTAGTGATCTCTTGAGTAGTGTACAGAATATTTGTATTTTTGCTGGAGTCCCTGTATAATCAATATTTCTTTTAGAAGCGTCTGGAGCCAATAATAAATCCATCTGGAGAGCACATAAGCGAACTAACCATCGGTACCTTGAATTCTCTTCAATGATAAATTTTTCTGAGCTTGTTCATTGAAGAATTCATTTTTGAACTTGGCACGGACTAACAGAAAGAAGTCACTACACGATGATGCATTATTTGTTCAACGACACAGAGTAGCTACTACGTATATCATGCCGGAAGGGCCCCTGGACCATTGACCATGACCACTAAACAAGCATTGACGTCCGCCATAAATGCCTTCCAATGTCGAGGGGCCATCTTTGACTCCAGTACAAGTGTTCCCCACCACCGCACCAAGTACATTACCTGTACCATTCCACTCCGGCCTTTCTTCCTGATCCGGCTCATGTCCACTGTATAATCCGGGATGGGTAGGTTCCCTTCCCCCGATTCCCTTGCGACACTTTGCAGTGACATCCACCATTCCATAGTCTGCTCGATTAGCTCCATTCGGTCCTTGGAAGAAAGGACTGGAAGCATGGCTTGCATCCTTTTCTTGAGCAACTCGGTCAGTGCTACCAGTCGATCTCTTGATGCCAATCGTCCCTTGTTTAGAAACATTAGTCATGCCCCAATGGATACCAGAATCTTACCTCTTTCACCGTCATGGACATTTCAAACTCTTTCCAGTGGTCTACACATCGCGTGTACTCTTTGCCCAGGTCGCAGGATTGTAGAACAGACTCCGCTTCTTCCACTTCTGGGGGAACTTCCCGATGGGTTTGTGTTCGGCGTTCTCGCACGGGTCGAACATTTTCCTTTTCGGAAGGTAGCTCTTCTTCCATGTTGACAGTTGGCCCTGCTGACATTTGTCGATGGTCTTGATCATCCTCCAGTCCACAGGGACGAGGCGCTTGAATACCATCCTGAGAGTGACTCGTGAGAAGCTGCTGAGTATTATCATTTACCGGCACCACATTAGCGTGCTGGGGCTCAGCCATCAGATTCTCGATGTCGGTCATCGGCACTGCCGACACTGTTGAAGAATTCACAGCGTTTCCTTCGATTTCGGCCGCTGGCGCACCAGGTTGGTTCGGTGAATTTTTGGCAGGTACTGGCATGCTCATTGGGGCGGCGGCGACCTGGTTAGGGAAATTTACCGGGGTGTTGATGGACGTGAAGGCATTGTAGTCAGCAGAATTTAACCCGGAGGGGGGAACTTGGTTCGGGAAATTTACCGGAGTGTTGGTAGAAGTGAACGGATGGTAGTTGGCAGAATTTTGGGAAGGAGCAGAGAAGGACAAGTCCTGTTGCCATACGTTACTGGGCTGTTGCCATACGTTACTGGGCTGTTGCCACGTATAAGCCTGCTGCCATTGATTGCATGTAAGAATAGCCGAGTTCTCCTATGACATCATGTCGACGATCGACGGATTAGCATTCCACTGTTGGGCGACGTTCATTCCGTAGGCTGTGTCTCCATGATTTGGGCCAGGTATTATGGTGTCGTGAGGCGCCTGGAGCAACATATCCATAGATAAGTCGGCATGGAGCACCCCACCAGTGAGGAGGTAATTCCATGGAAGAGTCCATGTGGGACATATCCAGTTGACCGAAATCCGGGTCCTGTCGACGCGTACGGTGTTACCCCATCCCAATCCACCCACTCCATATCCATGAAATCCTTGAAAGGATCCCCTAATTCAGTCATGTCAAAGTCCTGGTTTGGTCCAGCCATTGGTCGAAGTCCTAGGTCTGTCCCATCTTTGCAGATTGGAGAAGATAACTGTAGTTTGAGTGGTCCTGGGATCCACGGGAGGGAATGAAACTGATGGAATACTAGTCGCTGCAGCAGGCAGTTCCGACAGAGCCGTTGGGCGTCTCTGCATCTGGGGGGTTGCACTGAAGACGATTTTGCCAGGTTGGATGGCAGTCGCCGTGGGATCGACTGCACGGCTCGACACGGGGGATTCGGCTGCACTACCTGTGGTGACGACTGTGTTGCTCGCTATGGGGGGTTCAGCTGCACTGCTCGTGGTGACGGGTTCAGGTATACTGATCACTGGGGGGGGTTCAGCTGTACTGCTCGCTGTGACAGGAGCCACGGGAATGGCTGTACTGCTTGTCATGGGATCAGCCATATGGCTCGCTGAACCGGTATCTGCAGTATCTGCTGTCTTCTTTGTCTTCTTCCTCGATGGTTTTTTCTGCCCTATATCCACGTGTAAGCAAATAAGACGGCAATATTCCATAAAGTGAAGGTGCACCAGGGTTATCTTCTTTCTCTTTTCGTTTCCGTTTCTCTGACTCACCCTTTGTCACCTTCTTTTTGGACCCTAAGGCATAAGTGTCAGCATCAAATGGGAATACAAGGTCTAATTCGTGCACTTTTCGTGGGCTCAGATGGCCCGCCCATGCTCTCCTCATCACTCACTCCCTCAACTGCATTGATGTCATTCATAAAATCTTCCACATCACTGTCATCGTGTTGTCGCGGTCGTTTCTGACGTGACTTTTTGGTTGTAGCCATTAGTTTCCGGAACTCCTCGCATTTTTCGGGGGCTGGATAATGCAAGATCAGGTTGAGGCGATGAAGAGATGCAGATGCTTACAAAACGAGGAACAAACAAATTCCAAGAAAGGGGTCTGCACGTGATCACTGTATTTTGCATAATGCTGTGCAAAAGTATGTCCCCCTTCGTTTTCACCAAAATTCATGCTAGAAAACCTGTTGTCAAGACAATTCTTCACATGGCTTTCTGTATCACTCACAAGTAGGTCCTCGGGTTGAATTCCCCAGGACACATGCTGGCGAGCTGTATGCTGCCAACCCATCCTGCTTCGCTGGCGATATCCACCAATTGCATCGTCATCGCCTCCAGCATATCAATATTTCTGGGTAAATGTGAGCAATCGCTGTAGTCAATGCATGGTTTACTCTCACCGTAAAGTTGCCTCTGGACTACCTTTCTCAGGGCGGTACTTTTTGGCTTGGGAATTCTCACATGCCAAAGTCTCCATCCTCTCCCGAGTGTCGTCGCTTTTGTTCACCAGCAACTCTTTCGCCACTTTGCGTCCCAACTGAAGATCATGCCTGCTAGCCTTCAGCTTAGCCACCATATCTGTGTCATCACCGACCATTCCATCATCACCAACTGATGTCTCAGAACCAGTAACTCAGGGATCAGTATCTGCCGGTGCAGTCTCCGTGGCTGCTTTTCGTTTCTCGGCTTCGACGGCGGCAATGAACCACTTCTCCTTGTGATTTTCTTGGAAGTAAAGCTCGGTGGGAGTTAGGCCACGTGTGGTTTTGAGTCTGACAGGTCCCCTTTTTCTCACTGGCTTGCTACTCCCAGGACCTTGATTCTTGAGTGTGGCTTGGTAGTTATAGAACCAGTTTTTCAAGGACTAGACACCACAATGAATAATCATGCGAAAGGTATAGCAAGGGTTGTCTTACTGCTGCTCGATCCATCAGGAACGCTTCGTGCTCTTCGGCAGACAACTCAGACGGAGGCAGGTATCTGTCATTGAATAGACCGATACACTTCAGGACGGTATGCGCGACAGAGTGTTCATGTTGGCCCGTGACGAATGATGGAAAGAGCTCCTCGACGATGTATGCGTCCTCCTCTGGAAATTTAAGGCGAGCCACCATCTAGACATGTGCATGAGAGGGCTATTCACGCTGTAGTGATACCTTCAGACTCACCGTGTTCTATCAATCGTGGAGACAAACGATAGGCTTTTAGTTTCGCGACGGATCAAGGCAAGGATCTATTCATGCAGGAGTGATACCTTCAGACTCACCGTGTTCTACTGATCGCGGGGACAAATGATAGGCTTTTAGCTTGGCGACAGATCAAGGCAAGAATTAATTCTTCATGGCCAAGGCAAGGTATCTGGCATCACCCGGCGGAGCTGAATTGCAACTGTACAGTTGCAAGTCCCCATGTATAAAAGAAGGCGAGGGCTCCCTCTCATCTCTCACCAACAATCATGGACTCAACCCAAGCTCCTGCTACCATCGCCCTCTCTGAGACCCAAGCGGACCACAAGGATTGAATCTTGCACTTGATCGCAGTCTTATTTGCCGAGCTAGGTAAGCGTTGCCTTGATCGATCGAGGTGCCACGGTTGACCTCATTTGTTTTATAGATGGTATCACCCCTGGTTTGTTTTCGACGACTCACGTTTTCATTCCGCTAACTTAAACCTAGATACCATTCCTTCCGGTGCCAGCCTCAGCGTCCCAGCGGGGCCGTTGCCTCTGCCTGAGGAGAACGAGGAGGCTCCACCCCCCACCTTTCCTTGTGGGGCCTGCGGCTTTGTTAACAATGTCACGGTCCACAAACCTTTCAAATGGTACGCGGTTATCCGTGGTTGGGCTGTCGGCGTCGTCCAAGGAAGGTATGTCCTCGTCGTCACTATTTCCTTAGGTTGTGCCCTGATCCAGTTCCGTGCGCAGCTCGGATTCGACTGCGTTGACCACTGGCGTCACTGCTGGTCATGCATCCAAGGGGAGCACCAAGAAGGAGGCCATCACTATCTTTAACCAGGCTCTTTCCAAGGGCCAGGTCACTGTAGTACCTAAGATGCTGAAGATCTAGGGCACAACGTAGTATACCTATTACTTAGCTTTTGCCATCAATGTGTAGTCAGCTCTACTGCCGAAAAATGTGTATCTCTGTTGCAGTGCATTCCCTACTACCTTTGTGAACTGCCCCAACAAATAAGCAACCAAAAAATCATTCAGATCGGGGACTGCAGACTCCGCAGTTCGACAAAATTGGTCTTGTTCATCATTTTTACATTGGATGCAGGGATGAATAAATGATTGCCTGGTTTATCGCAACAATAAATTTTTGTTGAATCCGTGGCATTATGGTTCTGTGCAGATTCGCGAGGATTGTGTCAACCATTAATTCTTATGGATGCAGCAGGCAAAAATAAATTGTTTGATTGGAAACCATCGGATGTCCTCAACCATAAATTCTTGGGACGTCATCCGCTTCACTTCAATCTTGGGTCCGTGGAGTATTCCCATCGTGCCAATCAGCTATTAGCAGGTCTTTATCAATCATAAATCCTTCGCAGGGCACCCTTCATCATTCATTAATTCTTCACAGGATTCGTCGTCCATGTCAATTCAATTTCGGGTCCACGGTCAGGCAGGTCTTCGTCAATCATAAATCCTTCAAACCGCATCCTTCATCATCAATAAATCCTTCACAGTGTATTTGGCTGGCTTGATTTCATTGGTGGGTCTGCAATCACCCATAAATCTTTCGAACCAGACCCGTTGTTATCCATTATTTATTCAGAGGATTTGTTTCTCACATGATAGTTCACAGGCAGGGGAAAATGAATCATCGTTCGACTTCAACATGACAAAGTGATTTAACAAACTACCACTCCCTTTGGTACATTAGGGCCATGTTATCGTACTCTCTAACAAGATACTCCCTCCCCTCAGCAAAGACATGCGTCTGCAGTTCAACGATCCATCCATGAACCTCTTGGATGCGGTGAAGAATGTTCTGCATGCGTTGAAACCTTTTACTGACACCGGCCACATTGAGAACTCTGTCTATACATAGATTAAGATCTGACAACAACTTCTGCAATGCCTCCTCTTCGTCATCAATCTCGAACATCATGCCCAGGACACTGTTTTGGAATTTTTGTAGAAACCACTTGTAGAGCTTCTCCAAATACTCCCAGGGAGACAATCCTCACATTTGCTTGGTAAACTGCAAGTCAAGGTCCTTGGAGCATAAAAGGTAAAGTTCTACTGGCAGTTGTACTCGTGATGTACCCTTGAAAGCAATGCATGGTAGCATTTGGCGTGAGGTGTCTGTGGAGATAGGTACATGGGAAGGGCGGTCAGATGGCGACTCCATGAAGACGGTTTCATATAGGGACGGCGGGGTACCAGGACACGTCAGCACCTGAGAGATAGAAAGCTGAGGGTGGTTCTCAGGGAGCACAGTCGCTGGTGATGACAGGCCATCCTCATAATGTGGGAGTCCGTCCTGAGAGGGGTTGGCATCGAACCCCGGGCTAGATGGGAGCTTTGGTTTCAAATGTGCAGCTTGCGTGATTGTACCCTTAGATGCACAGCGACATCTGCGATGTTTTGGCGCTAGCTGTGAGGGGGAGCCTGGGGGTTTGCATGTTATATTAACTACAGGCCTGGAATGATATGCAAATATAAGATGTTGGTCTGCGTCTTTGCTCGAAACCTAACTCACTGAACCTGAACGTGTCATTTCTGACGATATTTTTCTCGACGGCGTGCTAAAATTTTGTCTCTATTTCTACAGTGATCATCATTGAGCTGTCGAACAGTGACAAAGGGGTTAACACTTCACTTCTGGTAGCTCCTCTGACTTTTCTGTCAGTTCGCCAATATTTTAGGGTCTTGCGGCGGTGCCCAGGGTTCGACAGTTACTGCCATGGAGGACATGAGTGAAGGTCAGCAGGTCCCAAAAAAAGGAAATCATGATCACTGCTGATCACGATTGCTGTTGGTCTGACCTCATCTGACCGCCTCTGTAAATGAGTTCTGGAAGTAGTTAGTGACCTATCCTGACCGTAATCGTTAGAGGAATAGAGGACGATTGTGTTTTGATCGTGTAGCATCACACCAATCAGTATGTCACAATGTCACTGATGTCATATGATGAATCAAATTGGTCCTTGGCTATCTTCACTTGAAACCATGAATCCAATCCGTTTCTTGAATACGTTCCTCACACTCCTTGTGGCTCAGATATCGCACAAGTACTGTGTCATCAAACATCTCTCTCTTTATGAACAGATTCAATTGGTCTGTTCAATTTTGTCTATCCACTGTCCAGGCAAGGCTCTTCCCGCTTTGACGTCGATTCGAAGTACAACTCATCACTGGATGTATATTCTACAGAATAACAAGACACGACAGACAATATATGCTAGCAATATCACATGCAACCAGTCCTCGACTTGCTGAGCAGAGCACCTGAAGGTGGTCAACGTGAACCGCCACATGGCATTCGACCAGGCTTGATATTTCACAGCTAGATGATCGCTACCCAATGTGGTCTGACCTAGCTTTCAGTTCGATATATGGAGGTCGAATTCTCGAGCGTTTATGGTGCATTCCTGGCACCAAGGTAGGATACGCTCTCTGTTATGTTTAAAATGCTGATCTCTGATCCATTCAAAGTAGTACAGTGCTCACACTCTCAGTGATCATTGTACCCTCCGTCAGACCCTGATATGCCGATGATTTCGGCTTCAGACCATGCCACAGCCACAAACAAGGAATAACATCATGCCAGGGTGCTCCTTCATCGAAGTCACTTCACTACCAGCCTGAAGCTCTGGATCCCAAGACGATGTCGTTTACAGTCCCCGCTCCAATCAACTCAGAGAATCTGCAGTTGTAAGTTTGTTCGTGACATCAATATTTGTTCTTCAAACCTTCTAATTATCCCAGTACTTACAGTGTCCCTCCTCCTCGACAACCCCCCCCCCCCGCTGGCTGCTTGCGCTCATCTGGACAAATGATCAGTATCTCTGGATGGACCAGATTGGCCCTCAGTTCGAGCAGGCTGTATTGCGACATCAAGTACAAAACTTCCTCTGTAACACGTATCACACCTGGTTTGATATGTGGCCTGAAGACCCCCAAAACCGTCTCTCAGGCGAGTTTAGACTTGCTAGATTCGAGATGCGCAAGATTGTATGTGCCACCACACTCAGGAAGATGCAGATGGCTAATAATTGTTTCAAGGAAATTTTCCAGCTACACGTTATGGATTTGGGAGAATGTTGGGTCGTACATGGTCTTATACCCAAGCCATACAGTGGTCACGAGTGGGAAAGCATACTCGATGATTTAGTGGTCATGGCGGATCAGGCTTGGGGCCAGGTTTGCCATCTGTATGGGTATGACCATCCTTTAAGGCATTCACCCTCAGAGGCTTTTGAGAAAGAGTCCTAATGATACTTAGCTATGTTTTTGAGGTCGTGTGCTCTCACACTGTCAGGTTGCCTTGCAGGAATACCTTAGTGTACCTGGCCACCAATGTCTTCAACTATTAATCCTTGATTTCAGTCGCCCTGACTCTTGACGAATAATACATCCTTGGTCAATAATATATTGTTGGCGGCGCTGGTGAGATCTCCTGCTTCTCAAGAATTAATGGTTGAAATTTTACCCCCCAGCGATATATTAATGCTCTCCGGGCAGTGAGTTACAATTGTGGCCCTTCCTTTTGCATTCCCTCTGCTGCCTTTTTCAAACGTCTCTCTCACTGTGCTCGCACTAGGCGACACTCAAGCGACGCCCCCTCTTGTTCCACTGCTCTCTCCGCACCATCCTAACAATGACCGAAAGTGCCTACGATCGGAGTATGACCTAGCATCTTTTTTTTTCCCTGGCTCGCTTTGACATAATGTGCAGTTTTCTTCCTAGCACCGGATGAAGAGGATGCGATGTTACCCTTTCTCTCTGAGTATTGGACCAGTTGCCAGCAAGGAGGTCAAGCCTTGGAAAGACATGCGCCAACATTTGTGGGAAGCTTGGATGGCCAAGTTTCCTATCAATTTTATTGCCTTGACCGGACGCTACTCTACCAAGGTGGATGAGAGCGACTGTCATCAGAGGAAGCTTCGGGTATGTCACTTGTGTTTGTTCAGAAGTAGGGGGCTGACCATCATGGCATCAGTGCATTGAGGCATATCTCCTTCGATTTGGTTCATTCACCGGTGGCCACAGGTTGGATATTCTGTGCCAGGCTGCTATTTTTGTAGATGCACAGTCGCAGAGCATGGATTTGTCATCTGAGGAGGTTCCACCACAACAAACGCAAATCACCATGCCTCCTATCTTCATCCCCTGTCATAGCCCATGTCTGTTAGCTCATTGCTACACCCAAAATTCCCCCTCGCACTCTCATCGTCAGACCGAACACCCCATCACTCCCTCACCGTCCCCCCCCAAGGCCGCGTTGCATACAAGTGCCATATTCCAGACTCCGAAAACCCCCTTGCGCACGTATGCTAACCATGCACGTCACAGGGGCACCAATCTGAAGTATCCTGCTGAGGGCTCTCAGATGTTCCTGTCATACCCTGTCAGGAAAACCAAGATTTCGTCGATGCATCCACGCGGTGGATAAATAGCAATTGTTGTCGCTGGGGCATAGGTCATATAGCAGCTTGGTGTTCATTAGCTAGTACATTCAGGTTGTGACGGACATATCAATTTTTCTTTCTATGTCGTGGCTAAAGACATGTAGACATAGCTTGGTGCTTGACTGGATATAGAAATTCACACCCATTAACCTGTAATGCCCCTGACTCGCAGTGAGAACAAGTTGTAAAGTCGACGACAAAGAAAAAAATGCTTAGACCAGGAAGAGCCAGCATTGTTTTACATCAACCCACAACTCAAGAATAAATCATTCCAGGAGTCGCCGGTCTCTCTATATAACCATGGAGCCAGGTAAGAGCGAGTCGATTAATAAATCCTTAACTACCAGTCAAGAGGAAATGGATCGTTGCTGGTCCTACATAGCCAGTTGATTAATAAATTTTTGGAATGTGTGTACATGCTCGTTATAAAATAGGAAACCATCCTACGAGTCCTCCTGAGATATCCCTATGAGTTCCTCCACGCTTCACTCTCTCACGATGCACTGTGAACTCTGCGAAGGAAGCCTGGACTTCACATCGACTGTGGCTCGAGTATCCGCCAGTGACGATGTTATCACCTTCGGTCAGGTATGGTCCCTTCAATGCAGACATCTACTCGACACGGATTGCGCCTATCAACTGCTCGAACATCGTCGAATGCGTTCCTTGGGGGCGAAACCCCCGGGATCCTCCCCCCGATCCTTCCCTGTTGCCAAAGTGTGGTCCTGCCCGGTCGCCACATGTACAGCCGTGTATCGCAGCATCGTTTCTCATCGTTGTCATGGATGGACAATGGCACCAGACGGAGAGGGGGACATCAAGGCTCTGGTGCCGTACTCTCTGCATTCACTCCTGGGGGCTTATGCTACAAGAGACTGTGTTCGTTGGGGAATGCTCGAAGACCTTGAAGACCTGCAGCTCCACTTGGGTTCGCTTCACCACGGAATCTGACACCGGCAGTCGATCTGTTCTGCACCCATTTCTGTCGAATTTGCGACTCATTGGTACGTCCCAAGCGTTGGCTTCAGTCCGCTCTTACCCAATGGGATCTCCTCTTAGGTCCCAAAGTCAAGAGCCTCCCATTACCGTCTCGGTCTCCTCTGCCGTGGCGTCGCTGTCCAGCAGTGTTGCAAATGGTTATGTTATCGATGACCTTGTTGCAGAGATGCTGGTTAATCGCCCTCGCATCCCTCCTCTGTGGTAAGCATATCTATCATAACCCAGTTTAGTGCAGTACTGACCAAGATGGCATTCCAGGCCCACCCACTTGGATTCATTTCGTGATTCTTTGGACCACAGAGATCTCTACGTACGCAGTTTGGTACTGGTTGTGCCAGGGAATATCCACCTCATTCCAGGCTCTGCGTACGTCTCACTGTCGATGTCGTTTTGCGCAGTTTACTGATAATCAGTTACGCAGGCCACCTACAATGGACTGGGTAGTTCCTCGATCTTGTCCAGCATGGAGGGTGGTGACTGAGGCTGTAGGTGGTGACGAGAATGCCCGGATGCAGGTCAACACGACTGTGCTTGAGAGCTCGGAGATGGCCTCTCTGGTCTCGCTCTGTGATTCCATGCTCATTACCATGGATTCCAATTTCAGGTTGAGAAACGGATGTCATGGTGCCGTTGCCTGAGTCTAGGAGACGATATGAGTACATGAGATGCCGGTCATTTTTGTTAATGTAGAAAAATAAATCCTTCTTGCATGAGTCATGTATATGTGCATAAGTTAGTGCAGTCGCAAGCAGAAGGAAAAGTGGGACAAACGACTGGATGCAATGCGGCATGGGAGTCCCATCCCAGGCCGGCAAGGCTGTGCACAGGTGCCATGTGGAAGGGGTTGCTACATGTGCGATTGTACTCCACACTCTCATGATTGGGTGCACCTCGTCCCCCACTCATTCCAAAGTCATACAATACCATTGAAGCAAGGAGGTACTGATGGTAAGCACTCCATCTATTCTCTTCATATTACATATCAATTAACCGTTCGTTCGCAAGGATAGATTTTTGACTACAATCAGAATTCTTCCTCGGTTCATGCCTGCCATTGTGGCAACCATCGTTCAATCATTTATCATTACCAGGAGAGAAGGATTAATTGTTCGTGAGTCCCACCACCTGCCTCCCCTCGCAAAGATTCATCGTTGGCAGCATATTTATTCTCACGGCATTCACTTTCATTCAATCATTTATCTATACTCGGCTAGATTTTCTGACTCAAGAAACCGAGGAAGTATGGAAGTATCCTTACCAGGCTGGAAGAAATTATTGTTCATCAGTCATACCATCTGCCTCTGATCGCAAGGATTGATCGTTGGCAGCATATCTATTCTCGTAGCCATCATTCACTGTTCAATCATTTATCAATACTCGGCTGGAATTTCGGACTCAAGAAAAACAACGGAAGTGTGTCTGGTAGCTACATCCCTTGGACCTCCCCCAGCCTGGCCTATTTCCTGACGTACATCCAGTTCTTGATAGTCTGGAGGCCACATAATGTGAGGACTTGTGACGTGTTGAAAGGATTCAAACATACTCACCAATTGCTGGTGGACAGACAGCTTTAACAATTGGGAATCATGGTCTACCGCTTCAGAATTATCGTCTATCGATGGTGGGAAGCGCTCGAAGAATTCGCTGAAGAGACAATCCCAGAACCGGGCGCCATTGTGTGATCTCTGGGCCTCATGGAAGTCATCCAGGTGATCTTCCAGAAAAGCATGTTCACGTGGGCTGAAGCACGTGCGAGGCATCTGTGCAACTGGGTCAGTTTAATTTCCGTTGCATGTAGCTGAAAGACCTAACCTCTGACGAGTGTAAAAACGCACGCGTATTGAATATGGAGCTCTGGAGAGCCCAGTCTTCTCAGATTTATACATTTCCATGTGTGAGTTTCAAGAATTAATCCTTGGTGACCACGGTTTTTTTTTCCTTCACAGTGTACAATTTATCGTTGCAAACCTAATCTACCAGGACTGCTGATCGTCGCAAAGCCGTACCATCTCACAGATGCCATACTCCCTTCAAGAATTAATTATTTGCCCTCAAGGTGTTGAATATGGAGTTCTGGAGAGCACAGTGTCCTCGGATTTATGCATTCCTACACGTGAGTTTCAAGAATTAATCCTTGGTGACCAAGGCCCACGGTTTTTGCCTGCACAGCGTATAATTTATGTTTGCAAAACCACTCTACTAGGACAGCTAATTGTTGAGAAGCCATACCATCTCACAGACGCCTTACTCCCTTCATGAATTAATTATTTGCCCTCATGAGATGCCAATTCCGAATATGTATTCTATTCAGGTAGCAGGCATGTACTGCCGAAGATTGTATTCTTGTGGATAAGTCGACGCAACAATAAACTGATACACTTGGGTAGCTACTTCTGACTCGCCTTCCTCATGGATGCGCCTGTAGAACCACACTACCACTTGCTAGCGTCCAGAAACTGTGAGAATTCACGTGTGACATTGAAAGGAGAAACACTCACTTTTTTCTGATTGTAGATAGCCTGTTCCTCCGTGCGGGAATAACCACCTATCACCACTGGGAAACGCTCGAAGTAATCGGGGAAGAAGTTATCCCAGAACCGTCCAACTTGGTCTGCTCTGAGGGATTCACAAAACTCAGCCAGGTGGTCTTGGAAGTAGGCGGCTTCTTCACAGTAGTCTATGTTCCTCCTAGGCATCTGGCTAGGTCAAAGGTTAGCATAATGTTTGTTAGAGGTAACCATTTTGACCTGACCTTTGAAGACGGTGGAACACTGAAGAACGCTGGGGGAGCTGAGTCTTCCGTATTTATACAGTGCCGGTCTACATTCGAGCAATAATTTATTGTTGCGAACCTGGTATCACTTTGGTAGCCACCGTGGTCCCATCACACTCAAGAATTAATTATTTGATTATTCACCAATATTACTCGCCCAGTTGGTAGCCACCATGGTCCCATCACACTCAAGAATTAATTATTCATCACCATTATTCACCCAGGTAACATATCTTAGTCTTTTGTTTGTGATCCCTCTCGATCATTGACATTCTCTCAAAATGTCCACCAGAAAGCCTAGGCGGCGCGGGGTGATTGAGCACTATCGGTGCCTGCCCAATGGCTCAGTCGAGCTCATCGGTCCAGCACAGCGTTCAGCCCAAGCCCAACGACAACTTCCCACTGATGTCAACACCACAGCTCGCTGTTTGGATATCATAGAGGTCTCAGTCTCTGCAGATCGAACAACTTCACGTCGTCGTCACCTCCAAACTGTAACGGTACCATCAAATCCTGGACCGGCGGTTGCACAGCCTAGTAAGGTGGATAACCCTCCTGACAAGAGCAACCTACCCCAACCAATGACCAATGTGTTGGTGCCCGACTTCAACTTCGCGGAAGCCCTCAATTTGATGGATGAATTGTTTCATCAGATTCGCATGAAGTGAAGGAAAAGAACTATTGAGGTGTGTGTTCTCTATCCAGACGTGGTGTTCACATGGCTCAACGGTTGAACCAGGATGAGCCGCTGCATTGATGGCTCAAAGAAATGGATGGATACCTGGGTGAAATTTTGCATCTGGAAGGTCATACTGGTTCCCATATCTGCACAGGTTGTGATAGAGAGCAACCCGCTACGTTCCGCTGTAACTTCTGTTTTAATGGGAGGAGTCTATGCAGTGAATGTATGATAGACTGTCACCATGATGCTCCCTTTCATTGCATTGAGGTATGTACTTTATTGGAATGTCTTTGTCAACATTCACTGACACAGCCATTCAGGAATGGAACGAGGATTTCTATCACAGAACGACACTGCAAAGGATAGGTTTGCAGGTGCAGCTCGGTCACCCCGCCAAGGAGAGGTGCACCCATCCTCACCCCTCGGGTAGGCAGGTCGTTGTGATCGACATGGAAGGCATCCATCAAGTCAACATCCTCTTTTGCGGTTGTCACCGAGCTTCTCCACTCCATATACAAATGCTGCACATGTGATGGTTTTCCACAACTGTGGAAATACCCCAAACAGCCATTACCTTTGCTGCACTACAGCAGTTTCAGATGCTATCTTTCATGTCGAAGATCTCTGGATACAAATATTATCACACCCTCGCACGCTTATCCGATAATACTGGTGTGCAGCTAGTTCCGGTATGCCATTGTTTTGATGTTCTCTTTGCCTCACTAAGTAGTCAATGAATATGCAGGATCTTTACCAAGTCTTTCTCCGAGTAGTCTGTGAGTGGCATCATATCCGGATGTTGAAATGACATAGCCAAGGCAATGATGCCATGGGATCGCAGGGAACCAAGGTCAGCAACTGCGTCGTACACTGCCTAGCATGTCCCAGACCTGGAGTAAATATGGCTCCCAACCGCCCGAGTCGAGAGTGAGTTTGTTTGAATGCGAATTTGTGTGTGTACTAATGGTAAGTTTAGTAAATGGCTTGATCGATTGTTCGTCATGGTGGATGCCAATTTCCGCCTCAAAAGGTTCAACGTTTCGAGCGAATGGCATGACCCTCAGCTGAACAAGGGGTTTTTGTATTTCATTGATGACCAGATAGTCGATGCGCATATTGCAACGTTTGGAGACAAGATACCAGAGGAAACTAATACGTGTAACGATCATGATGCTATCAAGATGGCTACCATGCGGGGAGGCAAAGGGATGGCTGTGACTGGAGTGGGTGCAGTCGTGTGTAGTCGCCACGAGTGTCGGCACACATCGTCGGTGATCAATCTGACTCAAGGTGAACAGTAAGTCCTTCAGACACTATCATATCATGGCAATGATGAGATGTCTAACAGGTAGGTGCACATGGACCTACCCACGCTTCTTACATTGAAAAGCAATGCTCCTGAGGAGATCGTCATCTCCTACAATATTGGCTGTCAATGGGGAAAAAATCTTTGGAAACGCATCGGCATTTACGGTCCGGACCTAACACCGCCTCAGAGACTGGAGTCTGTCATTATACTGGTGCCGAAGTTTCACCTCCCGGCACACATCGTTGCATGTCAAGAAGAGTTCTCCTTTGCTTTTGAGGTTGAGGTCGGGGAGACTGACGGCGAAGCCCCAGAATGTACCTGGGCGATATCCAACCACATTGCGAGCAGTACGAAAGAGATGGGACCTGGATCGCATCAGGACACGCTCGATGATCATTGGAGCGATCACAATTGGCACAAAAACACGAATCTATGTCAGTATCTCTGGTCTCTTGATTACAGGGAGATACTAATGGCCCCACTAGCGAAGCTACTGCTGCGTAGGATCAAAGACGCCGTGCCGCATCGCGAAGAGAATCGCATTACATTTGAGCTACTTTCAGAAACAGTAGTATCATCTGGGGATGATGGTGAGGCCAGATTAAAGGATTGGACCGACAAGGTAGAAGCATGGGAGAAGCGTCGTGCAAGCGAAGAAAAGATTCCAAACCCCTATGTTCCAACGGTCAAACGTAAGCTCTCAATTTTTGGGATGGACATCAGTATTGACTGGTTGTCTTTCAGCTTTGACAATGGCCTCTGTGTGGCTGAGACTAAACAAAGAGGGCCATGATGCCGAGTGGGGAGCCTCATCTGGTATGCTGATATCAGCAAACAAAATGATTGCCGATGGCATACTGGCTGAGCAGGCTCAGTGAGTTTAAATGCATTAACTTGGCTGGCTGTATTGATATTTTGTCTTAGGTTCGATCTACAAAGGGATGCAACTAGCTTAGGCATACATTCCACAG